AATATCGTGCATCAAACGGCAGCTACACTCGCCGTCGCATCCCTGAGGTAGGTGTCGCAGCTAGGATCCCTCCTACAGCAGACCCTGCTCATCGCGCAAGACAGTATCTCTACGTCTGACCATGAGGCTAACGGAAAACGCAGCGACATGGACCATCTACTCGACACAAGCCAGATAGGTATTTACGCACAGGATCTGTGTCGTCGGTTACGAGGAAACCAGACAGTATTCTCGCCTAGGCAATAGCGTTCCAAGTCTGAAAATTTGGAACTGCCCAGAGTGGAGTCTAAACTGGACTTACTGGGAAAACATGAACAACTAAAGAAGGCGTATTGTTGATTGCCTGCCATGGGAATGAAGTGGCCTGTTGCTCCCTCATTTAGGGGCCCAGACTCCAAGGGGAGAAATAGCATCCGAGCAACATCCAGAGGGAAACACCTGTTCGCAATCGATGATCTCCTTAAAAGAATCCACTTCAGCCTGGATGGTGTTTCAGATCCCGAATTCCCGATCAACCGTCCTAAGCGAAGTATACCGACTTGGCAATCACATGGATCGTCCCGAGTGCGGCTTCCGACTCCTACAGCCGAGCCTACAATCGACAGGATGTTTCAGTCATAAGGCTAGCCATACGCGCACCAGAATCTTGCTGACCTCCCCACATCTAATACTACTCTACGGTTCCTAATTTTAGCATGCCAAGCAGGGGAATTACTACATATTACCCTTTGAAGTATAGGTAGGTTCCTCCACCAGGCAAGCCGAAAGGGCACTTTGGGAAAGTCCAAAACACGGCAAGAAAGCTAACAAACTTTATGGGCAGACCCTTGTAGATCCCACTGGGCAAATTCTGTCGAAGATTCCCTATTACCGAGTAGACGAACGAGAAATAAGTTCCTGGGGGTATACAGTGCGTCGCTGGGATACTGCTACTGGCCAAGGAGATTTTTAATGACTTCTTATGATATAACACAGGACATTTACAACAACTATGCGCATCGTTTACAATCACGAGGAGAGGTTATCTAAGGCACACGATAAGTTGAATCCGAGGAAGACTTGTCGTAGATCTTCGGCAAACTGTGGTTCCCCTACAGTTTACCTAACGGACCCTTGCCCGAGTCTCACTTTCAAACAGTATCCAGAACCTGGCCTGCTTGATCTGCCAACTTCATTGGACTTTTATCGTCATGAAACAAGGAGTTGTACTCATGACTGACCTAGTTTTGGTATTTCCGTCGATCAAATCATCGCTACCATCGCTTAACGAGCGAGAAGTCTACTAATGGTTCATGGACGAGCCTAAGCAAGCAGGAGCTGGCCGCATCACATGGTTGTGTTTCATGTGTTACTAACAACAGCTTTTTCGCACAGCACTGTGGATTTGGTAGAGAGGCAATGCCTCACGGACATGAGAGAAAGGGGATGAACCGGTAAATAAGAGTATATAAGGCCGTCCGGCGTCCTGTTCCTTCCAGTATCAAGTCAAGCAACCCAGTATTCATACTTTGGCCAAGAAACTCCACTATTCTCTCTGTCCATCTCACTTCATCAATATGTTGATTAAAGACATCCTCACAGTGACGGCACTCCTTGTGAGCCAGGTTAGTGCTCATGGTCTAGTCACCCGTATCAAAGGCGCCAACGGCGTCAACATGCCTGGCCTGACGGGTGAGTCCATCCTTCTCCCTTGCCTTACGTCGCAATGGATTCCCGTATTAACGGTGTTTAGTCATTGATGGAGTCCCACGGGACTGTCCCTCTGCGGCATGTGGCGGGCAAAAAGACACGGCAATCATCCGAGATCAGGAAATGGGAGGTGTTAAGGCTTCGCCCTTGGGCCGGACTCTGGGCTATGGTCCGGTGGATGCGGCCAGAGTCATCAACAAGTTCATCGGCGCTGCGACGGAGAAGCGGGCTCGCGTTTCCCCCACGGAGAGGCGTACGAGATTCCTTTCCAATTGCAGCATCAATGAGGCTAATATGTTCTCAGGTCGGCAACTGATCAACGATGCTGCAAGTGTAATTACTAATGCTGGTGGAACTATTCTTAACGGTATTTATTCACCGGATGAAACAAGACGAAGCTGAACTGACAATGCGTAGGCGCCCAGGATCTTGCAGACAAAACCCCGCTGGGTGGGACTATTAAGAGTAAGGAGCTCCATTACGTTCAGGAAAACCAAGGCTGATATGGGAAACAGGTGCTCAGTCCGCGGTTGACGATGTCCTCAGTATTGTGCCAGGTCTGAAGTCCGGTGCGATGACAGCACAGGGCACCTCCGAAAATGGTATCCAGCTATACTCTGGCAAAGGTTCCAGCACGGGTCTTCCCACCGCTTCTCCAGATGGTGTCGTCACAGTCATTTATCATCAGGTATAAGGACACTCCCACAATGAATGATCCAATACTAACTTGCATACTCTAGGTAAACCAAGACGGCGCTGGACCCCTCACGGCCGACATTGATCCGTCCAGTGGAGGAACCAATCCAAAGGCATTCGTGCCTGCCCAGGTGATTCAAAACATCGAGGGTGTGGCCGGGTTCTCGACCTCCAGCACTATGGACTACGAGGTCAAAGTCCAGGTGCCTAAAGGGATGAAGTGCACTGGAACAGTCGGTGCCGCCAAGAATGTCTGCATTGTACGTATTCGGAACACTGCCATCTCCGGGCCATTTGGCGGCTCTGCTGCATTTACGATGTGAGGGGTGGTAACTTGTGAACGGTTGGCCATGTATTCTGGTGTGCATTGGTGGTTTGATATTCGTGATCCTTTATCCTCTAATCAAGGTACACTGCGGTTATATAGTAATAGAAATGGACCCTTAATTAAGTAGTGTGGAGATTCTAACAGCCAAGCAACTCCTGTACATACTTCCAGGAGATGATATTCCATTGCTGCCTGCAAAGCTGCTCCGTTGAATAGGCTTTCTAAAATTCTGCTCTGAGCTTGTCCACTGGAGGCAAAATATCCTCCTGCTCAAGAACCCTGAACGTATCCTCCAGCTCTTCCCAAGTATCAGCATAACCATCCCATCCCAACCGCCGCTCCTTGCTCATTGTCCCAGCACAACTCCAGTCCCTTCCCAGTACAAAAGTGAGGAAATCCCACGTGGCCTTGTCCCATCCGCTTTGATCGAGATTGTATGTATCACGCAGTTTAGCCCACGCCTCATTCACATCCTTGCGCTTGGCCCATTTCTCCGGACCGACCTGCAGGAACAAGGTGGGAGCGTCATCGGCTGAGACGCCGATCTTGTCCGCGTGTGCAGCAAGCGGGTGCTTATTCGGCATCCGCACAGTTGTTGCCTCGTATTTGCCAAAACCCTGCGTGTCCGGGGTGCCTCCATGGGGGAACATCGGGTTGGGAATCTTACAGCCAAATCGCGCAGCCAGCCGCGGCCACAGATACTGGAAGGACTCCGTATCGCCGTTTATCACGTTGAAGATGTTGTTGCCCGCATTCGGGGCAGTCGCCGCCCAGAGACAGAACTTGGCGTGCAGGGTCGCCGACGTCCAGCAGTTAAAGGCAAAGTAGTTGGCTTTGCAGCCGGGGAAGGGTAGCTCTGAGCCCGGGAGGGCCTTGCTGACGGCGCAGTAGAGACCCAGTGCGGTGGCTTCGTTCATGAAATTGCCCCGGGCGTAGCCGAGGACATCCTGTGGGAGTGTGACTATCCATTCCCACTGGCCTCGTGCGGCGGCTTCTTTGAGGATCCGCTCCTGCTCGTAGTAGAAGATCGGGGGCCAGGAGGTGCCACCCTGGTTGCCCTCAAGAAGAGGGTCATCCTCGACGAGTGGCTGCTTACAATTACCCAGATGGACACCGTAATGTTTGAAGCCACAGGTCAGAACGAAACGCTTCAGCTTCTTGATAGCACCGGTGATTTCCAATGCCTGGATAAAGTTTGACAACATCAATCCATTCACGCGCGACAATTCCGCTGGATCATCTTGTGCCAGGTAAGCGCAGAAAAAGACATACTTGGCAGAGATGCTTTTGAGGTTCCTGGCCATGTCCTCGGCTGAGCCTCGGAGGTCGAGAGTGGCATGTTGGATCTTTGCGTTTTCCCCTCCGGGATTTCTGCGAGAGAGGGAGTAGATCTTTTTATATTGGGAGTCTTTGCATAAATGACGCACAATAGCACTCCCGTTGATGCCTGAAGAATATTTAGCAGACGCCATCGGATGACATAGGCACACGTACCAGTTGCACCAGTAACCATTGCGGATGGCATATTCGAGGAATCAAAGGAGAGGTATAATCAATTCTTTATAATTCCATAAACTGATAGGAGAGACTAAACGGCATGACGATAGGCAGGGTGAATCTTTATGTGCATGTCCTATTTGATTTATCAAACAAGGATCTCCTCATGTTGTCCTGGTCATGATAAAGTATGATATCACCCAAGCGACGTGATAAAAACAGCCGCATTTCTATGATCACCATCATTGGGTCAGTTATAATTCACTATTACGGCTAGAAACAGAGCAAGAGATTAAAACTGTTAAAGTGGTCAGCATTGCCCACTATATTGGATGTATCGAGATACACCTGCCTTCTCTTTGTAGTTAAGATTTCAAAATTCCGTCAAAAATAAACTATGTGTAAACAATCAACATTTGATGCCCTGTTCAGTCAAACTGATCTCGTATCCAGCCCTTGAGCTTCTGCAAAGCAATCTATCTTTCGGACAACTGGCTGTGGCCTATACTGTTATAAAAAGCTTGGCACAACAGTGTGGTAGCAAACATGAAACATTGACAGTTACATCTATGAGGGATAAGGAGAGGGAAAAGCTGATCAATGGCCATGGCGACCGTCAATCAAATCCTTCGCAGCAACCTTTCTACATTCCTCCAATACCCTCAATTGTTCGGCAACCTCGCCTAGTCTGCTAATGACTTCCTTGTTCCCCCGCGTAAAACGAAATATTACGTAGGGAATCCCGACGTCGCGGCAGAACTGCTTCACGTACGGCTGCGCCCGGCGCAAGTTATGCCTCGGGAGGCGAGGGAAACAAATGGTGCACGACTTGGAAATTGAGCCCGCCATGCACAAAGTCCAACCACGGCGGGCAATCGACGTCCATCGTTGTCCGCACCATCTTCTGAGCAAATGACTCGTGGATGCCCAGGTCGGCGCTCGACATGGCGAAGTGACTCAGCGTGAGTTGTACGTGCAACGGGGCGGTCACCATATGAGAGATGAGCAGGAAGGTGATGCGGGACGACCACGTCGGGATCGAGAGGTATAGCGTGCGGTAGCCGTACCAGTACCAGAAAAACACCTGGCCGGCCATTTCAAGGTAGCGATGCCACCATGCTGCGCCTTTCCGGGGTGCTTGCGCCGGGTCTAGGAGGTATGACCAAGCTAGACGGTACAGGTTGAAACGACCCCATAACAGGATGGGATAGTAGAGGTAATGCTGGTACTTGATGAAGAACCGTGCTGCAGCGTCGAGATTCATGTCACAGTTGTAGTAGCTCGAGTGCAGGGAAGTAAAGAAACGCGAAGAGATGGCGAAAAATGGCATGTGCTGGATGTCCGGATCGTGCTCGGGCGAGTTGGTTACAATGTGAGGCACGTTGTGATTCCGCTTCCACCAACCAACTGAAAGACCACCGAGGAAATCTGCGACAAAAATCCCGATGCAGCTGTCCGTGTGGAATCCATGGGTTATGCTTAGATGGCCGGCGTCGTGGACGGTGAACGCAAGCAGGTGCCAGAGTAACCCGAGGAAAAGGCCCGAAAGAGCATAATAGGAATGGTGAAGACATGTCAAGAAGAGGATGAGAAGAACCGAGTATCGGACAAATTCGACAGCGTAAGAGCCATATGGACAGTCGTAGAGTCCTTCGGATTGCAATTTTTCGTCGAGCTGGCGGTACTTTGAGGCGACCTCGGCTTGGGACCTTTTATCCAGAGGAGGATATTTCGAAAGATCGGATGATATCGCGTGTGCAATTGATGCTTCCGCAGATCTGAATTGTCCCAGCTCCGGTTCTGATGGGGATAAGGATGATACTTGAGAAATAGGGGTATCATTGTCTGCACGCCTCAGACGAACTTCGTCTCCTCTCTCATCAGTATCGAAGACTGATGATGGTGGTGTAGATCCTCCAGATAAGGTGAGATCCTCATCGGCAGATATCGTCGACGTCCTTCGATGTCAGCGTTCCGAATGACCCTCCCTGTATCGGAGGTAAGAAGTTTTCCCATTTTCCGTCAACTCTTCCTATCACATACTTCTGCATATGTGTCTGTGCTTCCTTTGAGTGCAACGCTGTTATTTCGTCCGTTGCATCCCGGCCAACCATGTGTAATATTGATTTATCACCGCCTGGGTGATATGGTAGCCAAGCGTCGACCTTCAGTATCTGATCACCCAGTATGATTATCTTTTGCCCATCTGCTATCAATCCCTCGATTTCCCTCCGAGACATTACTCGATTTTTGCGTGACATAGCCGGCGCCATAGGCTAATGATAGCTGCGGGGGAGCAGCTGAGATTGACTTCAAATCTCAGACAGATGATGACCATGGATGCTCGGCATTAGATGGAAAGGAATGAAGTACTCGCATGTAGAGTCGTATGATTCCCTCAGCACTAGGAAACCTGATGGCAGCCTACAGTCACGTGCAGGACCTAATCCTCTAGTCGCCCCGACGACAGAACAAAGAAATAAGACATTAATTACTGATTTATCAAACATGGAACGGTAACTATCTGCCCATAAAAAGTGTCGCCCTGCTAAGGTATTAGTGTATTGTACGATGTGTATGGTACTAGTTATCCAAGCTTCCGAGGTTGTCTTACTGGACTACTGCTACATGTTGACTTAATGTATGTGATGTCGCCAGAGAAGTGGATTAAGAAAGGAGAATCACTAAATCTACCACCAATGATCTTTCCCGTTGTAGATCAATCCCTATTTTCATCGGCCGTACTGTCCGTACATGCCCTTATTATCTTGTGGTGGACCGTTTCTCCCGCAGGCGGAAACATATATTCTTGTGCATCGCCATTCTCGAATTATAGAGAAACTGGACTACGAATGAGATAAACTTATAGTATCATTATCAGTATTAAACGCTTGTTGATAACTGGTATACTATGCGATCATCTACGAAAGAACGATTATGTTGTATTCGCTACTACTTAGACTATGTTATTGTACTCGAGCTCATGAGTGCTTGTAGAAGTTAACTCCCCATAACCTTCGCTCCTGCCCTATACTTTGATTTCCGGTAGATTCATTCGACATGAGTTTCGGATCCAGTATCGGGGATTTCGTTACCACCATCAAACTTGCAGCACAGACCTGAAAGAAATTTGTCGAGGCGCCTGGCCAGTGTAAGGGTATCTCTATTCGGTACCTCCATAGAGTTAGGAACTTGGCACTCTGATACCCGTACACGCCTCGAATAGCCAAATTGATTACGCTAAACCGTTAGCAGTGATCCCTCCGAAAATCAACAGAGATCGTCCGAAAACCGATAAGTCATCAGCCGAATGCAAGACAGCCACTAATAGCAGGGCCCTTATATAGAGGCTTACTCGACTACCAGTACTTTTTGGGAAGAGAATGTGATCTTCCAGAGAAGAGAAAAATGGTTTTAAAAATGGTTTTTGGAACCTTGTACACGTTTCCTGTAAGTGCAATAGGCAATTGTTGCGTCATGTCATCCAATATATATATACACATATTCGTACTGACAATCCTATTCGCCTAGGGCGATCACTGCCGAACGATAGCCATCAAGGCTGTCGCCAAAGCTAATGGCCTCGAACTGGACATTCGCGAGACCCCCAGAACTCCCGAGCATTTGAGCGTTAGCAAGCTCGGCAAGGTCCCTGCCTTTGAAGGTGCGGATGGCTTCAAGCTCTTTGAATGCATGGCAATTGCTCTCTACAGTTAGTCAACTCATCTTGTCGGTGCGATCCAGAGCTGACGACACCCGATCAGTCACTTCTCAAAATGAAGAGACCACTCTTCTCGGAGGCAACAAGAAGGAATACGCGGATATCATCAAGTGGATGTCTTTTTTCAACAACGAGATCGTCATTCTTATGACTCAACAATTACTGCCCCAGCTTGGTGTGATGCCCTACGACAAAGACCAGGTGGAGTTGTTCACCAACATGACCCAGAGATCCGTCGATGTGGTCGAGGAGTATTTACAAGACCGCACGTTCCTCGTTGGCGAACAGCTATCCCTTGCCGATCTGTTCTGTGCCGCAAACATTTCTCTTGGCTTCCAACTCTTCTATGGCAAAGCCTGGAGGCAACAGCACCCCAATGTGTCTCGTTGGTACGAGATGGTTTGCCATCAGCCCATTTATGCGGCCGTGACCGACAAGTTTCAGCTTCTGGATGAGCCCAAGCTGACCAACAATCCGCCTCAAAAGAAGCCTGAGACCGCCCCCGAGAACGGTGCTCCTGTTGCTGTTGAGGCTACGCAGGATTAGCTTCCTATTCATATCAATGCAACTCTCCATCACTTGTGCTTCGTCTGTGGCAGATTGCTTCTTCCGAATATTCCTCAGCCCATTCCAAATGAAAATATCAGACAAACTGCTCCCATCGCAGCAGCCATGTACAAAACATGGTCGAGATTTCTAGTCACAATATACATGCGATTTGGATTGAGTCTAGCTAGTATGGCATACACGATTGTTAGTCCAATGGCCCAAATTCACACTACGAAGAGCACGATTTGAGCGCTCTAAAGTAAAGATGCAGACTAAGTACATATGCTCCGGTTGACTCTAGTGGCTTTGTAGTCCTGTAGGACCATAAAAATACTTTATACGAGGACTGATCTCGTCAGTATAGTATTTAAAAAGTCTGCTAGCTTTATTCTACGGCTAATCTGGAAAGCTGTGACAGCGGACTTAGGCTATCAAGGATTTGAATCCTTGCAGGGTAGATAGCACAACTCCTGAGGGTGTGGAATGTTCAAGACTCATTCAATTGGTCAAGACTCGATCACGCTTAAAGGGCCGAATTCCAGCTGCCGGAAAGCCTTAGCCCTTAAGAAAAGTCAATTTGAGATGTCAGCTCCACTAAGTGCTAATAGGCGCGCTAGAGTGAGCCGAAGCATGTAAGATCTACCGACATCAGGTCTGCATAATGTGGAGGCATACCCATACTGAATTAGGAATAATATTATACAAAGCAGCTCATTTTAAACAGGGTATTAGATGTCTCCGTGCACATTCATTACAAGAATGATGAATGCGTTATTTTCCAACTGTACTGCCATTATTATAGAGATAAAGATCTTTTTAGATCCAGGGGCTTCAGACAGAGTAATGGATGTAGGTAGCATAGTATCTGTGTCAAGCACACCCACACCGGAACCACCAACCACAGCAAAACCACCATGTACCTTTTATATAGCATTACCATATAAAAGGTACATACTCCCTAAGTTAAATATCAGGGTATTCACTAAGGGTAACTATATTTTAGATAGTAATATTAGATTTAAAGAGGGAATATCTTCTAATTAAAAGCCCTTTTTTAAGAGTTTTAAGTAAAAATTAGAGATATAAGAATGTGCAAAGTTTCTCTCATATAAAACTTCTTTCTTAGGAAAAAAAATAAAGAGAGATTATTTTATCTTAAATACTTATAATTTTCCTATCTAATAATAAAGATAGTAATAAAAGATAGACACTTATATTTCTAAATAATAATAAACTAGAAAAACTAAATACATATATACCTAGAGTGAATAATAAGTATATCACCATATAAAAGGTACATAGTGGTTTTACTGTAGTTAGTGGTTCCAGTATGGCTCACCCTCGGGCCTCAACGCTCTGCGTTGAGGGTGAGCCATAGGCACAGATAGTAGCGCAAAGTCCAAGAAGCATCCAAGCAGAGGCTACAACCGCTGATCAGCTGATCACGCGTTCTCTGGAATGTCCCACCATCAACAACAATATCCAAAACAATGCAGGTAAGAAGCTAACTTTAAAGGTCTACTGGCTGGAAAGCAAAGTGATTATCTGGACTTAATTCAATTAATGAAGTGGCCAGATACTTATATAAAAGACCAAGGCCAGGCTTAGCTTTCTACCAACAGAATAGTGCACGGACATTGAAAATCTCCGTCTAGGCCCCTAAGTTATCAAAACTCCGATTCGACAATCAACGGCAATAGTGGATCATCAAGAACTTCCCCTGAGCAACTCCGGGAACCATTTGATCATCATCCGACATCGAACCGACTTGCAGCAGTCGCTCCTGTAAGTGGCGCACCGCCCTTCTCCCCGCCGTTATCGTCGCTCATCAAAAGATCAACCCGCTATAGACAATGGATGTGGCTCTTGAGCTTCTCGATCCCCTCATTCTGGACATGGCCTATGCCTGGTTGCTGCCCTCCGATCCTCATCTCCCCGACCCGACATCGCGATGGGATCGCGACAACATCTATCGCCAAGTCATCTCGATTCTCATCATCACGCAACTCGGCGCGACCTCCCTCTACCTCTTTTTCAGCGCGCTCTCCTACTACTTCATCTTTGACCGACGGCTCGAGTACCATCCACGCTTCTTGCCGAATCAAATCCGCCAAGAGATCAAATCATCGCTGTCCGCCGTTCCCTTTATCAACATTCTGACTCTGCCCTGGTTCCTGGCTGAGGTCCGTGGAAAAAGCTTGCTGTACCGCTCGGTGAGCGACTATGGTTGGCCCTGGCTGGTGATCTCGTCCATCTTGTATATGGCGTTCAATGACATTGCCATCTACTGGATTCATCGCCTAGAGCATCACCCCAGCGTGTACAAATACATTCACAAGCCACATCACAAATGGATCGGTCTGTCTCTCACATACGTTCCATGTGCCAGCTGGTGCCAATGCTGACGAGATATAGTTCCCACACCATGGGCTGCGCTGGCGTTCCATCCGCTGGATGGATATGTGCAGTCTCTTCCATACCAGTGAGTATCCCAGTCCTGCTTCTTGGCCATCCTCATGGCCATTCTTTCTAACAATCAACAGCGTCTTCGTCTTTATTTGCCCCATGCAGCGACACCTGTACATGGTTCTCTTCGTTGCGGTCCAGATCTGGACCATCTTCATTCACGACGGCGACATGATTTCAGGCCATTGGACAGAGAAATTCATCAACAGCCCCGCGCATCACACATTGCACCATATGTACTTCACCGTCAACTATGGGCAATACTTCACCTGGGCTGATACCTATTTCGGCTCGCACCGGGCCCCGGAGCCCGCGCTGGATCCCCTCCATGATGCCCTCAAGGTGATGCGGGCGAAAGGACTTGTTGATGAGGAGGGCAACCCCATTAAGAAACCAAAGGGGGAGTGAAGGGCGTTTGATGTCTTTGGTACATATGCATATGACGATTAGACGAAGAGTCATTTCCTGTACAGCTAAAATCTAGAGCAATACCTAATGTTAATATATATCGACGCAAGTTTCATTCTGGCTTGTCTCAGTGCTTACATAGGTGGCAGATTGCCCGGGATGATGAAGGCTAGGTTTCTAACGGGTGAATCATTGCCCTGGATGGTGAAGCTTGCCGTCTTGTGTCGGCCGCATTGGACCAGGACGCAGTACAACTGCCTCATGCATCCTACGTCTGGGTCTGTGACTCATTTAGAAGTGCTTCTGATCAGTTATATTACTTGAGACGTCTACTCTGCTTGCTCTGCTCTTATGTACAGTATAAACAGGAAAATGGGAATATAGATGGCAAGCCCACTGAGGCTGAAGGGGATATCAGACGGGAGACTGAAGCGGCCGAGTCGTTCAGCTGACATTGAGATACTACTAGTCAATAGCATCCCAGTGTGATGGATTAAGCCAGGGCCATTGGTTCAATACCATAAACACTAGCGAATGTGGTTTTCGCGCTTTTCTGCCAGCACTCAGCAATAATAATGACCAACTGCTTTGGCATCTTAATTTTCCTTCCCTAGGGCTTACTTAACATGCTTATGGAAAATTAATATTTTCTGCAGGAAATACATATATCCGCACTACTTCTGTAACAACCTGTGACAGAAATAATTATTCCATCAAATACTCATGTAGTGGGGATATCAAATGCTTGGTCTGGATATCGGAATCCATGCACAGGAAATATATGTCCCAATGGCCTGCGGTAAGTCAGTCATGCAAGGAAGGTTTACCCCGAAGGACACTAATTAAGCTTATGCTGACAGCCAAGCTTAATGACGTGGCTATGGAGAAGAGGAATTGCTCGCCTGGACTAGCGCAAGGAATCATGGTATGACCGAGCATAGCTGCGGAAGAATCATTCGCTCGGAGTAACTTGTTCCTGTCATGACTAGACTCCAGATCCGGAGCTTTCAGCCGAGCTATAATAACAAGCAGGGTTATGACTGCTTAGCATAGGGGTAAGCATCCAAGAAGTCTGGCAAGAATCTGTGCAGCCACTTAGGATCAACTTTGGAAGTTCGGAGTTGGATGGACTGTACGCTTAGTGCTTATCAATCGCTGACCAGCGTTATTGGCTTATGGCGAGTGCTTGATTGTAGCAAAGGATTATCTATATAAAGGTGAAGGGCCACCTCCAGTCACCCTATATTCCCTTCTCAAGAAGCAATCGGTCATCATGCGCGCCACAGCCTTTGCTTTGCTGACTGCCCTAAGCCTAAGTGCATCGCTTGTCCGTACCCAGGGATATAGTGAAGAGTGCTCTGATATCTATCTCAATGAAGGCTGGCTAGTTGCAACTTGTCCCAAGGACGATGACAATGGCAGCATCACTAGCAGTGTCTATCTGCCGAACAAGATTGCCAACAATAATGCTGTACTCCAGGTGAGTTATCACCTGTCACCATGTCCTGTTCTTTGACCGAGACTAACACATGGTACAGTGGGCCGTCGAGTACGTCCGTCCTCGTCTGTTGATCCGCGTCTACTGACAGATCTCTTAGCGGATCTTACTGGAATTCCTGCAAGGACTGCTCGCTCACCAACACCGGTTCAACTCTGCAATGCTCCTGCAAAGGCTCAGCATCGCCGTATAGCAACACAACATTGAATCTAGGTAAGGTCATCCAATATACGTTCACGTATCCCACTAATAGCTTTGTAGAAGAACATATCGCCAACTATGACGGGCACCTCCTTTCCAACCTCACCGGCGCCGTCACCTCTGTCCCAGCGGATTCCTCAGATCCTGTTCCCGTGGACTTTGAGGTGGAGCTTGAGTTGTCAACACTGAACAATTCGTCCGCCACTTATGGAGGAACCTTCACATTGAATCGCCCAACAAGCTGTTTCTATCTCAACCTCGGAGTAGAGTACTCCTGGGCATGCGGCAACTCGGTGAACAACCAAGGCTGGGAGATTGTAGGGTTCTCCGATGAGGATTGCACAAGTGACCCGGTTGCGACCTTCACACAGGACAACCAGGGCACTTGCTTGACATTTGCGACAGATGTCAAAGGCTTCTCGGTGACTCCACTGTGGAATGCGGACTAAGCTGGGATGTATCAAGGCATAGTCTCTTGATGATTGTTCTTAGAAGTCGGGGCTCTGTGTTTCTAGCTTTTATTGGCACCCTACTTAGAAGATGACACTATTACTGAAGTGAGGAACAATACTACCATCCAAGATAAGCATTACAGCAGCTGTTCTGCCACACTATATCAACGTAGTCCCGCTGGGTTGAGCAGTTCAGATCTTCACTATCTTCAAAGCTGAAACACGTGAAGGAGGTCCTCTGCGATGTTGAAGCCTACCATATCTGGCTGTCTTACTACCTGACACGAAGAAGACAGCTAGTATAGACAAAATGCAATTCTCCTGAAAGGCGCCGCGATGGTCTCAGACAAGATCAAGAAATGAGAGACAATAGCTACATCTCCTTGTTCTATTGTCTCATCCGCCGAATCTCACATCTAACGCGATGTCTTGAAAACAATGGCATTGTCATTGTTTGCAACTGAAACAACAAGCTACAAGCAGGAACATCTCCCTGGTTAACACTATAAAATCTCAGTCATCTACCACTGACGGCAAGATTCTTTTCTTCATCAAGCATCTCCCTCTTTGGAGCTATTTTCCTCGATTTCCCTAGCTTTGATCGACTGCCGTCCAATTCTTCCAAACCTACATCCTGTCGACCGGGCATCTTTGCGCGGAAATGATGGTAAGTCTAATATCCCCCCCCCCATACCTGAATCACGCAATACTAACCAGGTGATCTAGTCCATTAACGCTCCTGACTTGGTCACAGTTGTCGGCCACCACGCCCGGCGCCCCGCAAACATGAGGGAGGTGGCAGAAATGTGGAAGAACGTGCTGGTCAGGTTCTTCCCCAATAATGGGTATGCTCCGTTCCCCTTCCGAGACACACACTACTACATCAATCTCGACCTGAACACTCATGGATACTTGGGCCTAGGCTCCGTCGTGCGCACCCAGGGTTTCAACGCGGGCGTCCACTTCCTCCAGGCCAATTTCACGGCAGCCCCAGCTGACGGCTCCACTTTCTCCTGGGAGGGCAACGAGCACTTTCTGAAGCGGGAGCTCCGTCGTTCGCTGCAGAGTGTTCCTGACGACCGGAAGAGCGCCATCTATGGACTGATTGCGATTGGGACTTATGTGCGCTTCTACACGTACATGCCTGACGGTCAGTTCGCTCCTGTTACCTTTGCTGATGGCAAGCAGACGCTGCATATTTGCAGCGACCTGGCAGTCGTCCGAGAATTTCTCGCCTGCGTCAAGGAAGAGTGGATGTAATGGCGGGATCGGGAATGTGGTTGAAGTTGAGAACTTGGTTGATTAGTGATTTATGTTGTGATTTTCGTGCTTTTCTGCTTTTGTGTTTATTGTAGAATGTTATCTCATTAGAATAACTACTGTGGATGCGAAAATATCATGGGCGTGAAACCAGTAGTTGTTTCCTAAAAACAGGCCTCTTTCAATGCTTCTCCCCTAAGAAGCCTCAGCTGCCTTACGGATAAGGGTTTCCAAACCTTGCGGATTGGCCCCAGTCTGTTCACCAATTTTCTGTCCGTCTTTAAAGACAACAAAGGTTGGCATTGCACGTATGCCGACCTCCTGAGCAATTCTTTCTTCTTGATCGACATCAACTTTGTAGAATCCGACATCGCCAAACTCCGAAACATCCGATAACTTCTCAAAGGCAGGGGAGATAAATCGGCAAGGGCCACACCATGTTGCCCAGAAGTCGATTATAGCAGGCTTATCGCTGTTAATGATTTCTTGGAACTGTTCAAACCTGTTGTATTAGAAACATTAGCACTAAGCGATAGAGTCTGAGAGGAAAGAATAATATCAACATCACTTACGAGGTTATGGCTGTAACAGGCATCTTGTTCAGCAGGTTCTCTTCAGCAGGATTCACAAATAGATGGTTGGTATAGTTTGTAAAAGAACAAGGGTGGAGCAAGATAAGGAGTCTGGGAACAAGAAGACAAAATAACTAGACCTAACTATCTTCTTATATGATTTCATGCAGCATTACCCCTCCTCCTCCCCCCACCTTTCAGCTGTACTGGTACTGATACTACATAGCTAGATTAGCGAATTACTCTGCAGGGCCCCACTTCAGCTGTGTGATGTTCCCTTAGCTAGAGGGATACCTCTCGTAGATCCCTCTCAGAAGTGATGACCGAGCGCACGCCATGCTAGCTGAGAAGGAAATCCACGTCATCCTGCAGATCATCCAAAGCAGGGTGATAGGTAGGCCTCTCCACATGTTTGGAGGCCTTGAGGTCTTACTAAGAAGTGGATTCCGACGGTCCTGCTTGGCCTTCCCAATCGTAGAATGGTTATATTGTGTAGCATGAAAATTTTGTTAGAATACTAGGAGATATGCAACCGGGATCACCAAGGGCAAACCACTGCTTTGTGCTATACAATACGGAGTAAATTGGGGTGACGGTGAAAAGACCACAATTATGTGTGGTCTTTGGAGGGAGAATCGTGGTCTTTTCACCTAATTATATCCAAATTCTGCGGATAACCTCCTATGCATCGGTCGCGTCATCAGAGTGTGTTGCGCCTTCCATTAGAACTACAAGACTCAGTAACCTCCGAAGTACCAGTTGCTCAAAATCAACTTCGCTCTCAAGTACCTATTCAAACAAGATTACACAGATTGAGCAAGCTTCTACAACTTATCATACCTCAATTAAGTCATTGTGACCTATTTACTGCAAACTATCATGCAAAAGCGAAAGCGGACTGACTCAAATGGGAGCTGCCGACCCGAATCCGGATCCCCGGTCAACCTCACTGTGAGGAATGGAAAGATGATATTGACTTGATATTGGAACTAGCTAAGAGTGAGGCTATCTACGAAGCTGAAGAAGATGAGTGTGCCGTGCTAAGCTTGATTTGGAAGCGTAGGTGAGAGAGTAAACATTCACACTCACAATGAGCACTACTGAGTCAGGCAATTCATCAGTGCGAACGCCACTTGACAACACGGACTTCCCCTCTGCCGAGCTCAAAATGTCGTCTTCTGAGAGTTTCTGAGAGGAACTCGGCTGGTCCTTTGCAGACACTAAAAGAAACCCTCAAGATCTCATCACTAATGGTTTTCATCCTGTCTGGACTATAGAGGAGGGCTACCCTGGGCCGCTTCTAGATGACATCGCGGAATGGATCAATCCTGAGGGAGATAATCGGACGATCAGGCTGGTTGGGCCAATGTCAAGCATTTTCAGACTGGCAAGACTTGACGACTTTGTCCACGCGATTGACAGCCCGGATTTCACTATGCGTGATGAGATTATTTGCATTCCCGATAATGCCTCTATACAAAGTACCTTACGTTGTTGTTTCTTTTTTACTGGTCATGTAGGGAGCATGGAAATATGAATGTGCTCAATAGGAGATAATCTTCTTCTACAACCAACCCGGGAATACCGTGTGCCTATTAGCAATTGTGTGATCAATATATACAATGCTCAAATAGCTTATGCCGCATTTCTTCCCGTCCTCGATTGGAATCGTCGAATCACTCAGCTGTCAGCTTGATAAACCGAGCTCCCATTTCGGACGGGATAGTGACTTTCAATAAACCCTTGTTAGAGACCCAGTTGATCGTCGCAGGAAGCCTCGTAGGATAAAGAATCTCAGCGCTAACAGCCCTACCGCAGAGTGCTTTGATGGGCAAGTCAATGGATTCAGGTCCACCTCGTCTCCAAATGGAAAGGTAATAGCACTCACTCGCATCGCCGTCATGCTTCGTCACAGCCATACCGAGCGAGAACCAATCATCATGCCACTTTGGAAGACCCAAAGGCCAAAATGCGGTTGCTGTGGGTAAAGCAGCCCGTATAGCTCTATAAACATCCATGCCCTCTTTGACCAAATCAAACTGCTCTGGCTGGAGAAGGTCTAAACGACCACTTAGATGCACACGGCCCAGGAGACTATTGACCACGGTCATCGCATTAAGCTCATCATCCCATGCCAGCTGCGGGTAGGCCCATATTGCTCCTTGTTCTGGAGTAACAGCGGTAGGGAGAGCCGATGCAATGGCCGGGTAGCGCTCTGGATCTTGCTGGTCGCTCGACGACTGGAGGGCGTGGACCACCAACATGGCGTAATCCATTCGCTGGGCGCCGCTGGAGCAGTTTTCGATCAGGAGGTTGGGGTAGCGATCGTGCAATCTATTTACCCAGTGAAGATACGCACGGTTATGCTCCAGTTGGCCGGAGCCTGGACTTGAGCAGTTGATGTCTGTCCCTTGGGTGACATCGATGTTGTAGTCGAACTTGAAGTACCCAACGCCATATTCAGTCACAAGACGATGGATGACGGCACTCATGTGCTCTCGTACGGCAGGATGGCGGTAATCGAGTTGATATCGGTTCTTCTCCACCACGCGATGACCGTCTCGCTGGAAGAACGCTTCGTTTGGCAGCTGCTTTGCCACGACACTGCGGACACCAATGACTTCAGGCTCAATCCATAGCCCGGGAATCAGTCCTTTGTTTCGGATTTGACTCAAAAGGTTGTTGAATCCTGATGGAAACCTCTTCTGAGACGGCTCCCACAGCCCAACGTCGTCCCACCAGCCGGAATCATCGGCATACCAGCCAGCGTCAATCACAAAGTACTCCGCACCTGCTTTGACAACAGGATCTATAAGGGCTAATATCTTGTCCTCGGTGGGATCGCCCATCAAACAGTTCATGTAATCATTGAAGATGATCGGTAGTCGGTCATGGTCTCGATGCTTGCGTCTGATCTGGCGTCTGTACCGGGTCATGGCTACAAAGGCTTTTTCATAGTCATCCTGAACATGGCACAGCGCTACAGGCACGGTAGTAAACTCCTGTCCTGGAGCGAGCCTCTCCCTCCAGTCATGCTCGGTCTCTACCGGCCCACCAGCAGCTAGATAAATGCTGTCCTTCCAGTCTCCTATCTCCCATCGCCACGAGCCGTTGTTCTCAACCTGCCAGAGCCAGGTATCTCTGTCGTTGACATGCTTCAGAAGCCCCATGGGGAGGTGTCATTCCGTGGAAAAGGTGCCGCGGTTCGACACCGAATAGTGGCCCAGACTTCCCCAGTGCTCATCAGGCCGTCCATACACGCCACAATCATCAACTCCAAGACTGGGCAGGTCATGTTCAACCCACTGAGCTTCTCGGAACCACGAGTTGTTCGGTACAGAGAGTCTATACTCGTGCCACCACCTCTCCGAACCAGTCGATAGTCCACCGAGGACTAGCGATGTGAGCTGCGTCACGACAAGTTCTTTGTCACCAATGTTCTGGATACTAGCTGTCGCACGTAACACGGGGAATCCATCGTAAACCGTGAGGTGCGAGGTAACCAGCGCCCCCGATATACCATCCTTCAGTCGAACATGGAGTGTCTGCGTGTCTGCTGCGGTATCAAGCCCATGAGACTGATACCGCAAACGAGCGCCTACATAGCTTCCCACGAGGCTTTTCGACGATTTGTTTCTTTCTGTTCCCGCTCCGGCTAGTCGCACCTCTACCAGTGGCACATACGAGTCACTGAAATTCTTGAACGCGGGGGCCGGCGGAGTGCCGGGAAGAGGCAGCACTTCTTGTAGGAAAGCAGCCCCATCTTTATCAATGAGCACTTTGACTCGAAGAGCCTGGCTTTCCAGTGTAATTGTTTGCGAGGGCATGTTAGGATTGAAGTCTCTGGCCACTGGGCTTTCCAGGGATTTCCTTGACTAGGGAATCCTATTTAAGAAGAGGGGTAAATATCCGATGTGCAAATCCCGGCTAATAATGAGCCAATAGGCATCGTCAGTCGGTTCTTTTAGCATCCTTCGATAGGTTGATTTTATATGACTAACTCTATCAATAGGAATGTAGTATAACCTGATTGGAAGTGAGTATCACAGTATGGTTAAGTATACGTCAGTTCGATGACAAGGGCCGTCAACACTTCGCAAAAGATGTGGTTTCGTGGGTGGACGCCATAGGCTTTGCGATCAACTGGCTAGTTACTCGATCCGTGCCCACGGCCTTAATTCGCAGGATTCCATGAAGATCTTGTACAAGTCTAACTTTGTAAAATCCTAAGTATCCTAGCCCGGTGACGGCTACATCTCATACCTCTCCGACAAAATCACTGGAGACGCTCTCTATTGCACGAACATGGCCCTCTGAAAGTGGAATACCGTCGCGAGCAGTTCCGTCAGGAGACATCTGCCGCTGCTCACGATCCGCCTCTTTCCCTCTACCTAGGAAAAAACAGCGAATACGCGAGGACCGAGAATTGGTGGTGCTGTCCCTGTTACTCGAGGCGACACGGCCGGCTATGTGCTAATGGATTGTAATCAAAGTCTTGAGTGGGGGTAAGCAGGATATGAATATTGTAATGCAGACTTCCACCGCGGACCAGTTGAGGGGAGCAACCAGAGTCCCTGAGATGGTTTGTTAGTTGAGACTCTCCCAACACGCGAGAGGAGAGGACTTACAAGTATGGTCTGGACCGAGATTTTTAATGTAAGTCACGCGAATGATGCTCGTCACGCACACTCTAGGTGATTTGGTCAGTAAAGGCATTCAAGCAATTCAGGAGTGGTCATACAGCAATCCCAGTGCGAACATTAGGACTACACTGAACTTCTGGAGCCCACGAACGCGGAGCCGGAGCAAGGGGGGAATCGGCAGAATGAATATTGCGATGTCTGTCGCTAACTTGATGCTGAAGCTGACATAGTAGAATAGGATCATATTCAAACAGTGACCAGGGATGGTCGGATCCCATGCGCTCTGGATAGGTTGGCACTGTAGAATGACCACCATGATCTCTTCAACGCACTCCATGATCAGCAGTACGATCACGGCGATGCAGAATGATTTGAGGACCCGTGAGGGCACAAATATGTACATGTACAAGACGGGGAATGATATCTTGATCATGTTCAGAGCAATTAGGTATACTAATTGAGTCATGAATACAAGCTAGTGATGTCAACGCAGGTCACCGCGGATGAGCCGAGACTTACCTTGAGAAACATGGAGATAGTGGAAGGCTGCTGCGTGATCAGATCAAAATGTCTTCCATAGCCATATGTAGTCACTGGGTCCATGTTAGAGTTAGTTGAGATAGGTGAGAAGCTGCCATACTCCACATTGAGATAAACAGAGAGCAAATGTGAACATCTGCCGATTATCAATCAGCATATCTACGAGCAGTTATGGTGGCATACGTGACCCATACCCAGCTTATGATGCAAAGGACTGTAGGAATTTGCCCTGACCTAGTGGTGGAGCGGAGTAGTATGACTTACTGTCATCAGAACGGATCCTGTAATAGTGATAACGCACATACAGTCGCACAGCAACAGCAATACTGACAATGGCCAACAAGATCACATTGCAGGCGATGACACTGGCTACTCTGGACTGCGCCAGATACGCTGTATGCGCCTCGCCCTCGAAGTGCGTGAGGTTTAGCTGGTCTATCCATATTCGTTATTGAAGCAATTCTTGACTTGAATTTGACATGCAGCAAAGTGAACACGAACAGTATAATGAAGCTATATCCAGGCTGGAATGATGATATCAACGGCTGTGGGACCATGGCTCTCCTCCCATGGTTCCGTCCCCAGTAAGTTTCCTGGGTAGTTACGGCGGCAGCAAATTCCGCCAATAAAGGAAGATGCCAACGTTTTGATTCCCGGATGACGGTCCGGTCTCTATCATGATATTTGGAATGTCCTGACCCCAACGAGTCATGTACATGAGGCGCAGTCAACTCAGTCTTCATCTTTGACCTCTGATTCATCTGACCAACTATAGAAATGGGCGAGTCATACAGCCACAGCCCCTTGCCGTTTATGCCGAGGAAAAGCGGAATGTGACTGTTACTCTGAAAGGTATAGTGCCAGGCCGGACCTCCACAAGATGTATTAGCATCACATTCTCGCCCAAGTAGTAATTAGCGTAGGAATCTGAATACTTAGGATTCCGGAAGTCATATAAGGCGTGGTATTGCCGTTTATGGCATGAATGTGTCTATAGTATAACGACGCGAAGATGGTTTATTAGGCGACCCTCAATCATCACTCTGCTGCCCTTTCCAGCCCAGCCAGGCACCGGCAATCAACCCCTTACACAAGACTGCCGTCCACAAAGCCCCCATCAATCCCACCGGACTTTTCGCCCAGAGCCCTCCTAGGACCGTTCCCAGGACTAAACAAACAATCGCGCCCAGGCGCCTCCTCTCCTCGACCGCAGAAAGCGACGGAAACCTGGGACTGGAGAAGAAGTCGCAGTAGACGCTGGTCAGCACCACACTGGTCAACCCATTAAACTGCAGGATGCGGCTCGTCACAGCCTGTCCACTACTCTGGAACGCGACCAGAACCTGCGGCACGAGGGCTTTCCAACTGAGTTCCGAGTGTCTGGACGGAAAGTGAATGGTCACAATCGTCGCTGCGACTGCTATACAGAGCATCTGGACGGCGAACGACGCACAAAGCACCCAGCGCTGTCGCGACGGAAACCGCCGGTGGAAAGCGGCGAAGCAGAAGGAGCCAAAGCAGAAGCTGAAAATGGAGACCCCGGCTTTGATCCAGCGGGTGGTCTCGTCTACTCCGATCAGGCCCAGGCCCAGGTACACGGTGTTGCCTGTTTGCATGCTCACGAAGGAGCCCCAGATAAACACTGCGGAACTGTCCAGTAGGCCTGTAATGACATAGCAGAACAGGAGCAGTAAATCTCCATAGTGAGGGTTGATTTCCGAGGTGAGATGAGCAGCGATCTGGTGGGCACGCGACTTTGTCGGTGGAATGTTGCTATTCCCAGGTTGCAGTAACCAGTCTGTCTCGTGCGGGATCGACTGCGTATCGCGATGTCGAGGTGTCATTCCGAAAGTTGTATTCCCGATGAGGTCGGGATGGTCATGGAACGGAATGCCAGTGGATGAATATCAGCAAGCTCGACGAGTCTCTAAACGTGACCATGACGTCGCAAGTGTGTTGCACTTTTTAGGCTAAAACTTTCTGAGCAAAACAATCATCACAACTACAACTTAATACATATTTACAATATAAAAGGTATAAAAGCTACAGTCCCGGAATGGATTTGCKAATTATCAAAGTGTTTCCATACAATAATTACTATAATTATATACTAATGATAATCCTCCTCGGCAGTGAACAATTGAACCCTCACTGTAGCTAATCAATTTTGCATAGGTGATAATATCAGTTAACCTGGTACTACTCAATACACTTGAGGAAGTTAAAGATATCATAGCCTCATAGATCACCATCGTCATTCGTCCCTTTTTTTCAGTTACCAATTAGAAGTATCTTATTTTGGGTGCTGGTATTTGGTTCTGCGAGAAACAGGGTTTCCGGGCATACTTATGATTCTGTCCGAGGGATTTTCGCCTACACGAGTAAATGAGCCATTAAAGTCCATATCCTCGCTAATATACCCCTCTATGCGTAACTTACTTGATGTCAAAGGACTGTCGTATTCTTCGTAGCCGCAGCTGCCTTTTGTAGCTACCTTTTATTGAATGGTGAGCGCATACCTCAGTTTATACTGCCTGGATATAGTACCAATCTGCGGCATCGAAACCCTAGCCGATTATTGTCGGCGAACAAATCACATCACTTTGAGCCTTTCCAAGAACACAACTTTGCTGGCATAATCCGAGCTAAACGAATACTGCAGCCCAGGGTTCATCAGCATATCACCAGAATACGGCCCCTGCTCGTCAACGCGGTACATAGCCCCCGGATCCAGCCCCTGCAATCTCACTCTCGGCATGGTATGATTGACATTCGGGCTAATCTGGAAGAAGAACAAGACAGCCTTGGCCCCTTCTTCCGAGACAAATAGCACAGCAGGCCAATTCGACTCCTCGGGGAGACTAAGTCTCCACATGTCGCCTTTCAGCACGATCGGGTTGACTTTCTCCGCCAACGCAATCAGCTCCGGTACCGCTGCTTTCTCTTCAGGGCGCATCTTCAGCGGATCGAGCTCAAGCCCGAACGACCCGCCCATCATTGCAACGTGCGCGCGGAATGTAAGCGGGACCGTTCGCCCTGTTTGGTGATTAGGCACGGCGGAGACATGCGCGCCCATTGCGCTGGCGGGGTAGACCAGTGAGGTGCCCATCTGGATGAAGATGCGTTCCACGGCGTCGGTGTCATCTGATGTCCAGACCTGGGGGAAGTACTGCAGTATTCCCGGGTCGAAGCGCCCGCCACCCGAGGCGCATTCTTCCCAGAGGATATTGGGGAAGCGTGAGGTGAGAGTGTCGAAGACGCGGTACATTCCCAGCATGTAGGCGTGGTTTGCGGCGGGGGAGGGTGTCTCGTTGATAGCACGGTTGTGGTCCCACTTCACGTAGCTGATTTTTGCGCTGTTGAGGATTTTGGTGATGGCGTCGATGATAAACTCTTGTACTTCGGGTAGCGCGAGATTCAGCACGAGCTGGTTGCGTTGTTCGGTGCGTGGGTATGATCCTGCGTGGAGGACCCAGTCGGGGTGTGCGTGGTATAGGCTTGACTCTGGGTTCACCATTTCAGGTTCAAACCCAGATACCGAAGCGAAGATTCTCCGACAAGTTGGCAACCTTCAAGGAGGTGATGTCTTTCACGAGCGGGGCGAGTCCATTAGGAAATCGCGTTGGATTGGGAATCCAGTCGCCCAGACCGGCTGCGTCTGAGGTCCGAGGGTATTTGTCGCCAAACCACCCGTCGTCCATGACGAAGAGCTTTACACCCAAAGCAGCGGATTCTTGTGCCATGCGGTACATGTTCTCCTGGTTGATGTCGAAATACCAACCCTCCCAGCTGTTTAACAGGACAGGTCGGTTATCTGTCGCGAACTTGCTCTTCATAAGATGATTGCGATACAGGCGGTGCAGAGAGCGTGACATCCCTCCTAGACCGTCTTTTGAGTATACAGCAACACACTCGGGAGATGTGAGGGTTTCTCCCGGCGCCAAGGGCCAGGATAGCTGGTTTGGATGGAAACCAATGGACACACGTGTCAATCCCTGCGAACCTTTTTCGACATTGGCAGCAAATGAGCCGGTGTACACCGGTGAGAAACCCCATGCCTCACCCTGGGACTCGGTAGTAGTCTGATGCGCCACGGCGACGAAGGGGTTGTGCAAGTGTGACGAGAAACCTGTTGTACTCCCGAAACTGTCGAGCTAAGTCAATATAGCCCGGTATTATTGATTGTGTCCGGGTCTTACCCCTGTATGCCATAATCAACCTTGCGTCTCTGCCGATGCGCTTCTCTCGCCCAGTCGCCCCTGAGGCCGATCATATCAAAGTCCTCACATGGTAAATCAACACTCATACTGGACAGTGCCTCGATCGAGATCGTGCCCTTGCCCTTGTTCGTGATGCTCACACTCCGCACAATGGCGTCGTACCTTGGGAATATTGAGTACGTTAGATCCGCTTCGACCGCACTATACCGGTCATACAAATGCACCACTAGCGTCGAGACATCCTCCTCTATACCGAATGTCGCCGGCAAACCAGGCAGTACAGGCTTGCCCTTCACCACCGTGTGCGAATCATACTGAAAAGCAGAAACAGTATGTCCCGGTGACTAGCGGATTTGAATGGCAGGGATCCGAAAGTCTCCCCGGCCTTGGTCAGGGAATTCGCGGCGAACGCGATCAGGCATACCGGTCCATCCATTGATTATGGGAGCTGGATCATCGGGAATAGGTCCACTGACGCTGCCGCCGAAGTGATCAGAGCGCAGGTCGCCAGTGCTCTCGTCAATGTGGAACCGGTAGGAAACATTGTAGCCGTTAAGGGCGAAGGTTTTGCCTTCAACGACAATAGCTATGACCGAAAATGTTAGAAATAGTGCACAATCATAGGAAACTCGTCTTGGCCGACGTTTACTTACCATTGGCAGTCGGCGGTTTCTGAGCCATTGTATTCTTTCCAGGAGACCAAGCGAGGGGACGCTAGACGTGCAGTGACTAAAGTTACGGTGTCCGTGCTTGGTGCTCCGACAGGAAGGATTTCCCATTTAATATATCTCTGCTGTAGTCAGCCCCGCGGGGCAACTTGGAGTGAAGAAAATAAACAGAAGCTGATCTCGATCTTATCATCTAATCTTACCGGTCCAGTTGGCAGCTAAAAGTGGGCCGATTCCTCCACTGTTGGTTTTAACCGAAACGGCCACGGCCAACGGCCCGTCAAGTTATGTTTTGATATGGATTACTGCCTATCAATTAGGTAGCTCGCATTGAGCTTCCTGTTCATGATTAGATACATTACCTTCTCTTGCCATTACCTGGGGTATTATGCGATCCGTGCACTGCTAGAGACGCTTGTCTGATTGGCTGCCCATAGTGCTACATTCACTGCCTTTGCCCTTTCATTCTCCTTCACCATTGCAGGATAATTGCATTGCCCCCAAGTAGCCAATCCCTTGTATGCCCTACCGCTGCGCATTTCATTGCCAGATTTCTGGCCACAATTCTTCACAGTTCTTTGGTGAGCTTCTCATTGGTAATAGTCTAGTGTCTTGCCAGAGCCTTGGTGGCCTATGTGTCGGTTTCTCTGTCTTACAGCGCTTTTGGCACACGGCTATCGTTTCTGGGAAATAATTTATTATACAACAATATAATCTGAAGGAATTATTGAATCAGAGTCCCCTCTGCTGCCCGTCGGAGATACTCATCTTCGTATTCAAGGATCAGTCGCCCTTCGGAAACATCTTCGGCAAAGGGGATCAAACATACCAGCGAAATTCCATGTTCTTGTAGCGTAGACAAGGATGCGTCGGAAAGGCTCTTCATCGAACTGAAACGCTGGCCCATATGACCGTTTGAGATATCTGATTGCGAGGACGGCTTCTCCAGTGCACATAACGGCTGGTAAGGGTACGCAAGGTATCTTCCTGGTAGGCTCAAGCGCGTCAAATTTGGAGCAGATATCTCCGACCATCTTAATATACGCTGTGATGGCAAGGAAGGAGGTATCCAGATCAGTGGACGAAATAGCTCCACGAGCTGCGCGTGATAGACGGTCTTGATGAAAACTTATTGCAGACCTAGTATGTTTCAGTGACCAGACAACCTCGAAGCATACGAGAGCACGCACGCTAAACAAATGGCGTTTGCCCCACACAGGACTGCCCAACTCCCGGGCGTTTGCTCAAACAGGATCTCCATGAATTGCATCAGTGTGCGATCGAGAGCTGTAAATCGTTCATAAGACCAATCGGCGTCACTTGACCGTCTAAGCATCTGGACCTGTCCAAGAATGCGGGATGACTGGATCTCACGCGCAAAATAACACAAGGGAACCTGAAGCGGCGTCGAGAAAGACGGGTGGGAATCTCCTTCGACCGGTGCTTTTCGTTTATAACAAAAGATGTCGTCTATCGGCAGCCGAAAATTGGCATCAGGCTCTTCTACTGCGTGGGGTGCCTGGAACCCGGTGGCTATTTGGTAAATGACCCTGTCGCGTCTCATCTCAGTGGCCATCATGCAGTAGAAGAATAGGTGGCCTACCGGTCTAACAGATATAGTCCGCACCAGACTCTTCTTCGTTCTTCGGATTCAACCCATGAGAAACCTTCCTCATCCTGTTGGATATGATCAATATTCAAGCGGAGAGTATATCCCAGCCTCGCGCAATTCCCAACGCTCACAGAGGCCTCGTTGAGCCGGGAAGCTCTCAGCTCGTACAATACCAGCAACAATCCACTCTGCACCATCTCCAATGAAGGTTCCCGCTGGAGCTGCAGAAAGGAGAAGAGGTATTTGCCAATCTGATAGATCCTCGTCCGGTGAGAATCGTTGCTATATTGGTCATTTGAGCTCATAACCAGGAACACAGCTAATAGGAGCATTGCAGTCTCCGCGCAAGGCTCGCGATGCAGCTGAGACAGACGTTTTCGGAAACCTGGCTCTATGATCACTGAGAACCAGGGATGGATATTGCAAAAGTATTCCTCGAGCATTCTCTCAATGGATACACAGTGCTCCGTCAGCGTTGCCATGACCAGGCCTACAAAGTAGTTGTCAATATCTACGCGTCGGCGACTGATATTGTCCCAATGGGGCTGTAAGGCCTGAAAGCTGCCGGGGAGCCACAGCTGATCATGAGTGACCGGCACATGGAAGAGGAGGAAGTCAGACAGCGACGCTCGCGGAACGTCCTCGGTCTGTGTCTCATTCCACAAATAGTTGCATGATAGCCTTGATCTTGGCCGGTGTCAGTAGCTCAGAATCAAAGAGAAGATGAGGAGGAATCAGACTTGATGCATCGACTGCAGGACGGTAGCGTCTTATCGCATCTTCTCTTCTGACTGCGGCAGAGCGCACAGGCATTTGGTGAGTACGGTCCGACGACCATGGGCTTCGCATCGGCCAGAGTGGAACTCCACATGGGAGCAGAAGCTTAGTGCGAGAGTGAAAGTGCCTAGAATTAGATACTGCTGGTGCCTAGATGCGTCCCCTGTCAAAAGGGGCCCATGAACACGAGTTGCAGGTTGACCCCGCTCGACCTTATTTCAGCAGCCGCATCGGCGGCTTGGCATTTACTCTAAGAGGTCTAGATCCTATTAGTGTGCAGATTGGCTGTGTAAAGGACCATGACGAATCACATTCGAGTGACCGTTTCAGGGGTGAAACAATCTAGTGCTGATGATGCTAAAAGTATATGGCCGGGTGTTTTTTCGATAGCTTTCCTGCCTTGCCCATTTGAATCTCCTCTCCAGACATCACCACTTCGCCTGAAGACACCTGGATCTCTTCCGGGAGACCATGTCTCGATGTCTCAATCCAAGAGGAGCTACCGGGAGCTAAGGGCGAAGTGGCTTGATCTACGCTCATCTGAGGATTAGTTTGCAGGCTCGACCATGTTATCCGAGCGCCGTCTGGTGAATCTGTAGTGATCAACATTCCAGACATATTGGAAGGCCGAGGATCCGGACGCTGTGTTGCGCTGTCAACGGACTCGATCGCCCCAAGTGGCATTGTCCGCTGCGCATCGCCAGTGTCGCTCATTATCATGAATTGGTCACTCTTCACCTCCAACCAGCGCTCCAAATCCGACGGTTCGCGCAAAGGGAATTGTCTCCATTCCTCCATGCGTGCAGCCTTCTGTTTCGGTGATATGTCAGCCTTCCGTGAAGCTCGAACAAGTGATGAGCTGTTCATTGTGCGTAGAGTTGCAAGCGCTTCATATAAAGCGAGCTCTGTGTCTGCAAGTCGGATTTCTAGTTGATTGATATAGCCTAATGGTAGGCCTCTGGACTAGCTATCAGGAACAGGATCACGGGGAAGATAGCAGATTGCTTACCTCTTCCCACTCTCCGGGTAATTGCATTTCGATGGGTCCGCTGAACACTGAGAGCAGAATGGACTAACAAGAGTCACTTAGTTCTGTAGTATTCTATGTATGTGAAGAGTTATTCATACAGATTGCGATCACACTGGTGGTCACGTTAGTTCCATGGCAAGTCCATGAACACCACTCGACTCACCTTGCATTTTCTTTGTCTACATAACTCGCACGAAATAGGACCGACTGACTCGGCCTCTGTATATCTCTTGCCATCAGCAGATCTTGTCAATCATCGTAATGGTCGCAGAAGAACCAGAAAGCGGAATAACACCATTATAAGAATATCTCCACAACTGACGAAACAACGCGCAAAATTACGACAATTATCGTACCTGGAGGCATACTGGCAACTGAACCAAGGCAACTCAATAGGCAGGCGACAGATCCACCACCCAAGAGTTTGGAGTTGGCTGGCGGACTTGGAAAACTCCGGTGAACCACGTGACATCCCCGCAAATACTAGGATTAGTCATCTCACTCCTTCTCCACACTCGTGGACGAGTCTTCGCAAATGTTTAACACACAACTTCTAGGATGATCATGGATCCGGCTGGATATGACCACACCGTCTTCATCTGCGACTGGTTTGGCCGAGTGTGACGACGTGCAATGGCGCCACGATGGCCGGCCAGCCAAGAGGCGCAAAGGGACCTCACTCACGGGCACATCCAGGCCCTCGCCTCGAGAGATTGGGATTATGCGAGAGACACGACGGGATGAGTCCGCAACCTTTCTGGGAAGTTCCAGTGGTATTTACTTCATCCGGACCGTTTACAATGCATTTACAAGGCGTTCAGCTGCCTTAGAGCAAACGCGCGTTAGGAACCAGAGCTTGGTGCCTGGTGAAGACGATCAGTTACAGAGAAGTCCCGGAAAATCACACGGGCTGGATGAACTTTGCTTGAAGAACGAGTTGTCTCTTCAGACCCCGGAGTTTGTCTCATTTGAGAGCCTCGTGGGTTGGTCGCGGAGCTACTTTGAGTATTGGCACCCTATCTTCCCCTTCCTGCATGCACCGACCGTGTTGAAAACCATGGAGAGGGCGAGCGAGAGAGGAATCAAGTCACTCGATCGTGTCAGTCTAGCTATATTACGCTCTATATTCTCTATATCAGTGATTGATAACCGCCAGATTCAGGACGCTGGTATCGCAGTGGACCCGATGCCTTCTGTTCTGGTGTATCGAACCGTGCAAGAGGCGATGGAAAGCATCCACGCTTTGCTGCTGGAGCCCTCAACACTCCCGTTGCTACAGGCAGTATTCAGCGTCCAGCTAGTATTAACCTCTGTGTTACGTCTGAATACAGCTTCTAGAGTCGGGGGTTTGATCACTCGAACTGCGTTTCATCTGGGTCTCCATCGCTGTCCCGCACGCTTCTCATGCTTCAGTCATGAGGATGCGGATATCCGCCGTCGTCTCTTCTGGTCGATTTATTGTCTAGAACGATATTTGTCACAGGCTCTTGGCACGCCCCCTAATATACAGGATGACGACATCGATGTGTGCTATCCAGGGAGTGAGAGGCACGGAGACATAGGCAAGATGCCGCAGGCGAAGGCCTCTCACAGCCACTTGCGATTGCTTACACATCTCTCCAAGTTTGCAAGGCTCAGGGGTCTTATACTGGAGCTTCGCAACAAATCTATCCTCCACAGTCATAACAATAGTCTCGAGGCTGCGTATGTTAACGGAGAACTTGCGCAATGGTGGAACGAGGTCTATGACGACGTCTATCCCATGGATGAACAGCTAGAATGTCCGTCCCAGTTCGAAACATCTTTGCAGCCTTACCACCGCTTATTACTTGTGGTTCTCAGGCACGAGTCCATCATATCAATGAATCGGCCATTACTCGCCGCTGAACGACTGTCGCCGGAATACAAACCAGCMCTGCAGACTTGCATTGAGTCTTCACGTTCCCTGATTTCAGCTTTGAGAAGGTACCTCGTGGCTCATAATACTAGACAAAGTGGCGAAGATGCAGCAGGTAGTGGCAATCACCAAGCGCCATTGACTTGGCCATCGTTCACCTGGGCCACCTGGATGGCCTGTCTTATCTTGATGTACGCAGCATCGGAGGGCGAGTTCTCAACCATAAGCGCCCTGAAGTACGCTAAACTCGGCATCTTGATATTGGAAAATCTCTCCCTGCGGAAAAGTAGCTGGCCGGAGACCTGTATCGAAGCAATCAAAGGCATGGAGTCGGCCTTGAGAACCAACCTAGGTTCTGATTCTGGGCGACAGTCTCCGGGACCCAGGACATTCCCCAGAAGCACGACACGGACAACAGTGTCAGCTTCAAGCGAGGCTCACACGGACATAGGGCCCAATGGTAGAATGGACCCATTCTCAGTGCCGGATGACGGCATTTCGCAAGCAGAACCCCTGTCTTCGCCGTTGACGTCGAGAATGAGTACTTCAAACATTACCGAGAGATCACCCGGCCTATTTACCCCAGCACATGAGCAACGGCCCATGCGAAACCAGGCGCATCACCCGTCGAATTTCGGTCTGCAAAATGACCAATCCAGCTTCGGCATAGAAACTGACAGTATGAATGACATGAGCTCAGCTGGTTTGATATTCGGAGACACGATGGGCTCACACTTTCCCTATGCGATCGCTGCCGGTCAGGACCTCGCATCTTTTGCAACTGCTGACCCGTCTGCTATAAGCAATCTATGGAGTGTTGCGGATGGGCCTTGGATGATTCACGAAAACTTTTCATGATTTGCTCGTCGTCAGTGATATGAACTCACTGTCGACAGATATAGGAAATATTATTCCTCGGTTGTGGAAGTCCTTCCGAATTGCAACGGGACATGTGAGAGTTTTGACTAAGATCTGTAAAATGTTGTAGATTTTGAGCACGCTGGTTCATACAGGGAAGTATATATAGCTGAATAATGTCGGCACTTGCTTGAGGAACACGGAGGATGATTGATTTCCAGTCGAGCTCTCAGTTCTTACGCAAAATCAATTGACAATCTCCGAACTCATGGTTCATCCTACACATATTTTCATACTCAGTCTCTCGAGTGGATTGCGGACATTTCCTAGTCCTATATTTTGCCGCCGGAGGAGAACAACCCCGCTTGTTCTCTGTTTGCCCGGACTTGACAATGTCCGGCACAATCACCACCACCAAAAGTGGGGGAGTCCAACGGTGTGATAATGAGGGGAGTAACATTTGAGGGGAGTATAATAGAAGAATTACCCACCTCGCACTGGATAAATTCATTTATTCTGTTGAATCATTCGGAGATAGCTATACTGCGTAGACACCATCAAAATGTCCCCCTCCGTTCTCCCTAACAAAACTTACAACATCGCTGCTATTCCCGCCGATGGCATCGGTCCCGAGGTCATCGGGGCTGGTATCACGGCTCTCAATGCCCTCAGCGAAACCCTCAACACCTTCAAGCTCAACTTTACGACCTACGACTGGAGCTCGGAGACCTACAAGAAGACCGGCAAATACATCCCCGACGGCGGTCTGGAAGAACTGAAGAAGCACGACGCAATCCTATTCGGTGCAGTCGGTGCGCCTGGTAAGTCAATCATCACCACTCCGAAATCGCCCTTATTGACGATCGCAGATGTCCCCGATCACATCTCTCTCTGGGGTCTCCGCCTCGCCATCTGCCAGCCCCTGCAGCAATACGCCAATGTCCGACCAACCAAGATCTTCCGCGGCACGGAGTCTCCTCTCCGCAAGTGCAAGACCGGCGATCTGGACTGGGTGATCATCCGCGAGAACAGCGAGGGCGAGTACGCAGGCCAAGGCGGACGGTCGCACCGAGGCAAGGCGTGGGAAGTAGCCACCGAGACAGCCATCTTCTCGCGGCACGGCGTGGAGAGAATCATGCGCTTTGCCTTTGAGACCGCGCAGAAGAGACCCCGGAAGCTGCTGACGGTCGTGACGAAGAGTAACGCGCAGCGCAACGGCATGGTCCTCTGGGACGAAGTGGCTGCAGAGGTCGCCAAGGACTTTCCCGACGTCACTGTGGACAAGATGCTGGTGGACGCGATGACCACGCGAATGGTGCTCAAGCCCGAGACGCTGGACACGATCGTGGCGACAAACCTTGTAAGTGGCCAACCAGATTCGATTCGGCTCTCTTGATTACTGACCGTGGGATATCCACAGCATGCCGACATCCTCTCCGACCTCGCTGCAGCGCTGGCAGGGTCCATCGGGATTGCCCCCACCTCGAACCTGGACCCCACACGGGAGAATCCCAGCATGTTCGAGCCTATCCACGGGTCCGCATTTGATATTACGGGTATGGGAATTGCTAATCCCGTCGCGACGTTTTGGACCGCCGCAGAAATGTTGGCCTGGCTGGGTGAAGAAGATGCGGCTACGAAGCTTCTGGACTGCGTCGAAAATGTGTGTGAAATGGGGGTTCTGACTCGGGACCTGGGAGGAAATGCCACCACAAGGGAGGTCACCGAGGCCGTGGTGGGGCAGATTCGGAAGTTGGCCGCTGCAAAGTAAGCAGTAGATAACTGTTGAGTTGTCCACAAGATAACAGACAGGATTTATTATTTTAAAATATATATCCGCTGTAATTCAAACTCTGCAAGAATTATACTGTACCATATAGCTTATATGTGACTAGGTTTCTTGCTACTAAACTTTCCATCATATGTGGCCAGCCACCACAAGACGACTGTCCGCTTTCGGAAATTGGCAGCATCATACATCGGACATTGCCAAGCTTACTTCACAATGACGAGGGTATTGTGACTATCTTAGTAGTTCTCTCTTATAATAATGTTATAGGACCCAAAGTAATGGAGGCTGATATATATCACTACTCAGCACCATTATTATATTGCAGATTGACTGACTAGCGAGGATGAAGTTCCCCTCTGATATATTAGGGCTGCTACCGTTTACCCTCAGTAGACAGAACCCGCAGTTCAGCTCTGAGCAAGGCAGGCTAGGAAGTTCTGGGCCTATAATGTAGGATACATTCATGAAGCCATACTATGTACTAACACTTAAGAATAGTACACCAAACCAGGCCAATGCACCTTGCTGGAATGTCGAAAATCCCCAGGTTTTTACCATCACAGTGTGCGGTACTGGCACTGCCGCAGATGGCCAACAGCTTTTTACATCCTCAGACAGTACTTCATTACCGAGCGAGATAGGCACTGGCATTCCGGTTCCAGGTGCTTCCTATCAGTACTTCATAGAGCCAACCATGGGGTACCTCTGTCTTGCACCTACGCTTGGTGCCCCAATGCTACAACTGTGCGTTGAAACAGATCCCTACTGGTGTGTGGACCCGTACGGTATGGGAGTACCTTGGGTCCAAGCAGCTGGGTGGTGGCAGGGGCAGAGTGGCTACCCTGTTCAATTGCTCTCTTGCGCAGTTGATGAGAATCAATTGTCATGCCAATATGGTGGTTATGATTATCTTGAACTTGGGCCAGCAATTACCAGTCCCGGTTGGCTTGGTTGGTATCCATTACTTGCTAACAAGTCAGCCCCTGGATCGCAATATTTTACCACTAATGGAAGTTGTAATTAATGGTTGTCAATGTCAAGTTAAACACATACTGGGTTCATGGACAATATTCTTTCTCTCTAGAGGGCTTAATAATACTGTCGGCTGTAACCGTTGATCCTACGGACTACTCACTCCCGAGTTCCGGCGATGCAAGGTTTCGGCCGTGTAATCAAGATCATACAAGACACCGGAGAAAAACGCAAAGAAAAAGCGTTCTTGGCCCGATCAACCGCACTCAATCCTTCCGCAATGCGTCACGGCATCACTAGGTAATGATTCGGGAAGTTTCCGGGGGTTGAATGGCCGGCCGGTGGGGATACAGTAGAGAAATAAATTGCCCGACCTATAACGTGCGCTTCAATGGATTCATCCGCCTCAACGCACAATGATGTTCTTACGAATTACAATTTATGATGGAGTACTCCGTAATTCCCCAAGAGACACGGGTCAGTGCCTGGAGACCCCGCGAACGGCGAAAGTCGGGGGAGCAGAATTTGTTGCTGAGTGTGACCCGTCTTGTCTCATCTCGTCTCCACAGAGGTCGATATAAAGGCCAGTCAGTCTCCCAGTGTACTGCAGATGCAGAGACTTGAGCTGCATCGAATCTCACCATGGCATCCAAATCACCCAAATATCTCGGGCTCTCCGGAAAAGCCCTGCACTGGGCCCAGGTGGCTCTCATAGGTGCCCCTGCCTTCGTCGTTTTTGGATACAACCAAGCCGGTGTTGGCCCCCTGGCCACTCTCCAGAGTTGGGTCAAGACCTTCCCTCAGATCGACACGATTAACACGACCGGATCGCTCGAAGCACACAATTCCACCAGCAAGGGTACTGTCATTGCCTCCTTCCAGATCGGAGCCCTCATCGGGGCTCTCTCTTGCACACTGATCTCGGACAGACTGGGTCGCCGGAAGACCATATTCCTCGGTTCTATCCTCGCCATCATCGGAGAGATCCTCCAAGTAACGTCCTATGGATTGGTGCAATTCGTTATCGGCCGTATTATACTTGGTATGGGCGTTGGCCAGTACAGTGTTGCTGTACCGGTATGGCAGTCGGAATGTTCTTCGGCAAAGAACAGAGGACAGCATGTCATTATCGATGGTATCTTCATGTGTCTCGGATACTCACTGTGCAACTGGATCGATTTCGGCCTGACTCGCATCCCCGAGAGCACCACACAATGGCGGGTCCCGCTCGCCCTGTCGCTGCTCCCTGCCCTTGTCATCCTCCTTTCTGTCTTTTTTCTCCCGGAATCACCGCGATGGCTGGTCCAGGTCAACCGCGTGGAGGAAGCAAGCCACTCCCTCGCGTCCCTAAAGGGATTGTCTGTCACGGACGAGACGATCCGGGCCGAAATTTCCGGCATTGAATCATCTCTCGAGTTGACTGCCCAATCCAAAGGCTCCTTGATGGAGATGTTCGATCCCAACGATCAGGAGCGACTCTTCTACCGATTCTGCCTCTGTATCGTCCTGCAATTCTTCCAGCAGATGTGCGGTGGTACCCTGATCTCCGTGTACGCCTCGACCATATTCCAGCAGAACCTCGGCCTCAGCGCCAGCCTGTCCAAGATCCTCGCTGCCTGTGCCCTGACCTGGAAATTCCTTTGCTGCTTCATCGCCTTCTTCACCATCGACCGCCTCGGCCGTCGAGCCGTCTTCATGATCAGTGGCACAGGCATGGCCATCTGCATGATGTCTCTGGCCATCACCAACAGTCGCGGCATAGATGACAAGGGAGCATCAATTGGCTCCGTCGTCTTCATCTTCCTCTTCAATCTCTTCTACCCGATCGGCTTCCTCGGCGGTAACTTCCTCTACTGTACCGAGGTGGCTCCCGTCCGACTGCGCGTGGCCATGTCGTCCTTCTCAACGGCGAACCACTGGCTGTGGAACTTTGTCGTCGTGATGGTCACGCCCATCGCGCTGGATACCATCGGGTACCGGTACTATGTCATGTACGCCGTGCTCTCGGCGTGCATCCCCTTGCTGGTTTATTTCTTCTACCCCGAGACCATGAACCGCAACCTGGAGTTGCTGAACCATGTTTTCCGGGATGCATCGTCCCCCTGGGAGATTGTCTCCATGGCGAAGCATCTGCCTCAGGGAGAGGTAACCGAGGTGGACCTGATGGAGATGAACAAGAAGGGCGATGGGTGCTCTGTGGAGATGGCGGAGAAGGTCTAGTCGACGCCCTGCGATATCCAATGTATATGACATGAGTGACGGGTTGCATTATGGTTGATATATATCTGCATTTTTGTTTGTGGACATCTAGATGTCGGTAGATCCGACATTCCATTGTCCCGCGACCGCTCAGGAGGGAATTGCTATCTAAAATCCATGGAATGTTTTCTTAGCGTGTCCTTCTGCGATGAATTGATCAGAGTGTCCAAGCTGGTAATTTACACAGGTTGTTCCAACAGCTACCTCCGACAAAGCAGCCCACTCCGTAAATCATAATCCCAGCTATCACTCCCAACACCACTCCAAACGAAAAGGCTCTCGTCTGGGTCATACTTGCGTTTAATCGCAAGGAGACGGTCATAGTTCTCGCCATAGAAGTCCTTCTTCCAGCTCGTACTGAAAGCGTTCCCTTCGTTCATGTAAGAGCCCGTCTCCGGGGCCCATCGCCTCCAAACCGGCTCTATGGCCGACTCATACCATTCTGCGGCCGTCGCCGGGGCCTCGGCTGGATCTGCAGTGTCGTTGATCGATGCACCGTAGAGCATGGCGTGGACGTATGCGGAGCGCCAGGCGGGGAGCACACTACCGCGCATTTCTGGTGGCCTGGTGGCTGGTCCTCGACCCCCCTGCAGGCCGAGGAGGAGCATTGCACCCTTTTCCGGGTCCTGGGATGTAAGGACTTGTTGGAGATAGGTGATTAGATTGGCTTTCGGGAGCTCGGTGAGCTCTCGACGGCCCAGAAGGCGACTGCTCATGGAACTACTAGCGCCAGAGGCCTTGCTGGCCATGGGGTCGGGTTTCGCGAAGGTCCAATAGCTCTGAGCTGAGGGCGGCTGATATGACAGTGAAAGGGCGCTTGAATTGTGGTAATTTGTGATGCGCGCTGCGACGTGGTGAAGGGTGGAGTTCATTTGTTTCGTTGTCATGTTGTATCCAATGAGGCCGATGGTGACTGCCACACCCTGGATCGTCTCGTTGACACCGGTAAGCATAATGGCTCCCTCCTTCGTCAATGCCGTGACAGTCCCCGTCAAGCCCAAGTCCATCAGGTCTGGAATCATGCGTGCGGTTACCGCAAAGGCATCCCATGAGGCGAACTCACTCGCCTTCATACCGTGGTTGGGATAGAAAGAAAGACCGCCGGTGACAACGTTCGCAGGTACAGGGTATGTCTTGAGAACAAACTCGGTGACAACCCCGAACTGGCCTCCACCACCACCTCGGACAGGCCAGAAGAGATCTTCATTTTCCACATGGTTGGCCACTAGGCGACGGCCATCCGTAGTTATAACTGTGACTTGGTATACCTGATCTGAAGCCAGTCCGTAGTGGCTGGAAAGCAGACCGTGGCCCCCGTTCTGAATCAACCCACCAGGCCCTACTGTGGCGTCCTCCCCGCCGACGACGGTGCGGTTGAGTTCATGAACGGCAGTGTATATAGATCCCCAGGTGTTGCCGCTCCCAATGATCACGACGTTCGCAGTGCGGTTAGAGGCAGGCACAGGCCATGAAGGTCGATGGACGATGTGCCTAAAGTTGTGCGTCCAGATCGACAGCGAATATACGCCGGTAGATCTATATGAGCTTCAATTAGTTGAAAATGAAAGCAGGAATTACCAAGTTGCATACCGTCCGCTGAGGTCATGACCTGTTCCCTTCACCACGATACGGATATCTCGTTTGGACGCCCACTGCATTGCCTTGGCTACCTGCTCCTCAGTGGTAGCATTGACAATATACTGTGGGAGAGCTCCGATACTACAGCCCCGGCCCTCCGTGTATCCTGCAACACCTGGGGGCAAGCAGGAGTTGTTGGTAAAGATTGAGTAATCGACGCTCTCAGGCCAGGCGGAGTGGTATGCAGCATATGGCCAATACTTCTTCACGATCGTGCAATTTTCAGTCGAGCCAAAGGAATTTCCGGGATAGCAGGACGACGCAACCGGGGCTGTCTTGATCAGGGTTCCTTGGATTGATGCGTTCAGCGCGGCCCATTCTTCGGTAGAAGGCCATTCGGCATCAAGGGGATGGTTGTTTATATATCTTTATTTGTACCCAATAGCCCCTGTTATATTTCGACGGATATTAGCGATCCTGCAAGACCAATACGATTAAAACCTGTCGAATTTGATTACCAGCATGAATGTCGGACCAATGCTGCGGAGAAATGATGAACATCTATACATGGCTCTGATCACTATTGGTTATAGATTCAGGATCGTGGTTCCCTCTGTGCAGATCTCACCATTTTGGAGGGGTTTGGTCGTATTCGTATACTCAGGCAGAAGCAGCACCATAAACTAATTTGTAACTGTCATGGTTATACATATGGAAATAGCCCAATCGCTGTACATAGAGCTTTCCGCTGCAAAGTCTGACTGGATGAATCAAGTGTCACATTCACCAGAGCGAATGACCTGCAATTCCATGAGCGATTTTCTCCATGCAATCTAACCACATGGAATGCTTCATGAGACCGAAGAAAGTCACTCGAATCCTCTTAATCAATACAGTTAGCGAAACACGTATCCCATTCTAGGGGCAAAGCATGGTCGAGGCCAGTGAGGTTATGATGCCAAAGGTCCACCAGTCTCCACTGGCCGTATTCGTACAATTTCTGCCTTTTTGGGAAAATAGATCATGGCGGTAGATTTATGCTTTCCATGAAGGGGTTTCACCGTGCGATCTAGCCAGGTGGAATTCATCCCAAGAGCAAAGAAAGTCTGTAAGACTCCCAGCTATCCTGCAATAGTCAAAATGGCTTTTAATAGAAGTCCACCTGCTCTAACAGGTAGTAGTCCCTTAACTATAAGAAAATCAGGAGTAAGTATTAGCCAGAAACCAATACACTAATTGCATGATCACTATGTAGCGTGATAATAAAAAATGTACTAACAAAACCACCGGGGTCAGCCAGAGTACCGCCCAGATAATATTTTTTGAAACATTTCTCGCTATACCAAAGCTCGATTGCCCTGAAAACTGGTTCAGCATATTAACCGAGCTTCAGGCTATCGACCAATGCTCAGAAAGCCGCGGTTGGTGAGGTCTTTTGGCTAGTGCTGGGGAGTCCATCCCCTGACCAGTATATCTAAATGGGCTGAGATTCCTCAGAACAACAGCGCGGGTGGTTAAACCTACATACGGGGTGACCACGACCACGACGCTTTCAAGAAGTAATGGACCTATGGAGACAAGTGGAGCAGATAACTGTCTGATGACTTCAACCTGCACCATCAGTATTGGGAGGCTAAGGCTACAAGAGCGGACCTCCTAGTAGAGGAAACAGTCATGAAGTATTAGGTCGCTCACTGGCTCTTCTACATGATAATCTCTTAAAACATGACTGCACGTCTCGGAGAGTGGAAAAGTTAAGATATATCTTGGAGAATATCCCAGACTAAGCTGGTATGACCTTCATTGAACCAGAGTGTCAAACACTCAGTCACCCAGCGAAAGTAATTGCCACGTCACTATAACGAACAATACTAGAAACCCAGCAGCATCGTGTTATAAAAGTAGTAATTGTCATAAGGGACATCCCTCCTCTAGAAAGTCCTTAACACAGGATAGGATGCCAATGTCTATCGTACCATTGCCGTATATACTGGGCCAAACCTGGACAACATTGACCCATACTTTGTGCATGAAACGGTTCAGTTTCACTATGTCATCTGAGGCTAGCGTTTGGCATTTCAGACGCAGTGATTGTTGAATGGCTGTACATGTGGGACGCCTGAAGGTGATGAATGAATATCGGATGACGCTGTAGATAAACCGAGACATAGCAGAAATAGCCCCGTGTGCATGGGGCTGTAGTATATCAAAAGTCCGCCCTGGATAGGGAATAGGCGATTTTTGGGCTCGCTGGGAAGCTGCGATCCGGCCCGCCATAGTCGGCTACTAGGTATGAGCCTGTTCACTCGAGTTGTCCGGCACATTAAAAGCACGGATCAGTTCTGCCTCGGGAGAAAAATTAGCAAGACATAGACAACCCAGCCTCCCAGGGCTGAAACAAAAAGAAAGGGAAGACAGACCATAATAAAAAGTCATAGTCTCCAAATGTGCATCGATGGCAATCCTTTCATCAACCCCATGTATATTCAGTGCCCTGCCTGTCCTAACTGGATCCCAGCGATATATATTCTTTGATAGATTCCAGTAGAATATTGTGTCTGTGTTACCTGACATAAAATCCCCAGAGACTACAACAGTTTTCCCTTTTAAACTGGGAACTGTCTCAAACACTGATCGTATAACCCCCGCAAACCGGGTCCAAACTGCATCATGTGTGGGGCTAATGGGCGCCGGGTGCAGCTCAATCTTGTCTGTTGACAGTTGTAGATAGTTATCTCTTTTCGATTTGGGGACTTCCCGGAAGCCAAATAAGGTTAAGTTATGTTTCCGAGCAATAGGAGCAATGATCTGAATAGCGCGAGACTTGATGGTGTCTGGTGTTTGATGCATGGCAATCCGATAATTAACCAACGCTGATATATTCTGTGGCAGATTATTTGCTTTAATACCACCGTTGAAAATATCAGCCGCTTGCGATGTTTGCAGCATAAATCTAAACTCAGGGCCCCTTGAGAAGGCCAGCTTCTCTGCTGCAAACGCATAGTTGGTGGATTGTAGTATGTCTGCCAGCCATGATTCAACATAGTTTGGTGAGTATCTCACCTGGCATTCTAGCTTTTCGCGAGTCGGATGTGTCTTGGGTAGCAGGGCCGTAAAAAGTTCTTCTCGTTCGAGGAAATAAATGACCTCAGACATTATTCCAATGCCTGTATGAGGCGGTGGAACAGAGCTGTGCCCCCCCGGCACTTGAAGATCCAAGAAAATATTCATACTGCCCTTTTCACTTATCCCGGGAAGGGCGTAAACGATGTCATCGTCCCCTTCGTCGTTGGCAAGGGTTACAATACCCATACCACCTTCGTCTGTGATCAATTCGAAGCTGTATCGTCCATATTTTTGCTCAAGGAAGGAAGAAATTGACTTTGCACCAAGCTGGCCCTGGATCTCTTCATCAAAGCCCAAGGCAAGTATAACGGTACGGGTTGGGTACCATCCCTGGGCTAATAAATCCTCAACCACAGAGGATAGTCCAATTACCAGATTTTTGCAGTCGCTTGCTCCGCGGCCCCAGAGCCATTCACCGTCGAAATGCCCCGAAAATGGTGGGTAGGTCCACTTAGTGGGCTCATCAATAGGGACAACGTCTTGGTGGGCGGCGAAAAGAAGAGGTTTGAGGCTTTGATCAGTCCCATTTAAAGTAAAGACTAGACCTATCCTGTTGATATAGTCTAGTTTAGCCTTGGAGAACCTCCAGGCAACTGATTGTTAGGTGTGGACGTGTGCGACAAGTACGTGGGGGAAACATACATAAGGGGGAAAAAGGATCGAAGAAGCCCGTGAAAGTCAAGAAATGGACCAAATTCTTGACTATAAGGGTCTTGCATGTGCTCTTTGATTAGAGTTGGGATTTGGACAGCTTTTGAAAGGCGATCAGCCTGGCGCAGCCGTATTGATTGATCCTGTGTGAACCTGTGAGGCGGGAGGAGCCCATCTTGAGGGCTTTGCACGCTAGGCACCATTGGACAGATGTTGTTCTGGTTATGGCCATTGCTAATCCAGGAATTGAGAATCTGCTGCAGGGGCGGAATGCTAGGAATCTCGACCGAAACCAATGCTATTATTAATCCCACGGCAGTAGTAAGTAGGATCATTGAACACATCGTGGAATAATATGGGGATGGTGCTATTTCAATAGGTAGAAGCCTTGACATAGATTCCAGCAATGAAACGTGCAGATGGGGAGTGTATCCCACGCAGCTGTTGTTTTGGAATGATAGACACGGAGAAAATTATCTATGGTCAAAAAATGTATAAGCAGAATTGCCTAGACTTGAACTTGGTATTTAAAATAGTGAGGAGTAGAGGCGTTTTTACCTTGGAGAGGGGGCAATGTACAAAAAGCAGTGAACAAATGTCAACCCTTACTGTAAACTGCAGGTTTCAGGGCAAGCCTCTTACTGCTAAAATGGTAATGGTTGGGCGGTTATAAGAAATGATAGAACCGCTTGAATCCTGACTTAGGCGTTGACGTCGCGACCAAGGATATAATGGAGTTGACTAGCCTCTTCCGGCAGCTACTGAAATCTAATTCCTCGTCCCCAAAGGAAGCCGACCATCTACAACCCCTGCGTTTCGCGTGAAGCCGATGAAATCACAGTAGCATTTCGCTGCGCGGCGAAGAACCAAACCTCAAATTAGATTGACGCATCGACTATTACATGGTTCTTTGATGAGGTATGGTAATATAGGACGATGGTGGAGCCGAGTTGTGGATGACGTAGTACCAGGAGCATACACTGGCACCTAAGGCGCAAACTGAAACAATATGTAACATCGAGTTGATAAATTGGAGGTATCCTTGCATCATAATATGACGGTGGATACTCAGGTCCTACCGTCATTCCTGCGCCAAAGCAGACTCGGAAGAGACGAAGATGGTAAGGATCATAAGAGGGAATGTCTTACAATTTTCTCGTAGATGCTTCTGGCACTCAGCGCAGCCCCTTCAGTTATAGGATTAGGCTTTTATAAGATCAGCCGGAACCACCGGGCCGCACATTGAAGGTAAGCGTTGCACCAGCGTGTCGATTCCCATCGGTTATGGTTTAGGGTTTTTGCAAAAAGTCTTCCCGAAACTTTAAAATTTTTAGTCTAGATATGGCGACAGTGGTATAACTGCCTCTTATCTAGAAGGAATGAAATACCAATGGAATACCCCCACAAACGCAGTTCTTTAGTACGGTCTGAGGACCCAAGTCAATGCCATCATGACTTTCTCTGGTTACGCGCACAGCAGGCTGCTTGGTTACTAATCGCAGTTACTTTGATTTATTGAAATAGTCCCATAGACGCTTTGAAATAGCGCATGTAGTTGAGGCCTACAAAAAACGTTTCTGTTTCTGCCCTATTATCTGCCAACATCGTATTATATTTCACTTAGAGGATGGCCTTGCCTGGCACACCTTTTCTCAATATAGCCCTAATCGCCGAGCAGAGGTCGACCTATCGCGACCAAGGTTATTCGGACGAGGAATGCGCAGCTCTACCACACATCGGTGAAGCCGACAAGGTTTTGACTACCTTGCAAGAATTGGGACATCATGTTACGCTGGTGCCAGGAATACAAGCCCTTGTCAAACACCTAGCGGCTGGCACAAATAAGCATTGGGACCTAGCATTTAACATGGCACAGGGATTCCATGGGCTAGCCAGAGAAGCCCAGATCCCAGCGCTGTTAGACGCTTACCAGGTTCTGTACACGTTTTCAGACGCTGCAACGATGGCATTGTGTCAGAACAAGGTCTCTACTAAGGTATCGTACCCGGCGCACTGGATTATTTCTTGAAAGACTGAGGCCCAGTTAACTAATATATGGATATGTAGATTATCCTAGCTCATCATAAGATACCAACTGCCCCATTTACAGTGATCTCACGGGAGGAACAGAAACTGAACCTTGAGAATCTTACCGATATGCTACCACATTATCCACTTTTTTTAAAGCCGGTTACTGAAGGATCGTCCAAGGGGATTGACACATTTAGCAAGGTCACGGAACCGGCAGACTTAGAGTCGGCGGTCAAAAAGCTAAGATCACTATTACCAGACCAAGATATCTTGGTAGAACCCTTTCTGTCAGGCCGGGAGTTTTCTGTGAGCATTCTAGGAACTGGTGCTCAGAGTCGCGTTATTGGCGTAACAGAATTTCTGTGGAAAAAGCCTTCCAGCGACAGGACTGTGAGAAATGGAAGCTGCAACAGTCTAGAGTTTGCCAGCAGAAAAAGCAAGTGTAGTGACACCGACATGCTGGTAGAACGCAACGACCCTGGTCTTATGGCCGATACTCAGGTCAAGGCTGCCTGTCAAGTTGCATTGGACGCTTGGAAAACTTTTGGCTGCCGCGATGCTGGGCGTGTCGATATTCGATTCAGCTCCAATGAGCTAGATGCCGTTCCCAATGTTCTAGAGGTAAGTCTTCCCACGTCAACTTCATCTAAGGCAGGAGACTTTTAACTAACCAGATATAGCTGAATCCTATTTCCGGACTTCTTCCTGGCCATTCCCCGTTGGCACGCAGTACTGAAGCAAACGGTTTTCCATACAAGAATCTGTTGGCTGCAATCATCCAAAGTGCATTGGCCAGGAAGGCAGCTGGTAATACTTAGCTAGGAAATTTCATAGCATCCTGCCCATTGTTGATGTCTCTTAATATCATCGAAGTATGATTTGTGACCGAGTTTTAAAGCTATATCTGCACGACACTTTGGAGCTTGCCTTGATTTTTCTACTGATGTATGCCATGGCTCTAGCTATGGTTCGTGGCTTTTTGGTCGTGCTCCTCCTGGTTAACAATTCAAGTACTAGAAACCACTTTATAGGCTTGAATCTGTGGGAAGTTCACTGAGGAAGTGATCTCGGCAGTCAGTAGCTCTTATTGCCAGGGAATACCGACCGGTCCCTGAGCGTGCAGGAGAGGTTCAAGACCGGGCTCTCTCCCGGGCAGTTGTCTTATTCTTCCTTTGGCGTTGAGTTCCGGTACCCGTCTTTCCTTATTAACGGCATGCCGATTCCATTGTTGTTGGATGTAAAACCATTAATAGACAACTCTAATGCTCCCCAATCCTGGAAACTGTCTTACAAGCTATTTCTATTACACTGGTTGGCAGGACGGCCGCTCGGGCGTCTCCGTTGCGGATGGGATCGATGCCAGACGAGGTGGATGAAGAGACAACGCTACTCTCCAAAACATCGTTACAGATGGCTGTTTGTGGACAGATGGATTTCTCTGAGCGAATCGGCCAGATATCATGGCCTACCACTAATGTCACTTTTAACACATTTAATCTGAGCCGTTCATACCAGCTGAGAATCTCGTTGGCGCTCGAATGACCAGGGAAATTGTTGAGACTCGTTGCTACAGATTTGGAGGTAGGAGTACTCTCAAATGCTGGAATGACGACAAAGAAGGAGACTTTAGCCTGTGGCTCAGCGGATGAGTGTTCCTGTCATTCTCGAAGATATGTGGCGTGCGGCCCGGACGAACAACCACTATCGTATTCGTCGTCATCAACTGTGTCTGAGTGGAATGTGGAAGCAAAGTGCAGCATTTAGAATTTGCGCAGTGAACAAGCACACAGTTCTAGGTATGAATATTTCTCATGGGCACCTGCGTATGCTGAAATCCAACATATATATGCTCGTCTCTACGTATGTGCGTGCCATAATGTACATGGTCAATTCCCCATCGACGATATCCTCAAAATGGCGCTCTCCACACAGGTGCACGCTTCTTGAGAAATGCAGTGACTCCCTCCACCATATCACGCGTCCCGAACATGGAATAATAAAGTGACCGCTCAAACTCATGGTCATGCTGCAATTCATCGGCTGGTAAAATGTGAGTAAGTCAAAAACAAGAGGGAGTAATGAAGCTCACCTCTGCATATTGCTTCCTTTGCCACCATCAACGTGGAGGCACTATGAGAAGCCAGTTTTTCTGCAATCTCCAATGCCCCCGTCAAAGCCTTTCCTGGTTCGACCAGTTTGCTAACTAGTCCTAGCTGATAGGCCTTGTGCCCAGAAAGCGGCTCATTGAGCAGAATCATGTTCATTGCCTACATGCGATCTTGTTAGTATGATCCCTTTTCAATGGGGCCAGGCTTCGCCAGAGAGCAGCTACCCTGTACTTGCCCACAGCGGCGGTCACTCTCTGTGTACCTCCAGCACCCGGGATAAGACCGATTGATATTTCCGGAAGTCGGAATTCCACGGTTGGCGTGGCGACGATGAAGTCTGCCTTGAAGAGGGATTCAGTCAGGTCTGAAGCGATCTGAAGGGGCGATATAGAATACCATCAAGGCAAGTTCAAAACCACCACCAAGCTGTAAAACACAGCTTCCTGTCAGCATCACCATAACAATAGTTAGGGAAGGAGACGTACCGCTTTACCCTCGACCGCCGCAATAATCGGCTTGCGGACCTGTTTCATTCCATGACAGAGATCTTCAAGATACCGTTTCTGCCGAGCAGTTTCGCCATCCAACTGAGCGATCTCTTTAATATCGGCACCAGCTGAATGAAAAGCCGCAAGTTGCAACAAGTCAGCTACACGCCTCCTACATTTAACGTGTGACACCTACCCGAGAAGATGGCGCCCGAACCGGCGATGACGATGGCTCTGATGTGCGGAGCAGCCAAGGCTATCTCCAGCTGTCGCAATAACTCGTCGATCAGGGCCTGACATAAAGCATTTCGCTTATTAGGACGATTCAGAGTGAGAATCCGAGCAGATGTCTGATATGTCTGAGCTAGGATAAGCACTTCGGTACCCGTTGGATTATCCATGACGATGCGCATCTAGGCTGGGATCAGACAGCAACACGAATGTTCTAGCTTCGAGGAAGCAGTCCAAGCTAAAAAGGAGCTCAACACCTGACTGAGACATTCCCTGGCGGGTTCTTACGTTTCCCGTGTACGGAGCAGTGGTTGAACCATACGGAGTTGCGGGCCGTGTCAAGCTGCCACAGGCCACAACGGCTGAGCAGTTAGACTGAGTGTAGCATGTCGAGAATACCACTTGCGCGTCATGGCGTCACACATGCAACGAGCAAAAGAGGCCAAGATGCCTTTCCGGGAATTGTTACATTAACATAAGCACCTCAGACCGTTATCATCCGGACCTCCGAGCGCTGATCCGGTTGAATCCCATGTGAAGGAATCGAGAACATTCAGGGATGAATCATTTCCACGACTATAATGAACTGATTGGCTGGGACCGAATCTCTTCAGACGGCAGATGCAGAAGAGGCGTGCGACCAGGATCACCCTAGAGCGGGTAGAGCGGGTAAAGCCACCAATGTCCGAAAGGAATCCAGGAACGATCACCAAGAGGGCCCATGATCGACGCTGTTGACCCCGCATGCCCAGCCCATTGCTACTCCAACTGTGACGTCGTAGACACCTAAAGATGCCGAATCGAGTCAATTGACCGTCGCGATGCATCGGCTTGCCTCACTGCCATCCCGCAATCCTACGCTCCGGCCGTGACTACCGGGGCCAGGTTGCTCTTGTTTCTTACATAGTACTGGTGGGCCGCCGCCGGAACGGCTTTCGGACCCCGGAACATTTGCACGCACGACGGTGGCCCGGTCAAGGTCGGTGGGTATGTGTAGGAGAAAAGCCGTCGGAGGCGCGCGCGGGGCCAGAGGGGCAGGCAGGCAGGCAAGCAGACAAGGGGGGCCGAGCAATCAATTTTGCGGCCGTCTATGGCTTGGCCAACTATTTCCCTCTACCCGACTCGGAGAGACGGGTGTCTATTCGCACCAGCAGCGAGACCGTAGCACAATGGGCGCACATATATCTTGCGAGGGACTCCTCTTGCACTCCATTGATCCTTCCGGCAGAGTTACTTCCTGCAACAAGTTTTGGTACTCTTGCAAATTTCCCCAGAAATGGAGTCTTCCCTAGTCTTTCCGCGAGACGGAAATATTTTCCGATCGTTCGGCTTCGGCCCCCAGCGCGCTGTTCCTTATCCGACTGTTCACCATGCCTTCATAGATCGTGCGAAGCAGTATCCTGACGCCATCGCCCTCTGTGATCTCTCCCAGAACAAACCGGTAGAGGTCCCATATGGTAATCTGCTTCGATACGCCCAGTTCATTGCCCTTCAACTTCAAAACCATGGTGTGGTACCTGGCAGCAGGATTGTCCTTGCCACGAAACGAAGTGTGGAGATGGTGGCAGGTATTCTAGGCATCCTCATGTGTGGTGCCCAGTATATCCCCCTCGACGGCGCTGTTGTGCCGGACCAGACACTGGAACATGCCGTGATTCAATCCCAGAGCTCGGTTGCTTTGTGTACTGGTGCCTTCAGGTCGAGACTGCATTCTTTTGCACAACTCTCCTCGGTTCTGGTTCTGGAAGAACTACTTGCTGAGGCGGAGCGTACTGGGTTCCAGGTGGACACCACTCGTTTGATTTGTGAGGGAGACCAGAGTTCGGGGTGCTATGTGATCTACACTTCCGGTCAGTCTGTTATCGCTCCTATGCACTGAATGTGATCTAATACCTCTCCATGAAGGTACCACCGGAACACCCAAAGGCGTGGATGTCACTCACAGAAATGTTACAAACGTTGTCTGCCATGCGTCCGGTAATCTGGGTATATCTCGTGGCTCGAGAGTAGGACAAGTGTTGTCCATCAGCTTCGACATGGGTGAGAATAAGAGAGCTGCAATGACAAGTGCCCTTACTGACATTGTTAGGTGCTTGGGAAATACTAGGGAGCCTTTCCAACGGCGCGACCTTGGTCCTAAGAGGGTCCGATTGGCACGCGGCACTACAACAGGTGAGCCAAGATACCGAAAACATTTGATGTAGTCATATTGAATCTCGTCCCCAGGTCGATACGCTGATATGCACCCCGAGCATACTCGGTCGATACCGCCCCGAAGACTTTCCCAATATCCGTTGCATCGCCACTGCTGGCGAGCCATGCTCTCAAAGGTAGTCATTGTCCACTAGAGTATGTCTTCGACTTGAGTTAACGTACTCTTCTAGTCTCGCGGACAAATGGGTGGCGAACGGGGCAACCTTCTACAACTGCTGTGGCCCAACAGAGGCTACCATCATCAATACCATGCATAGACACAAACTCGGCCAGCAATTGACCATAGGAAGACCTCTGCCAAACACCAGCGTGTATATACTGGACGATAGGCAAATTCCAGTTGCGATTGGAGAGGTCGGGACTATGTGGGCTGGTGGAGCAGGAATCACAAGAGGGTATCTCGGACAACCCGAGAAGACTGCCGAGTGTTATCGCTATGATCCTTTTGTAGACGACGGGTGAGTCTCCAGGCGCTCTGTCTGACTGAAATGCTTCTCGCTGACAGGATCGCTCCAGTCACTCAATGATGTTCAATACCGGCGATTTGGCCCGGTGGCTCCCGGATGGGAACTTGGAAACGTTGGGACGCAATGATGATCAGGTCAAAATCAAGGTAGGTCTTTCACTTCTTTTTATTGTAGTTCCACAGTACTGAAGGCGGTAGGGCTTCCATGTTGAACTAGATGGTGTCAGCGCGTCATTGGCCTCGTGCCCAGGTGTTATGGAGGCGGCCACCATCATGGTGCAAGGAGACCTTGTTGTATTCATCACTCCTCAGGCGCTTGATTTGTAGGAAATACAGACATACCTGAAGGCGAGACTGCCATACTATGCTATCCCAACATAAGTGCATAAGGTGGATGCGTTTCCACTGATGTTAAATGGTAAGATCGACAAACAGGCCCTTGCTCAGCTGTGCCGCGCCTATAAGACAAAGTCACAAAGTGTTCCGGAGATCATGGATAAGAAGAAGTAGATTGTTTTGAGCTCCTCCTTGCAAAACTGTATCAACCCAATCTAACTCTTCAGAATCACTCCACAAGCCCGTGCTGTTGGCGGAGAAGAAAAACCGGAAAGCCATCCGGGGACTCAGATACCAAATCTTTATTGTCTACTGAAGGCTCTTCATGCTCATCTGGCTAGCAAATATTACTACACTCTTGTGTGTTCTTCTCATTCTGAACACTGGCCCCCAGTGGATCTCAACGATCGCCTTCATCAACCTCACTATTGCCGTCCTCGTCCGCCAGGACGCTGTTATCAATATTCTCTACACAATCTGCTGCTCGGTACCAAAGTCATGGCCGTTGGCGATCCGACGCCGGTTCGCAAAAATCTATCATTTTGGTGGAGTTCACTCGGGTGCTGCAATGGCCGCTACGGCCTGGTTCGCCGGCTCGATCGGTTATAACATCTACAACCGTGTCGACGATGCCAAAGCGATTGCGAGAGTCTCACCCGCAACTCTGACCCTTTCCCTAATCGTGTTACTCCTCCTATTCGCAATGATCGGCTTTGCATATCCGACCTTTAGAAAGAAGCGTCACAACACGTTCGAGCGCGTCCATCGCTTCTTCGGCTGGACAATCCTCGGCATCATCTGGATCCAGACAATCCTCTCCATCCGGGACCAGCGCGGCACACAATCCTTGGGTCATGCCGTCGTCTCTTCTCCTAATTTCTGGATGCTGCTCGTCATCACTGCTAGCATTGCAAGCTCGTGGATTTTCCTCCGGAAGGTTGCCGTCGACGCCGAGGTCCTCTCCAATCACGCCGTGCGCCTTCACTTTGACTACACGATGCCGGTCAACGGGACGTTTACGCGACTGTCCGAACGGCCTCTCTTCGAGTGGCACTCATTCGCAACAGTCCCCGCCCCAACAGCAGTGAACGGTAGACCGAAGGGGTACTCCCTTATAGTCTCTCGCGCAGGGGATTGGACAGGACGGCAAATCAGCAAACCACCCACCCACCTGTGGGTCCGTGGTATTCCCAGTAAGTCTCCTCTTCAGTCATTATATTCCTCTGCTAATCATCCGCAACAGCCTGCGGTGTGATGCGCATTGTAACGCTCTTCAACCGCGTCGTCCTAGTCGGGACGGGCTCAGGTATCGGTCCTCTCCTCGGGCATATCCAAGTCCCCACGTGCCCGATACGGCTAGTCTGGTCGACGCCGAACCGCGTCGATACATTCGGGAAGGACATCGTGGACGTGGTCTACGCTGCGGAGCCGGGGGCTATCGTGCACGACACGAAGAAGCAAGGGCGGCCGGATTTGGTGCGGCTGACGTGGGATGCGGTGCAGGAGTTCCAGGCTGAGGCGGTTATTGCGATTTCGAATGAGAAGTTGACTAAGAAGGTGGTTTATGGGATGGAGACGAGGGGAGTTCCTGCTTTTGGGGCAATCTGGGATAGCTAGCTTGTTCGTGTTAGGTTGTTGATTGTGGTTGGTGTTTGTATTCCATGTTTAACATAGTATGCGATCTCGTCACCTTCCAAAACTACTTGGGATCCAACAATTTTAGCTGTCCATTCCCAGCACATTCCAAGAATTATCGGCGATAAAGAACTGCGCAAAATCAAAATTCTCCGAACTGGACAAATCCGCGACCAAGTCTGCAAAGGACTCGGAATTCTCTATACTCTGTCGCCGCTGGGACATGGGTTCATGGTCATGGGCAAAGTGTAGGCCCAAGAGACCGTTCAGGCGCGCCGCATCGTGATCCTTTCGTCGCTGCTGCAATAGAATCAAGGAGCCAGCCGTCCGGTATGCCTCCCTCAGTACCTCAGTGTCATACACATCCGTTACGTATTTGAGAGTCCGCACCGCGTCGTCTAACAGAGACAACGACTCCGGACTATCCACTGCAAGTAGCGTGCAGATAATCTGGAACGGAACGTTAGCGACGTGACTCCAGGGACAGTTTGCATCGACTAATTCCCGGGCGCAGGCGAGAGCTTTCGCGATTAAAGCCAGCATTTGGCCCATCAGGGCAGCGGATAGGGTTGAGTGAACCGCACGGAGACGGCGGAAGATGCATAAGACGAGGTTGCATTGGGAGAGAACTGACGGGGGTTGCGTGCGGCTGCTTTGCATGATATTGACGAGCATGGAGGTAAGCTGGACTGCGTCGACCGGCGTGAAGGGGTCGAGACTCTCCGAAAGGGGCAACAAATCCAGCATCTCGGCCGTGAAATCGCCGTCCCGACTGGACGGAGTTGTGTATGATGCGCCGTGTAAGATGATTCGTGATCTTGCCAGATCAAAGGATACCCAGGTGTTGATGTATTGGGAAAAGGAGACGATCCTACGTCTGATATCATCGTCAATATTCTGCGTCGGTCGTAAGAGCGCATGTCTAGATGAAGGGTCCAGGTGTAGACCGGACGCGTCAATAAGGTGGAGTAGTGTACAGCTCGCCAGCCAGGCCGTGTGAGGCGACGCTGTTAACCGCAGGTAAGAAACCCGGAGAGCCCATCCCGTGATCAGCATCAGTGGTGGTATCTCGCCTCCGGAACGCTGTTCGAGAGCCGACTTGGCCGACTCGACTAGATGCAGCTCTGCAGCCACTGCTTTCCTTTGAGAAAACAAATAGCCCATCGCGGCCACTCCGCAAAGAACGACATCGTACGGTTCGAAAGCGGACGGTCGATGCCATCTCGACGGGATATATTCAAAGCAGCTATCCTGGTCAATGAAGCCGTAGCAAGGAGCGACCTTGTCGAAGTAAATGTGCGTCAACGCGCGCGCCCATTTCCTCCGCAGAGATGATATTTACTATCGGCAGTGCCGTGAAGGTGCCCGGCAATTGGCGTAGCCCGATATTCCACGCGAAGACCTGAGGATCGAGTGCATTGAGCGGGTCGATCTTGAGTCCCAGGTTCTGCACAAAGACTGCGCCTGAATTGGGTCCGATCGACTGCTGGACAGCATTGGAAAATCGCTCACCTAGCTGTGATGGACTTGGTGGCGTCGGGGGCCTCGGGGCCCTTGGGGACTCTGAATGCGACTCCGTCTGCTGCGTCTGCGCCGGTTGGACCGCTGTCAGATTTTGCAGGGTGATATTCTTGTTTCGTTTCTTGCGCGAACCCAAGTCATAGCGGCATGTGTACTCGGATTCTGTGCACATCTCGCAGGGTTGCTGGCCGTTGCACTTCCTCTTCCTGGTCCGACATGGTTCACAGGCAACCTTGGACCGACGTTGCCGTTTTACTTGGCCAGACATATTGTCTTCTGGCTTTGCACGTCTCCTGGTGAAGTGACTCCATCCCTATCCATTACTAGATACTCGGAGCCGAGATTAGCAATCCCCATCGAACCGACTGTCATGACTCATGAATCATGATGCCGCATGATTACTAATATCGTGGTTTTCATCATCTGCGCCATTCCCTTTTCGGATGTAGGGCAAAACGTCAGGGCTTATATCTTGGTGTCGACCTTTACTGGTAGTACAACAGCAGAATTCAAATATTTTTCGGAGGCACTGAGACATGGCTGAACAGCAGTGGGACATTCCTTTTAAGCTGGGTGAATGTATATCCTGTGCGGTGTCAATAATACCGCCGCTTGGTGGATTCGTGGTGCTCAACTTCAGTGACTCGGAATCGAATGGAATACTTGATTGACGCCGTATCCAAGTCCAAAGTAGTCCAAAGTAGGCGGGTAATACTACCTTTGTTCCGGTCATTCCCTTTATGCTCAGGCTAGGTGGTAGCCGGGATAGAAGTCGACATCGGAATACTCGTGGGGATGCTGGCATACTTGTGGTGGAAATTCTTGGTGTCCGTGACTTGTCTTTTGCCAGTCAGAGACGCAAACCTTGCGATATGCATAGTATAGAGCGTCCCAGGCTCGCTCAACATTCGTAACTTAATCTCAGGACTAGGTTCTCAGCCAAACCGGCTGGTAATGCGTCCCGTAGGGCTGCGGATGTTGCGGATTTAGCGGATATATTTTATTGTTGCCAAAACAAAAAGCCGTGACGAACTCACCTCCAAAAATTATTGTCGCAACCTCTCCCTTTTCCAAAATTCACAAACAAGATGGCATCAGATTACCACTATACCTACTTCCGAGTCTCCAAGACGGAAGACTTCACTCACTCAGCGCAGCGATACAGAGACCTGCGTCTGCAGGCCCTCAAACTCTCGCCGTCGTCATTCGCTGCAACTTTCGAATCCGAAGCCCTTCTGACAGATGAATATTGGGAATCACGCCTATCACAAACAGGAAGGGAAACCTTCGTCTGCGCCGCACGCCCGGCTTCAACATCCCATGCATCCAACGGAGACGACCTGGAATGGGTAGCTCAATTGACGCTGCTCGGTCCACGGACTAAAGAGGAGTTCACGCTGTCAGCAGCATCTGGGCAGCCGGAACCAGGCCCCGACGACGAGGAGGAACGGTGGCAGCTTCTGGGTCTTTACACGCTATCTTCGCATCGCGGGAGGGGTATCGCGAAACGACTGTGTGCGGAGGCGATCAAGTATCTTGTCGAGTATCGGCCCGAGCCAAAGCACGTCCACGTTCGGCTGATGGTCAAGTGGGGGATGGACGCGGCTGTACGGCTGTATCAGCAACTGGGCTTTGAAGAGGTGGGGAGCTGTACCCTTGCCGAAGCTCTGGTTGCGAACGGGGAAGGGGATCTGTTGCCTGAGGGGTACGAGGCGCAGGAGAAATTTGCTGCGCGGAGTGGTCATGTTATGCTGCGGCGCTTTGGCAGAGATCATGTATAGAGAATGACACCATTCATACACCAGTTTACCAGCTTGGATGTTCCGCATTGATCTCGTCCGTTATGCACCTAGGTTTGATCCTGTACTGGTGCCGACCCTCGTAATTGAGACCGGTATGCTTTCGGTAATTAGAATATTGGAGGCGAAGTGTATTCCGTTAGAAAGGCTACGGGACTGATATGGGCCGTTCATGAAGAAAGGGATAGGTATTCGTACTTTCTGAACATCCATGGAAACAAAAGGAAATCTATAATTTGATTCGCTGTCAGAGACCTAAATGGAGTATAATACAGACATATGAACTGGCTGAAGAGAAGGATAAAAGAGACCAGGGAAAGAGAGCCTAGACAGCGGCTGGACGCGAAGATGATAAAGAATGTATAACCCCATCAAGAAAACGAGTCAAGAGAAAGTAAGGCTCCCAGAACAATCCCTCATTGTCAATGATGTTTGAAAAGGGACTTTTAAAAAGAACAGATCATTGCGGGACCGAGGGCTTGGTACCGTGATCGAACAAGAGCTTCCGAATACTGATGTTAGCAACATGAGCCATAGCAATAACCGGTCGTGGTTCTGGGATCTTCGACGGAAATATGAGATAGAGAGGCGAATCCTGCTCCTCATCCGGCTTGAACTTGTCAAAATAAGTCTTCTTTCCGCCGATGGGCAGTCGCTGGAATGTATATCGATATATTTGCCGGGTCAAATTCGCGAGAGGACTAGGCATTCCCGACACCTCTGCCAACGAGTCGGAAGGCTCGTACCCAAAGCTAAGGTATGAGATCCCCAGTTGCCGCAGCCAAGCCATTGAGGCGAATATTAGCAAATCGCTGATCCCCTTTGGCGCTCCAGGGGCAGCGATACACGGATCAACGTGATATCCATTCTGGCCACCGATCCATCGTAAGGCTGCGAAACCATTGACCTTCCCGTCTTGCCCTCGAGTGTAAATGTATGTCATGAGATTCGGCATTAAGAAGGGGTCGTACTCTGTGATGAAGGCTTGAAGTTTCCCCGACTTGTTGCGGGCCATGCGCCATTCGTCGTAGATTGCGCATAACTCCATCTCCAACTCGTAATCCGTCTCTAGGGTTGGACTGTAGATGTGCAAGGTAATGCCGCCTTTGCTGGGATTGAGGAGTTGCCGATTCTGAGTGAGGATGCGTTTCCCGCTGGTCTCGAGTATAACCTCGTTTGTCAGAGGATTCAGAACCCGCTCTTTACCAAACTGCAAGACCGTCCATTTCTTGTTGCGTGCTTTGACATAGCTCGCAAGCATCTCCCCGGCGCCCAGGAATGAGATATCCCAGCGCCTTTGACGTCGATAACAATTGAACTCATCAAGAACGGTGGATATCTGACTTCCGTGGCACATAGGATCGCCCATCACTATAGCGACCTTGTTCAGAACCTTGAAGCATAACCCCCCGGATCGATCTCCATTTACAAAGACATTGTAGCTGGGGTCGAGGAGTCCCATATGTGAGGCCTGACCATATTGTGTCGCCAGTCGTTCCACGTCTTCGAAGGAGGCCTGTCCGTCTAGGCTGACGATGCGTTTATAGGGGAGGGATCTTCGGCTCGGGGAGCTGTTTCGTTGGCTATGCGAGTCCTCTTCGCTGATGCAGCTAGAACCGGTGGGCAAGGTGTCATACGATCTAGCAGATAGTGTATCGTCGTATGTGCTGGTACTACTGCGAGTGCTGCCACTGTATCGACCGGTGTGAGTGGGGACTGACAGCCAGGCTGACGGAGCCGATTTAACAGGAGGCTTAAGGTCTTCGAACAGATCGTGAGAAATATGGTTGACGTCCTTCGCGAGGCGAGCATGGCCGTAATGTAATGACCGTCCGATTGTTTCAGCCAGCAGGACCCTTTTGCACCCTTCTGTCTTGTTACACTCAGCGCGACAGCGTTTACTTCGTTCTCTGTTGGTCTTCGTGGCCTTCTTGGGAGTCTGTGGTCTTCCACTCGTGACGAAAGGGGTAGTATCGGACGCCATACCGAATAATAATTCGTTTCCAGCTTCTAGGACAATGCGGACGTGCAGGATAGACAACCTTGTGTAGGCTCAATGGATTCAATCTCGTAATACTGAGCAGCAGCAAAAGGAAAGGAAGCAGAACATCGTTTTTAATGTCTGCAGGTTCAGGCAATGCGAAGGGCTGCCCTAGTCAGATGGGGCCGCAAGGAACAACCCCAAAGCCACTCCAGATTTGGTAAAAAGTGGTCACGCTGCTTGGAATACCCCGATTTTCCAGGACGCAACGGCCAACAGGCTCGACAGAAACCTTCAACCTAATTTCTACCATTTCTTGTTTCAGCTCCTTTTTCTCTTTGGGTGGCTCGGGCGGCTTGCAGGCTGCTAGCCTTTTTGAGAAGTCGTCCCATCCCTCTAGTACTTATCCTGCAGTCATGAAGTCAGAGGCTCGCTAAAAAAAAATGACGCAGCCTTACAACGATTGACTAGCTCCATACTCTCGCGATCTAGCAAAAATTACCGAATTTGGTTGAAATTTCACATGTGATACCTGCAGCCATTCAATTGACTACACTTCTTTTAAAGCCAACTCACAGCCCAGCCATGTCAGGAGGAACTTAGACAAAGCCTGGTATCCAGGGAATCATACGTTCACGACATGGGACCCTGAAAATAGGGGCCAGTGTGGAGTGGCAAATAAGCTTCGGAAATCCCTGCCAAGGCGAGGGGTTTCGAGGATCAGGGGCTAGGCAGCATGATTTATGATTTCATAGATCGACCTGTCTAGACCCTATTTCGGGAACTCGTTTAGATACGGGGTTTGCCACGACTTCACCATTGGATGCTGGGGCCCTCGGAACCCGAACTCTAGGCAACTCCTTTCAAAGACTGACATGTCGAGAAACAGGGTCCATGGTACAGCAGTTTCTGGCATTCTATGACTTGCTATATTCTCAAACATGATTGTAACGCGAACAATCAGAGGGGGTACTTTATATATTTCATCATGTATTATTGTAAGACTGGGTGGAATGTCATACTTCCATGCTTTGTTGTCATTTATGACAGCAGCTTGTATTCTCCGATACGTCAATTGCCAAAGATTCGAAACGAGGCGGCCCCTTGAAAGTAAATTGGCTTCCAATCACCAAGAGCTCGACTTGACTGTTGCGTCATTTTCCCCTGGATGCCTCGATCGGATTCTCTGCATATGACTAGAGTCAAATAGGAAAGGCAGAATATTAACATTAATATGGCAGACCATCCTCTAATGGGGGAATAAATGAGTTATTTCACTCAGCGAGGGCGTCGAATAAATCAGTCGTTGCTCTTTGCAGAAGAAAATGCATCAAAGACAACGGGATCATTTCCTGAGACTGGCTGACAAAGAAGCTGAATAGATGGCTGCTTTGAGACCTCGCGTCAGCCAGTATCCTCTGCTGACAGGTCTGCAAGGGATTCAAACAAAGCATTGCGGCTATACAAAACAACAAGATGCGTTGTGGGCTGGCTCTTTGTTGACTTCGGGGAGCAGTTGAGCTGAGGATGAGAATTTCCAAGTGATGCCATAGAATACAAGCTGGCTAGCGCTCGCTCCGCTCGCTCCAGCTTCGGCTACGCCAAATTACACTTGGGCAGAGTTCACTGTGGTTCAGACCTACGGCCCTCACCTTAGGTAACATTAATTCTCTAGTAGGGAGATCAAATCATCATCTCGTATTAATATTAAATTATCATCTAGTAGAGAGGTATTAATATCAAATTCTTATATTACAGGGATATTAAGTTGTTATCTAGTAGGGATATCAAATCATCAAATTATCTAATTCTTAGGAGGTAGGACCTTTAGGGGCCTTAGAAAGGTGGTAGGAAAATACAAAATTAAGGCCTGAAATAAGCGGCATAAAGGCTAAACCGAAAAAGGGAATTTCGCGAACAAAAGCTGATTATTAAGCAGTATCCACCGTTATTTCTTTATAAGAGTAGAATGACCATCACTCGAACACCTTCCTGCAACTATTGGTCTGGCAGCAAGTTACGGCAATAATTGTATAGCAGAAATAGGAGCGTACACTTCAGAAGAACCTTTTCCCTCCGCGCGTCAAGCGGCGAAGTAGATATAGTCTTGAATATACACTGCAAAATATAAGATCTATGTAGGCTATAGATAGCTTTGTCGATACTATTGAATGATGAAGCGGTGCCCCCTCAATTAGTATGGCCTGAAGTTTAATTATGGAAGATAGTGAGAACCAAATTCTAGATATGTGTTGATCATGACCTAGTTATGACAATGATATCATGCCGGGGGTGCTACTACTACCACGACGTTTTCATATCTATGGCTTCAGCTCTAGCTCCGGCAACGATGGATATCTCGAATATTTCTCGCCAGATGGTCGGATTCCTACTACAGAAACCAAAGAATTGGACATCCCAACACATACGCACCCTCAGTGTGGAAGAAAAAGGCACGATATCTGCAGCGGAGATGGTGGGTCAGAAGTACCTCCCAGACGAAGGCGACCAGCGTGTGTTCTTAAGTGGCCTCGAATCTCATGTCGTAGCTGACCGAACTCTTAGATTTCCAGGGCCTAATTCGGCAGTTCATGGAACCAACAAGAGAGGATATCCTCAGATCCCGATATGATCAATGCAGCCACCCCGAAAACGCATTTTCCGCTGTTTTCCACGAGACAAGCCGTCTCACACTCCCAATCCCTGAGAATCAGGAGCCTAATTCCTATCCATTGTCAACTATCCTATTCTGGACGCTCAACGCATGCTATGGCCTTAGAGAGATGTTTGTATCTTGCTCGCAACGTTACTAGGTGTTGCTAATATTCGCGCAGTTGGGAACAATCCGGACCGTTCCCGTTCCACTTGCCCTTATTCAAGGCCAAGTGAAACCTCAATTGTCCTGGTGCCATTGGCAGACTTCACGAGGGAGAAAAGTATCCGTTTTCTCCTCTGGTAATTTACAATGTGCGTACACTACCTTATGTGCACCTCTTCCAAGCTACTGACTGCTGTCCAGTTTATGAAAGGATCAACAGAAGAAAATAAGATCAAAGGCGAGGTACCATATGGTTTATTCCTCATTTTTGCCGCTTTCAACAAGGATCCAGATCAAGGAGAGTACGCGTCCTTCGTCATCAATATGCGTCATACCTCCTTACCTCCGTACAATTTACGAAACTGGTGGCTTCTGAATCTTATTTGGAGGCGTTGTGTCAATGCAAGCCTTTGGAGGAGCATTTGATGATCTACCGCTCGCATGAATTTGATCTCGTAGAGCCTGAAGGGCGCAAGGCATTCTTGCTGATGTTCATGGGTGTAGTCAACTACGTGATGGAAAGTCCGGAGTGATCAAGACTACATTTCTTCGAAGAGCTATAAAATAATATAGCCCTAGCAGGGGGAGTCAAACCGATTTGTGATTAGCAGCCATACTAGCTTTCACAACATTCTGTGACCTTATCGACTCCATGAATTATTACTTCTCCCGGCTCCCTTGCCAAACAGAGCTATACCGCCATCAGAATTTGCGGAAATCTTGTCGAAGCCAGGTGGGCCGAGCTCTAGTTTCAGAGGCATGTCTCTATGGACGCTGCACAAGTCAGTATAAGCAGTTTATCTATCGACGTTGGGGCCTTACACTCGGATGGTGTAGCGCGCTCCGAGCGTTGGACGTGGACTGAGCTTTATTTCGATCTGGTTGATCAAAGACAGGATTGCTGTGTCCGAGTGTCGGATTCTGGACCGTCTTCGTCCAAAGACGGCGATTGCGGTGCCCCAGCGCTCGGCGCACGGGTGCTAACTGGGTCGTTCGGCCGGGGTAGGTATCCAGCTTGGTATATCTTGGATATGAGACACTCATCAAGCGACACAACCCTGAGTGCCGTCATATGGTCCCTATTCCATGCCGACCCCCGGAAATGGAGCCTAGGGGCGTGCTCGTCGAAGTTGGTGCCTTCGTCCTGGAGGTTGAGGCTCAATCGAACGCTCTTATCCTGCCTGCTCGGTTGGTAGGCCATGATGATGCTGGGCCTCATGCTATGTGATAATGAGTAGACATTCATCTATTGTCCTGAAGTCCTTGCGGCTAATGTGCCCATTGACGCATGAACGTGGGTAAAGCAAAGTGATATCAATTCAAAATGACAAAGGCTATAACGCCGGATGATCAACACCTAGGCTTCGGCACATCCTATCTTTTGTCTTTTTGTAAGCCTTGTTTGTTGAAAGCTTCATCATTAGTTATCAACAAAGAGCAAATTGCAAACTGCATCCTTATTGTTCTGTATAGCTGCAATGCTCTATTGCCATTCTTTGAGAAGTGTTTGATGGAATCATCAAGGTTTCAATAGGCCTTCAACTACAAGCCCACTGGTGTGGGTCTACTTAGTGGGTAGTGGACTAGTGGTGAATGGTGATCATATAGTGTATTCTAATCAGTGAACCCCACACCTATTCATTGCTAGCCAGGCTAATAGACTAACCACTGTCACGTCTGATGTACAATATCCTAGAAAGGCCATTGTTTATTTATCTAGTAATCCCCCTAAAGAATTCATCCATTTATGTTGTCTCTGAGTTTGAATAATACTTATGAGTATTATGCTCAACTTGACTCTGACTACAGTCACCACCTTCACTATAACAGACTCGTTGTGTTGAATCTTCTGCGGAATAAAAGGTGACTAACATAAAGCTCGCAGCAAGCCATTCCAAGTTTTAATGAAGTGGCCTGTCGAGTTCCTGGTATAGGACCGCATTGCCGCTTTGTAAAAGACAAGACCATGTCCCCTGCGCGATTTATGCTGAAAACACAACACCCCGTGCCCCAGGCATCAGTTACTTCCTTAAGCAAAGATGGCGTATATTTCCGTTTAATACAACTGATACGATAGGGGAGTACTCGCGGCATATGGTTCTCCGTGCATAAGAGATGAAGAAACACAGGGACTCCTAGGAACTTACGTCCTTCATAATCCAGTCATTGAATTGTTCATACTCAGGTCTTCCGTCAATAAACGGTCTAGCAACGAGTTGCCCGAGCCGACTGGCTGTGAACGTTTTGTCGAGCCAGTCTGGCTGTAGGTCCTCAACGAGATTCTCGTAGATATCCTCGATCGTTGTCCGAGAGTTGAATAGTCCATCCATCTCATAGATGAAAGACTGCCAGGGATTGCTTCACTAATCAATAGACAGATAAACCAGTGTGCAAGTATTTCATACTATGATAACTATGGATGAGCTTGCACTGCCGGTATGGAACCTGTGCAGATGTGCGCTGCCGCGTCAACAGAGGGAACATTGCCGATGTACAAGACTTTCCGGGAACGCTAAAGAGTAGACCTTGTCCGCATCAATCTGTCGAAGCTGCTCGTGAGTGGATAGAATATCAACGACAAAGCAGCGCAGGAGTTGACATGTTATCTGCCGGCTGGCTAAAAGGTCTTACTACGACTCTGCGAGCAACTATATACAACGTCCTTGTTAGCCCTCGCACAGGAGCTGGGCGTTTCATTTCTACGTGGCCACGCTGGGGATACTGTCATGTGGGACGTATGATGGACGGCATGCGAAGCTGCTTCTTGTCGTCGATTTCGGTTATCTACAATGCGATCGGATGTCTTGCATTCTACGCAAAAGGAGCTAAACAGTATGAAACTGAACTCCCAGTTCGAGGGAATAAAGTAGAATCCTGCAGTGAGCTAGACAGCGGTGGATGAAGATAACTTGGTAATTGATTGCCTTCCAGGAGACACTCGCGCCATCGTTAGGATCAACTGGCTTGTCATCATACTCACAAAACCTCTCCACCTAGCGTGTGATGAATCGCCTACTGTCAGCGAAATAATAGTCCTGCCGCCACTGGGTCAAAGTTCCTGCTTCATTAAAATCCTGTCATCTAGCGCGCCCTCTTCATTCTGATCCACGCGAGTCAGATTCGTCCTAAAGGCCGTCAATTCCACCTTTCCAAACATGCGAGTCTTCTCATCTCTGTCCCAAAAGACAACCTCGCTCAAGGGTGTTCCCGCATACTTTATATTATCTACATCGCTGATACAGAATTCATCCAAAATGGGGGCGAAACCCGGCCATGAGCCAGCATAATTCTCGTGTTCGCTCCATCGCCCTAGCACTGATTCCGGGGAGGCCTCCCTATCCATCACAATTGCAATCCGCCATACCTCACCTAATTACTTCTCATCTCTGTAGAGACCGGAGGGAATCTACTGAGCGTGGAATCTTGTGTTCTTGTAGGATTGAAAGTGCTTGGATATGATGCTCAACACATCTGTGGAATTTGAAATCCACTCGTTGATCTCGAGGCCATGGGTTGATGTATAAGATAGTGTCAGCGTGGAGTTGACCGTTTGCTCCTTGGTAGAAGGAGAAGTGTAGCTCCCCACATATGTCTCCTTAACCTGCCGTGCAGCAAGCTCATCAGCCGCACGAATCAGTGGAACGGCGACCATCTCCAGTAATACATCTAGGAATGTCTCGTCTCCAGCAGTGAGAATCATGATACCCAGATCATATTCCGGCACGAGGACAATGAGGGTTCTATACCCCAGGAGACCGCCGCCTTTAGTAAAGAACATCACTGTCCTTGCCCTTCGCTTGTCGTCTGAGAGAAGTATTCTGTCCGTGCGGAAAATCTCCCACAGCATGCCGTAGAAACTTCCCATCCCCGCCATGAAGGACACAGATAGAAGCCAATTCAGCTTTGCATCCGCAATGTCTTTGTACTCGGCAAGGATGTAGCAGAGAAAAACGGACATGTCATACAAAGAAGAGTATAATCCGCCGGTGGGTTTCTCCACACCCAAGTCAACGTTGAAGTACCATGAATCTCCCTTAGGAGGAACAGACTCACTGTCCAGTGGTTTGGCAAATGATGTCTGAGAAATTCCCAGGGGATGGAGGATTGCACTTGTTATGTATTCCTCAGATGTGGTGCCAGTGACGTTCACTAACACAAGTCCAAGGAGGTCAAATCCTAGGTTTAAGTACGTCGACTTTATGTTTAGCGCAAACAAGGCAGGCCTCCTTGTTAGATTGTCAAGTAAGTCCTGTGCAGTGCAGGGCATATGGCTGTGGTGAGGATCGCATTTTATAGTTATGTCAACGCTGTCAGGGTCCGTGAGGACATCATCCTTGACCCAGTCGCGGGGGAGGCCAGAGAGCTGGCTTGCCAGGGACCGGAGTGATATTTTGTCCCACTGGATACTACCACTAGTACTTCTGGTTCCATCATGATTTAAGCCGCGAGTTAAGGGATGTATTTATCCACAGTGTCCTCAAGAGAGAGGTTCCCCACAGCATGCTGTTAGAGTATCCCAGCACAGTGAAGACCTTGGTAATACTAGCAATACAATAACAACTTATCTCATCAACTGTTTCAGCTCCAGGTTGTGTCAGATTTTTATCCTTTGCGGTATGAAACGTCGACCATAAAGTGGACTGTGACAAGGTGATTTCAATTGAATAGGATGATGTATTAAGGTTGTCAGAGTTGCGGAGTAAGGTTGACAGCGAGGCTTCTACTAAGCCGAGGGCTTCCCATACCTCAGAGGACTGACTGTTGTAAGATGGAGGTGGGTAGAAAGGGGACTGGGTCAAGCATATTGCTAGGATGGAGGGGATGAGGTTGAACAGTGTGAGGAGGATATTCACCTTGGCCATGATGGATGATGATGGTGCATGCATTGAATTCTGCTGCGAGAACTTGATGCTGCCTAATATACACCAGAACCCCGGCTTACTAAAGATGGGTTATGTAAAGGTCTTGGACCTAATGAACGACTAGTCCGTTGGTGTGCTTAGTGCATTAGTTAGGTATATATACATAGAGAAATACATTCACCATTTGGAGAAGGGGATGGCAGTCCAGAGATTACAAGGTTACTTAGCAGCCCAGTATATAATTCATACTGGTCTAGTATACCAAATAAAAAACTACTGTGAAACGGGTATTAACAGGCCCTGATAAACAAGGCTATTCGTCTTCTTCTTCTTCGCCTTGGCCATCGCCATCACTGTTGTCATCCAGAAAAATTATTTCAACACGTCGCCGTAGCCGTCCACTGCATCGTCGATACTTTTCGCTCTCCAGGTACGCTTCAACCCATTCCGACTCGTGGCCCGTCGCCGCTCAGTTGTCTAATATCATTTCCACGATCTTTCTCCAACTTCGCAGTGGCCAGCAGGTCATCCGGGACAAGTAACGCCGCTCACCAACTTAGCACAAAGGTTTGACCACAGATACGGGACCAGTAAAAATCCTAATGATAGGAAACGTGCCACTAGCCATTATACGCAGGCATTAATGGACTTGTTCCCGAGCATATTCTTGCAGGTTGAAATGCTCTTCGTTATCATATAATGGACAAAAACTGGGAAGGGGCGCGATCATTGTCGGAGGCCATTGTTAAACTGTCCCCACATCTTTCTCTCACCTGGTTTCCACGACGTCTCCAGCAAAGTATCTTCAGTAATCGCAGCCAGGTCTCCGGGGATGCGGCATCGGCAATTGAAGGAGAGTGGCTCGGATGTCAGTCATGACGTGGTTGCTTATGCTCTACATCATGCTACGAGGGAGCTAAGACAGAAGAAACGGGGTAATGTAATTGGCTGGGCACCGTTCATACATATCGGGGCGTAGGGATGTCTTAAAACAACCTTTAAGAAGGCCCTGAGGTGAAGACAAAAGTGACATTGGCAAATATCCCTCAGGGAATTTGAATAAAGCCTTGCAATTGGTGAGTGACAGCACTTCCCTATCAGTTAACCAGCCTTGCGCAAGGTTATGCCGCCTTAATATAATATATGTTTGCGCACCTGTGCATGCGGGGTTGTCAGTAAGAGATGTGGCATTTGTTCATAGGCTATTTATATTTATAGTGGTAAAGGCAAATAGTCAACACATCTCCCAGCATCGCTCATATTGATGCTCCGTGTTACTGTTTCATGGTGATATTTCTCATTCACTTGATGGGCAGTGAAGTAAAATGACGACTCCAGAGCTTATATGCGCCAACTGGGACCCCACAAACATTGACTGCAAGAAGGAAGGCAGGTACACCTGCAAGAACTGCTACCTAATCCTTGTGAGTTCATCCATGACCATGCAGCTTTTCCTATATATGTTTGTCCTGACAGATCGAACTTTATAGTACTGCGGTCCAGTATGCCAAAAGGCCCACTGGACGCGACACAGATCCGAGTGTAAGTCGCCCCTCAATAAAAAGACATGGCAGCCCGCTTGGGTTCTAGAGAACCGAAAGCCTTCATTTATTGCAGAAGGCTTGGGAGAACAGTTTGGGATGAAGAAGTACCTCTGGGGCAACATCCCTGCCTTCGACGTCCTTCGACTTGGATCAAATGAAGGGGAGGAATATGGTGGAGTGATACGCATCTTGTTTGCTGGTACGTGCTTTATTTCGGCTTGCTATTGATGTCCATACGATCCCATAACTTGTTTAAAGCTGATGTGACATACCATTCCCTACAGCTTCAGGAGATCTTCGAAATATTGTCAAGACGATTGCCGAGCTTCCGAGTAGCTATAGCCACCCCCTCGAACTTACAATAAACGACCGGGATTTTGAAATCGTGGCCCGCAACGTTATCTTGCTTCTTATTGCCCTAATAGTGGAGGAAGTTGACGAGGCAGTCGATTGCATCATTCACCTCTGGTACTCGGCTTTCGTACGAGAGTCAGACGTCGACGTCCTCCGGCATCGAATTCGACCTCTCATCGAGGACGTCTGCAACAAGATCAAAGACAAAAAGCCCGAGAGTCTCTTAGCGAAGACATGGACTTTTGGACGGCACTCCCTCCGAGTTGTTCTCCAAAGATCGTCTTGGGACCGTCTCGTGTCGTTTGTTGACCCACCAGCTAGCTTGACTGCTGATCGTGCACGAGAACTTCGTGCAACTATTACTCTAGCTGAATCACGAAAGGACTACCGTGATCGATACATGTATTGCCAGTCTCCTTCGCATCGAATCGCTTTCAATAAGTTCCGGGAGGACGGCCTCCTGCTTCCTTTTGGATCCTCACGCAATGAATTTCGAGAACCAAACCGGTGAGTTGGAAAAAAAAACATCACGTCGTACTATGGACGCTAATAAAAGCAGAACTTTCTTCCACACAGCTAATACCTGGCCAATGAAGGACAACGCCGATCCGCTTCATGGGTGGTCTTTGGACGAAGTTTCCGCTACAACAACAGGGCCTGCAACTGCAGACATATACGGCAAGCTCTACTTTTACATTCGAGGAATGCTCCGATCCTTTCTCGGTCGGCTCCGGAGTCTGAAGCTCTCCTTTGAACTCTTTCAGCTCGACGCCGTTTCCCTTCCTGACCATCTTGAAAATAATTCTTTCAGTAGAATCGAGGTGAGCAGCTGATATCTAGCAGGATTTGCTTCTGAAACGTATCTCAGAAAGGCTCACTGACCGACCTGTATAGGTGTCCAACATTTCAGATGCTGGCTGGTTGGGAATTCACCACACCCTATGTTTGATGGTGCCCTTGCTTCAAACGCCTCTGGAAAACCCACATGCGACCCTTATTACCCTCTTCATGAATGCGATTGACGAAACCTTAACCGACCAAGACAGGATACAGGACATGACGGCGCATAGTCCAACAACTAGACGCCTCTTCAAATAGCTTCCTCCGAAAGGGATGCCAACTTCCCACAATGATCCCGAGCTCATCAAATTTAACCTGGGCCGGGACCTTGTCAGAACGTATGGCCACATCTTCGACAGGTGAGTATAGCTTCCTTGGTATAACTGGATCCGCATGTTCATCCTGAGAGTAGGTATTCGAAGAAGTTTATGTTTCGTGATGCCGCCGATTTGTTGGGAGCGGCCATGAAGGATACGCACACCATCATCGACAAGTGGCCCTACAGATTGAAGCTCCGACCTGGCCAACCAGGTGCGCAAGAGGAGTTTGACCGGTGCATTAGTGGAGGGATGTCGGGGAAGGAGCGCTACGTGGAATGGAAAAGAGTCCATATGGGTATGATTTGAAGATATGTTTATGGATGCCACCTGGCGTTGGAAATTTTAAGCGACCCTGTAAGAGGTATCTCATATGTCTGATCGTTAGGACATAATCCCAATTATTTTTGGTTAAATCTCCCATAGCAAGGCTCGCGCCTAAAGGGTTTCTGTACAAAGGGTTTAGGGGTTATGTTTCCCACCACTCCACGTCTGGGGATTTGCTTGATCACCGTTCACCAAGTCGCAAATATCTAAACAGCCTTGAGGAGCCAGTCGCTCTCCGTCATCCAGTTTGTTGTTTGCCGAGGTGTTTTCGTGGACCTGACCTCGGTCATTGGGATTGAATACTAATCAGCATTGCGGCAGGGAGTAACCCCATAAAGTGCAACATAGCGTACTCAGCTCGCCGGGAGAGCTTGTCAATTTGTGTACACAATCGGACCAACATGATGCACACGCTGACGGTCCGGGATAAACTAGATGCGTTTATCCGCTGGTTTTCAGTTGGTAAGACAGGAGTACAAACATCGTGTGCCATCACTAACTCCGATTCAACAGTCGCGGAAGCAACATATGCTGCAGCCACTGGGTTCTTCCGAGGCCCTCAGGGGCAGATACGTATCATCATCATTTGATCCAAGCTGTCGTCAAGAAGGTGGTGTATTGTACCTCGTAGCCTGCGCAATCATAAACTACTAACATAGTTCTGCAGCTGACGAGGAGATTCAGACCGCTGCAACTGCAGTAAGTACCGCAAAGATCGAGGAATGTACACAGTTAACAGAGAATAGATACATGTTCAAGTCTTATGACCAACTCTACATGCATTACTGCCAAAAGAATGATCTCAAGCCACATTTCGTCTCGAATATCCGCGGGCTGAAAGGATTCTGGATTGGTAGTCCCTCCGCGAAATATATTGCCATCAACTTCCACGGTACTCAGCCCACGACAGTAGCGAGGCAATACTAATAATTAATATTAGGTGGTGGTTTTGCCATGGATGCGACAGCTCCCTACCTTGATTTCTGGCCGCGGATACAGAAGAGTCTCGCAAATTCTGGTATAGAAACGGCATGGTTCCATTGCACATATACATTGACACCGCATGCGGGGTATCCGACTCAGTTTCAAGAAGCCGTTGAAGCCCTACGGTATATTCTAGAGGATGTTGGGCGGTCACCGTCGCATATTCTACTAGCTGGAGATTCGGCTGGCGCGAATTTGTGCTTGGCAATACTGTCCCACTTGACGCATCCCTCCGAAGACGTGCCGGAGTTAATTATCAAGGAGCCTATTAAAGGCGTTATACTCATGTCTCCATGGGTCTCGTTTCATCACAGCTGGCCGAGTGTAGAAGCCAGTGAACACAGGGATATCGATGCAAGGGAGGTCATGACGGAGTGGTCGCGAGCGTATCTGAATGGGTGGCCGTCCAACAACTATATCGAAGCGGCAGAAGCATCAGAATGGTGGTGGGACAGCATCCAAGTGCAGCAGACTCTGGTACTTGCTGGGGGTGACGAAGCTCTATTAGATCCAATTAAAGCGTGGGTGAATAGGTTCAAAGTAAGTGGCTCCAGGATATAATGTTGCCAGGCGGAGTGATTGATACCTCACAGGTTCCAAATCCTGATACGACCCTGGTAATTGGGGAAAGAGAATGCCATGTTGCACCTCTGGTCTGGCCGATGTTTGGTGACTATCACGAAACCCAGCAGGAGCGGGCATTGAAGCATTGGCTGCTGGAACGGTTAGGTTGATGCATAAGCGTACGTATTGGTGAATAATAAAGTGAGCTGCACAGCAATATAATATTTTTTACCATGTTCTTTTCCAGTGCAGTTTGTGGTAGTTGGAGTAAAACAGGTCCGGCGTCGAGAAAATGTCACGCAGATTAAGATTAAATAAGGCGTCTCAGAAAGGGTTAAGCGAGTCTAGCTGAGTCGACAAGCAGTAGCTCTGACAAAATTAATTTACTTTAGAAATTGGTTATACCGGATTTCTTAGGGCTGTTGAAATTGCCTCGGTGGCAAGCGTCTGTATTGTTTGATTACAAGATCAGCAGGCAAGCATCAAGCTAAACTTCACCGCGGTTAATACCCTGATTACAACAAGAAGGGGGCTTATGCCACGTATGAACGTCTATAAGGATAGGGATACAGAAAACCATCTGCATTGCCTTTAACAGCCTTCTTCATTAACGCTCTAAGAAACAATCCCTCCCGTCCTTCATGAGAATGAAGTCGATTCTTGTCCTCTCCAGTCTTTCTTTCTCTGGAACCAGTGAAACGTGCATCATCAATGATCCCCACCCGACGACAGTCCGACAAAAGCTCTGCAGCCCGTCGACAGTCGCAGCTTAAAGACCCATTCCAGCCAGTCTCTGCTGACCCTTGTCTGTGAACAAAAGAAGTCCATTGAAGTAGCCGACAGCCCATATCATAGGATACCACCAATGAAACCACCACGGATGTTCCGAAGCCCCAAACCACCCAAAATGCTTGTCCAGGTTGTAGCATAGATAGTTGCAGCTGCTCAGAACGAGCAATGAAAGTATCCCCGCGAAATGAGCTGCCTTCTTTCCGTAATAATGGTCGACAATGAAGCAGTTTATAAGGCCGCCCATCGCCCCGCCCATACCTAATGGACAAAAGACCAATGTCCACAGGACTTTGTAGACCAGGTCGCGAGTTCCCGTCATGATAAAGACGCCGACGGCCAGGAAGATAACTTCGGCGAGGAGAGAATTGAGCCAGAACAGTAGAAAAGGTCGAAGGTATACAGCACGCCGTTTTTCGGCTACCTTTGCATATTGTTCACCGCTGATTAGGACTTGGTAGTTCATAGTTGATGTGTAATCGGATGTCAAAATTATGGAAGTAGTCTTGTCCTGGGTTTGTAAGCATTTTGCGTAGGCTCTATTCGGACGGTTTTATACCATAGTATACGACGAATGTATACAACCGCATGGCCTCGGCGTTGCATACTGATTGATTAGTCTTCATGTTGCATCATAGTCCATGCCGAGGTCTCAAAGATCAAATGTTCGGTTATTTTGTTTAGTGATCTCCACGTCTCCCGGAAAGGAGCACAAAATAAAGAATACTAGCATGCACTGCAGATGTCCCTCATGTCCTATGGTGCCCAAATCAACCGATATCGTTTGATCAATCCTCATCCATCCGTCACGATCCAGTGGTTGATTTGGAGTAGGCTCAAAAAGTTGTGGAATTGGCCGCATACTGGAATATATCTTCATCTGTCCGCTTTGCAGCGTGCAGTGATATACACTCACCCTTCATGCAATTATAGATTGACTGATTATTTCGCCACGACAATAATAAGAACTCAAGTATTTGAATACGTATATGTTATAACCGTAGGTTACAGACATGTTAAAGCTGATGACTAATAGTCTGCTAAGAGAGCAATTTACCCTACGCACACATATCTAAAGCCTATCTCTGATGATTTCTCTATCAATGGTCCTTCACCCAGGAGATGCTGGAATGAAATTGGAGATCTCACATACACAAACGTGTCAGAGCCCAGAGCAGTCCACATAAGCAACAATGTCAGAAATGTCCCCAAGAAGCAGACAGAACCACACTCGACAACACCGCCAGCCAAGCATGACAGGTGCATACAACCTTCTCGAGTAGTTAAGGCGCTAGGGCAGAATCTTTACTAGATTAGTCTGTGCACTGTTGGCACATCGATATGAATCTACTGATGACGGCTTGGGGAAGATCACTGGTATTTGATGACAAGTGACGATGTCATCCGGCTATAGTGACATCCAATTGGTTGACAAGAATGCCAGTCACACGACACCGGCAAAAGCCACAAGCCACAAGCTGCGCTGTCTGATCAAGTAATTGGACATGAGGCGCAGATCTGACCTGACAAGACTTTCCATGGGAGGCTTAAGCAGGTTTGCAGCTACATGGTGTTGCTGATCGGCATATCAGGATGAGGACGACGCAAAGACACGCGTCATGGCGCTCATGTGATATTCTGGCTTTGCTGCGGCTGGAGAATGGCTGAGTGTGAGCCACCCGGAGTACGAATGTACGATCCTGAAAATGAAGGCAAGTAAGCAACTCCTGCATGCATGATAGGAATACCATTATCAATATGTACAATTAGATTCTAGATGCGCCAGGTATGCAAATATGCGATGACCGACCTTTTATCCGTGTACGTGGCCCGTAGTGTAACCCAACCCAAACAAACGCCGTGAATACGCTCAAACAACCAAATCGGAGAACCGGTCAGAATCCTGCTCCGCCAGCAAAGGCGCATCTCCACGCTCCTGGCGCCACTTGTACAGGTTCTGGTCGCCCGTGGTCGGGACAGGCTTTGCGAGCCGCAGCGCCCAGCAGATGTAGTACTCGACCGGGAGGAGGAGCAGCAGGACCCGGTTCCCCAAGAAGCAGATGGTGATGGTGAAGGTGGCGACCGTCGCGTCCAGCCAGTAGTGGTTTGCAGTTGCGATGATGACACTCAGCACGAGCAGGGGGTACACGAACGCCATGACCATGAAGAAGATCTGCGTGAGGGGGGACTTGCGGACCGGTCGGCCCTGCAGTCTGTGCACGAGGCCCGAGTGGTAGATGAAGGTGCACCCGATGACGAACGCGTAGGTGAAATGCAGACTCGGCATCGCGGCGAACTGGTTGACGGACTTCCCGCCCGCCCAGACGCTCTCTGCGTGCTCTTGGCGGACGGTGTCGTAGAAGCCGTAAGAGTCGGGGAGCAGCCGGGGCGGCATGCAGGGGTAGAAGCAGAAGATGATGAACGCAGCGAAGTTGCCGAGGGTCATGGTCCGTCGCGCAACGGCAAAGGTGTTGTGGTTTTCGGCGGCATAGTAGTACCAGCCCAAGAATCTGAGGGGTTGTGAGTGCTGGGTTGCAGGAGGTTCAGATGGGGATAGACTTACAGCACGGTTCCGGGGATATGGACAAGAGAGTAAATGCGGTTGAAGAAGGTCATGATGGACTGATGTCCATTGAGGAAAAATGACTGAAAGTCGGATTCCTCGATCGGAAAGAAAAACCGCGCGATGGAGTGATGCTCGAAGTTCAAGATCCCGACGCCGTGATCCTGTGCGACCTGGACGACGCCAATCTCGGCGGGGGACAGCCACTGCGACGTAGCTTTCGTGACAGAGTAAAACAGATAGTTGACAGCCCAGTAGAACATTTCGACCAGAAACGGGAATTTCTGCAGGATCCTGCTGTGGATGTGGTGCGCCCAGCGAGATGAATCCGGGACTTCAATGGCGATGCCGCATATTGTGGGGATCTTGGAGGGATAGTCCTCCGTCGAGCTGTCGTTATCATACGCATCTACCGTTGTTCTGCTGCCAAAAATGCTGAAGCCTCTGCGGCGGTTAATAATTAAGGAGCCAATCATGATGCTCACAACGATCTGCAGAGCGATAGTCAATACCAAAGGATCAAGATTCTCGATTATATTTCGACATGACATACGATGGGTTCGAGCCAACTGTGCGACTCGAACTGGGGTTTGCCCAGGTCGGGCGACTCCGCCCTGGCATCCATGATGGCGGGTGGAAAGGACGTGGGAGAAGTCGAGGAGAGCTGCGGTGGTGAGGTGAAGATCAACAGTAGTAAAAAGGAGAAACCAACTGAAGATTTCTGGAGAGTGGAGATTATATACTACTTGGCAGATTGACAACTGGACCAGGCTATAACCCAGAAGAGCAGGGGGGCTGAAGAGCAAACAGGTGTTTGACTGCAGATCCAAGTTTTACCATCGTACAGTTTCGTACTCGTATTATGATGCTGCTGCGCCAAGGTTGTGTATCCACCCAGAACAAGGACTTCCATGGCGGGAAAATCCTCCTGCAACCAGTCGATCCGGTTGGATGCGAGGGGTTTGAGATTCATTCACCAAGGCAGGAGGCCAACAACGCGTTCCTTCTGCAGACAGCAGGTGCAAGTTCTACCACGCGAAGAATGAGGTTCCTGCATGCTAGGAGTCGGGCCTGATTCAGTGCAGTAATCTAAAGGTACAATAGTACATTACTAAGGTAGTAAGGTACTGCGTACTGCGTACTATTTGTTTCATCTTTGGACGCGTAGCGGATAGTGAGCGCATATGCCCTGTTGCCATGTCGGGGCTAGCCACGTCGACACTCCGCTGAAGAAGTCCCAACAATAACCCCTAGTGGCCACTAGCGCATGCTGATGATGGCAGAGGCGCCATCCACTCCGGCTATTTTTGACCTTGCTGCAAGCCTGCAACTCCCGGACTGCCGGTCGGTTTCACTTTCGTCGCCATATCGGATGTGGAATCTCCGATTGCCGATTGGCCATGGTCAACTTCGTTCATTTATACATGGGCGGTGTGGACAGCATAATTTATGCTTGATATGCCCAATTGTAAAAAAAAATCAGCTGTCTGGTCAGAAACCATGGAGTCCAGAATAATGGCGCTTCCAAGTTTGAGATCTTGATCGATAGATCATTCAGAAGTTTCTTAAAATCCCTCATGTCCCAAGGTCTCTGCGAAATCTCAACCTGACTCCGAGTGATCACGTGAACGGATACCAAAATGGAGGATTGGTCCGACTCCGGCAATTCCTCGGCCCAAAGGATCACGTGATATGTTATGTTGTTTGGACCATTTTTCCGTGTCCCGCTATGTCTCCAACTCATTTATCAATGCAGTTCGTGGGAACAACCAGAGATATGTTTTTCTGGGTGCTTGGCTTACTAGGTTATCACACAAACAGGTCGCTGTCTTTTTTTAACGAACCTGAAAAACTTATCTATCACCAAACGTATCCGTATGCAGTCACACCTCCTGAGTCTCGCTCTTGAACACGCGAGACTGAACACGAGCCACTGCATTAGTCAAATGGATCTTAGAATCTCAGATCCCCAGCGGGTGACCATCGTCCTTTCCGAATTCGGTTCCATGCCTACAACCTCCATCAAACCCGGACGAGAGTCGTATGTGACTTGATCGACGAAGTCAATCCCAGCGCGCTTTGACCCTCCGTCATATGAATCCCCGCGAAACACGCGCTTCTTTGCACGCGCGACATGATCATTCATCGAACGCCAAATGCGATAAATGTTCCAACAAAGACAAAGCAGCAGTGATACCCCCTCCGCCAGCAACGAGAACCACAGTGCGAAATCGATGTTGGATAAGGGTTCGGAGAATGGTGCCGTATGGCCAGTCGAGGATCGTACTGACGCGCTCCTTCACCCCCGAAACCGCGTCTTAGTGGCCTATTTCACACAAACGAGCAGTGAAGCCTGTATCAGGACGAAGGAGAAACTTCATCTTCTGTCCCTCACGGAGCTTCTCTGAACTCACCATCCGCCGGTCGCAAGCGTGGATTTGCAATAGCAGAAGGATGAGTCTCAAGCACTCTTGGTCCCCGCAAATCGAAGGAAACGCGCTGTTCGGGCTCCCATTTCCATCTTGGTCGCAGGAGATGCACTTCAATGCTGGCCATGTTGTCCGGTACTGGTGCGCGAATGTCGGACAACCAGATAACATCTAACCTTCAGTTTGAATGCAGAGGACCGGCCAAAACCCCGTCCTAGGTAGGAAGTGATTCAAGGTGCGAGAGTGGCCCTGAGTCAGTTTCCGTGAGTCGAGTTCCTGGCCCGTGTGCTAGAAGTAGAGCCCGAGGAAGACCATCGCCAGGAGGATCTCTGAACTGACGAAAACCTCGTACATCTGTCGCCGAATCGGTGTACTCTGCAGAATCACTAGGCCGACAAGCACGTCAAAGGTGGGAGTACCCGTGAACTATTGCGCTGTTAGTAGACGAACACTGGAGTGGTCCGGATATATATACCACGTAGTTGCCCGTCCTTGCAGAACTCTGCGTGTAACTGTGCGATACCACCTTCGTGTATAGGGTGGTAGTTGAAAGGAACTGTATAAACGACGCTAAGAATAAAAAGTGAAAGTAGGCCGACCTTATAAAAGCAGAGGGGAAATTTCAGTGTGCGCAGAAGCACTTCTTGGGAGAAATCTTTTCTATATCCTTGCTCACGTCTACTTGCGTCAAATGAGAACAAGGATTCTATTCAAACCGGCAACTATCCGGATACCTTGACATTGGCTGATCGCACTACCAACTAAAAGATTCCTCTACAAAAGAAACAAACACTGACGGATTCTGTCTAACCATCTCCGAAACAACATGTCGCACCTCATCCGCCATCCTCGCCGGTCCACTGACAACAACACATACCGGCAGACCCCGATACTTCTGAATCTCTTCCGTCAACAGCTTCGGGATATCCATTCGCCGATCATGGTAGATCCTCATATTCAGATCATGCACGCAAGCGTTCCCAACGGTCTCCTGTACCGACTCAATCAATGCCTTGCTGCGAGAAGTCCAGAACAGCGTATGTCCTCCGCGGTGGCTGCACAGATCCGGGACCAGAGCGGTGATGCCAACTCCACCAGCAATGACTATGATATTGGGATGATTACTCCAGTGATCATTGGTCAGGGACGATGGGGGATAAGATCCTTCCACTAGAACCGGGATTCAAGACCTTGCACGTAGATATCGTGTTGTTCCTGACTGCGTGCGTACGAAGAACGTGAGGCATGGTTGGTAGTATCCGTCGGTGGTCAGGTCCTGCGATGAGGGCGTGTAAGGCGTCCTGTCCGATTCAAGAAACGTCGTCACTGAAGGACCATTCTTCGACAGATATTCAGCCTTGACATCCCGCGACACGAGGGCGATCTTCCTCTCCATGCTGTCCCCGCGTCGGAAACTGGCAATCGCGGAGAAGGGGTGGTTTTCCCACATGCGCCACGTCAGAGTGGGAAAATAAAGGTATACATGGCCCTTTGCGTATACATCGGGAACCTCAACCTTGAGATACTCGTCACCCAAAACAGTTACATACGCCTTCCGAATTCCATGGCACGCCAGCCTCAATACCCGAAACACTCGTTCAAAGGCCCAGATACCGAACGCCACGTAGATCCAGGTTTCGTAGCCCCATTGATGTCCATACCTGTACCAGATATGCCAGTAGCACGCAAGAAGAGCAAGAAAGGACAGGATGACGTGCCAAGCCAGGAATGACTCGTAGAACCGTTTCCGGATTGGCCATATGGACGATGGGATCAAGACGGCCAGTGTCAGAGTGGCGACGACGCCCCAGATCCAATATGGGAGCTTACTTTCGGTGCTGTGCTCGTTGTTCGCGACGTATATTTGCAGATATATGGCCGAGTGCAGACAGGCCTCTAGAGTGCAGATGAACGCAACCCACCGATGGAGTAGAAGAAAGGTTGAATGCGACCAATCTGTCAGCCAGAGGAGAAAGTTGTTCCGACCGGTGTATAGCACCAGCAAGGGAATATTCGCAAAGCTGAGCACGCCGGCGCGATTGGCCACGTAGGTGAGGATTTCATCGTGCTTGGAGGCGTACCAGGTGCTTGGGTTCGCAGATCGGAACCCGACCGCGCACAAGATTACGTTAATTGTTAATAGATACGCGATGAAGAGTGCTTGGCCTCGAGTGGGCATAAAGAAGGTGTCGAGTATTGGGGAACTATGGCGACGACCGACAAACGGAGGATCGACGAAGATTGCCTTGAACCGTACTCGCAAACCGGCCGGAAATGGAACGAAACGGAGTAGCGAAGAGGCGATTGGGATGATTGCACCAGTGAGAAGGAGCACTAAGCTATAGCGAGGCAATCAGCAAGCCGTGCTGTGAATTACTGCAGGAAACTTACCCGTATCTCTCATGGTACGTCTCGACAGCTTCGAACGTGGACAGAGTATTATAATTACCCAAATACGTCTCTTCATCGACCAACGAAGCGATATCCAGAACTGCTGACGAGTTGAGTGTCGCGATTGGCGGTTTGGCAACGCTTCCAAGAGCTTCCTGGTATGACTGCTTCGGGATCGGTTGATACTGCAGTCTACCAGCCACGTTCAACTCCCAGTAATTCTCCAGAACTGAGACCGATACATCAGCACAGTGAATGTACATGCAGTAGGCTAGTGTTTGCAGGAAGGGATCATTGTTTGCATAGCACGAAGGGCTCGGAGTATCCATTGCCATTGAGGGCATATCCATATCCATGTCGTGATCTGCTGTCCTGTTGCAATCTAGAGGGTTTGTAATCGAGGCAGGACACGCATAGGCGCAGGGGGGCTTCTACATGGAGATGCCATAGCCAATGAGCCCGTGCCCTGGTCTTCCATTTGGATCATGCGACGCGACTGGTATTGCAAGAGAGAGCAGGATCTGCGCTACTCGCTGGTATTTGGACAACTTCATCGCGACGGGGCTGTTGAGGTCGTGTTTTGACTTTGATCAGTCGTCACCCAACAGAGAACAGAAGAAGACAAAAAACGAGGAGGACAAAAATCTGAATAGCATGACGATAACCAGAGCGAAAGAGTCTGGATAGAATATTTCAGGATGTTCATGGTCCGTTGTATTGCCAGAAATCAGTATCTAGGTACCGAGACTAGTATGAGCGGAAATGAGCAGATTTGAGCAGTTCCCCACAGCAGAGAAACAGCCCTACAGCATCTAGGCTACTTGACAGCAGTAGATGAAAAAGAAAAAATTAGCTAAAAGGCATCCAGTCACTACGCTATTCTGATATCTTTTCCATAATACCAATCCTCTCCAGTGGCTTTTCTGTCAGAGTGGCTTATCAGCCAAGACTGCTTGACTTCGTTTGAAGGAACAGGTGGATACTACAATGACTCGATATAGCTTTATCGCCCTGTGCAAACAAAGTGGATGACACTGAATAAACCCATTTACAATCATTGAGTATTGCAACCTCAGTTGCTGATCTCCATCCTCAACGCAAATTCTCCATGTAACATGTGTCCGAAGATTAGGTACATATGCCTCCACTGCCTCATTCGCTGTTCGCATGTCCGAGATAACAGTTGCAAGTCAGAGCCATCCGGTGATATGATTGTGATTCGTGAAAGTTCAAGCTCGCCGTGATGGTGTCCAATGTCAAGCGGTTGTGATAATCGCCCGTCTTCAAGCTGGCGCATGTAGCCATCCTTTGATCAGCTCCCCTGCGAGGACTCCTGCGAGTACGGCACAGAGAACACCGATATTAAGACCCATAATCCCTATCATTCTGGAAGACGTTTGTTAGAATGCGACAATTCTGAAGAACGAGAAACTCACAAGACAAGCGTGATAAGTGCTCTGAGAAGCTCTACTAATGCTCGCATCCAGACATAGTACGAGACAGACTTGTGTGCGGTCGACTCAATTGGGGACAGAGTATCTGTTCTAAGTTCGTCGTCATGAAGCCGTTCGCCGCGGTTTGCGAGCATCTCGATTGGTCCGTCGTCTGCGCGAGGATGATTCTCCCTGCTGATCCGCACGAATCTTGGAAGTGGACTCAGGCGAGCCTTGAAAAAGGCTCTGCGTCGGTGGAGGGGAAGACGTCCGATGGACTCAAGGGCACGCGCTGCGATGATCTTGTGCTCAAGTTTATCTTTGACGGCGACCAAGTACCTATTCCACCAGGCAAGGAAGAAAAACACGACGAGTGTAAGAACGTATACAACGACGGAGTCAGTACTCTGGCCGTAGAAAGGCAGATTGAGGTGAGTTCCACTGTGAAATGAAGTTGAAATTCTCACTCCGTTGCCTTGACCGTCACCAGAAATAGAGTTATAAGTCTTATTCTTCTGGTCCATGGTGACTGTAGCTCTTTATCTTTTCTTTTTCAGGCTTTAAGGACCAGGGAATCAGGGGATGGACTAGATGGATGAACAACGCGAGATAGCTGGTGTTTGTTACTCGCGAGAAAGTGTGAAACAAGTCAGAGAGCTCTGTTGTTTATGTTATCATTCACTGCTCTCTAGAAGTAGTACAGTCTTTATGCACGTACAAGGAAGATTAGCGCCTGCATAACTATGTTGATATACTTAGTGTTATTCTGAACCAATTCTGCATAGCTTCCACAACCTAGTCTTCCTCAATACCTTGATAATCGCGCAAATATGCTCTTGGCTTGTACTTGACAAGGTCGTATTCTGTGGTATAAATCTCCTCTGCATCCATAATTTTTGCTCCAGAATTTACCTGACTCTTCAAAGCTCTTCAACTTTCTTTGCACAAATTCTAATCGATAAACTACTCACTGACAACATGGGCCAGTGTCTCAAACTTGGAAGAATACCATTTTTTCTTCCGAATGTCCAGATGATCAATTGCGCGTCTCTGCTAGGAACGGCGCTAATATTGAGATTGTCCACTTCTTCGTCCCCGAGGTTCCTCGCGAATTTGTCATTTTCGGTGGATGTAATGGACTGCGCTGACGTGAAAAAGGGCCCTTTTCTTTGACAGGAGCATCCAACTCCAACTCAAGGGTAGGCAAGATATGACTGTTAATTGCTGTCGAGAACAGGTCTTGCATTTCAAGGTGACATAAACAGACGATGCTGGATACGAACAAAGCAAAGCCATAGAGCCATTTATAGCGGTTCAAATCCCGCTGACACAACGAGGATTCAATTACAATTCGTAGTCACTGGTGCCGTAGTAAATTACTTGTCTCGATAATTGGGTGATTTACGAGTAGACAGCGTCCGCCCATATTGCCAGAAAGAGTCCGCAGCCATTCCTGTAGTAGTCAAAGAGGTCTTTCGCCGGGCGAGTTAGGGCGAGCAATGGTCATCTTTGATGCCATACTCCTCGAACAGGGATAATTTCCCGGCGGCCTCGCAGACCTTTGCGTGGGATTTCGCCCAGCCCCAAGGTGTTTTTTGTGATGCTCCATACTAGAACGAATCGGTGGACAGGTGCCATGAAGAGGAGAGTGGAACAGTGCTCACAGGTAGCGGTCTACTGGCGGAGTACTCCGAAATCAATGTCAAGGATGGCCATGTTGTTTTGGAAGTCACTACCTTCATAAGTGGAGTAGGGACAGGAATCATCCCACTCGACGGTCAACCCCGTGCCCTCTATTCGAATGTTAGTCGCCTGCATTACACCGGTTTACATAGGAGGGTATCTAGCGCACTAGCAACCATATGGCCTGCATCAAGAGACTTGAGGTATGTGCCGGTCGTGGTGGTTAAGCTGTGATTAACATCAGTGCTGCACCCTTGGCAGCGAGGTTCATCTCCCAACTCCGAAGCCAGAATTGCAGGAGAGTCCCTGTAGCAGGGAACGACCGCCTTGATATGCGCCTGGTACATGGCTTGGATATCGTTGGTGTACCATTCCCTCCTTCTCCCAGCATACGCGTTGATATACGGATACATGCCACCGTAGCCATTCCAATTATTCACAAACAAATAATTAGCGCAATGCCATGCTTCTCCACCGCAGATACAACGTAGTCGAGCCGTTGAAGACTATCTGGGCTCGTGTTGATGGTCGTAGTGCGTGTAGACGCGCTGTGGAACTGAAAATATACGGTTCCTGCGCTTCCAAGAGAGCTCACATCATTGAAACCGCAAGTCCGGAGGATTTTCGAGTCTGTGTGCTGCTGGTGATCAAAGACGGAGTCAATATCCATGTTTTTGGTTAGTAACGGTAGCCAGTAGGTATTCGTGCCGGCGAAGGACTTGATCTCGCGGTCAATGTTGAATCTGAGTCCATCCACCATAGGAAAAGAGCAACTGCCGGTTGCGATGGGAGTGGACGAAGTCGAGGATAACATGGGGTCGACGAAGCCGTGCCGGTGGGAGGTGCAGTTGTTGAGACTGACAGTGTTGAGTGGTGCTGGCTTTAGTATATGTTATCGCAGCCAGGGATTGCTTTTGATACCAGACTGGCACTGGCCATATCACTGATTTAGAAACCGCCCATCCTGATACACTTGAGGTTTCACCCGTATAGAACTGACCACCATACCAGCCCCGATACCCAACCTGTGCTGAGGCAGCTCCTATCATGATAGGAGCGCAGCAGACAAGAATGACCGCCTAAATTTCATAAAAAGAATAGAGAAGGAAGCGATTGGAAAATCTTCCGAAAAATCCAGCATCGGCGAGTTGAGTGAGGCGGCTATTCGCAGCCATTACAACCTTAATTTACACTTTCCTGAGATATCCTACTCTTCTGGTTGCGCTCCTCCTGGATTTAGAGCCCCCAAGATCCCGCTGTCGTTTGCTCCGCCACGAGCACACCCGACGGCCTAACCCTGGGGCGACATCTAACCGCCTCTCATTGAATCCACTGCCGTGACGTCGTCTTCCCGACGATGTGGCTCACTATGACCGAACAAAGTTTGGACTACTGGGGTAAGATCGAGCTATGCAGCCGAGGCGGCCCCTTTTCCACGGCTCCGTCCCATACCCCGTGTCCGATTTGGCAAATATTGTCTCGCTTTCGGCACAGAGCTATCCCGATCGAGATATATGAAAACAGTCTCGCACATGTTATCCCTGCATTGCATATCTAGTGTCTAACACAAAGGCAGCAAGATCGCGCTACGGCTGAGTTGTCGTCATAATTTTCGCTTCCCAGCACGGGCCGCTTCCCATTGAGATTAGGCGGGTCTAAGAGATTATGCCACGTGTAGGCCTGGAGCAAAGTGGAATTATGCCGTCAAACACTCTGTATAGCATCTGTCCTCTGACACCATGACATTGAATACCTGTGCAACTGGGCAGGGGTTTCAAGCGCCACATGCTGGACATAGAAGGCGGGGAGTCAGCCCCGTTCCAGAAGACGTAGGCATGAGAAATTGAGGATGCTGAAGTGATAGACCTCCAGGACTGCAAATTAGACCGACCATAAGGTGGCAAAGAGCCGAATTCTCTACTTCGCCTATCACCGTCACTTGATTGAGAGATTCGCCTCCAAGGATGAAGTTCGCCCATTGTTTCATTGCGACGTCTTCGCAGTGAGAGGGCTGGCGGCTCAGGCTCGGATGCTGCGCTCGACGCGTAAGCTGTCTGTGGCTCGTACACCGTCTCTATTCTTAGGACTCGTAAGGAGACAATCCTCAATGCTGGTGGAACACCCTTGACTTCGCCATCGCCATGTTGGAGCTGTAGGAATCGTCATGCCCCTAGAGGACCTCGAACAAAATGCGCTGACCAACTGTTTGTGCCGAGACCATGAAGCCCTACAGCCACCCTTATGCCGACGCCAAACACTATGACTCAGCCAACTTTGATGTCTTCAAGCCGAACTGGGGTATCCTTCGGGTTCGCGCCTCTGGTTACGGCTTGTAGTGTCACAGAGGCCTAGTGGAACCATGGAGTGTGTCACAGAGTGGGAATATATAATTCTGAGGACTGGACCTAAGACATTACTTTACGTATGATCAGCATTAGGCCAGCTAACCCAATCCACAAATCTATATCCAATTCACCCAGTGCGCAGAATGGGTGGATCAAGGTGTCGTTCAATCCAACCCATCTGTTTTGGGGATTGACAAGCGTATTTCTTTATATATAGTACGTACATATATTCGAAGAAAAATGGGGGCTATCATGACTTTTACATTTTAGGTGGTCCTGAATAGGGTGGTTCAGTTCAGGATATATCTCTGCACCACTTTCCGTCTTATTCATGGGGGTCCACAATACCCCACGAAATAAGCTTATTTTTGGCTCAACGAAAGGTAACATAATGCTCATATAGACAATCAGCATCTTATTACCTAGACGATATAGATAGCCCAACGGTATGGCTAGAACAAGGGAAAGAAAGGCGGTAATCAGATTACTGGTACTGAGATATTTATCCGCATCCCCGCATGGATATTCGGGTCGGTGGGTCAACGATGTGGTGGGTCGATCCGTAATCCGCATCGGTTTGATCCATGGATCAAAAGAAGATAATGTGGGGTAGATGTCAAGGATGTCATAGTGACAAGACCCTACATAATGCTACCTGTCGACCACAGACTCTGACACTACAATACTTGACTCTACTGTTTTGCATTATCAGCTTAATGATGCCCTGGTATTGACTAGTGCATTGAATAGTTCAATTGCGATGATTGCGCCGAACAAAGTAGGTGATGCCATCTTGGCCTCTACATCTATTCCGCAGAGAAGAAAACCACCCAAACTACGTCGTAAACGACCTCTACAACATGGTCTTGACGAAGAAGTAGAGAAGAAACCAAATGTTGATACGCTAAGCGCTAAAAACCAAGCTTTGATTTCCAGGACATCTGATGATGCATCGAGCTTTGAGGATGCGTTGGAAGGGGAGTCCCCGACCTTTGAGGCTCAAGTCCAACCAGTCCCTCAACGACAACGTCAGACTCTTCGGAATAGGCCATTGTGTAACGAGGAGGAGGAACGCGACGTGGCCGAGGATGAAGATGTTTTCCTCAGTGCTGAACGTCAGAGACTGAGGCGAGATCGACGCGGCGATCAAAGGCTCATTCAGTTAAACTCTATTGAGGATGTTGGCAGAACAGCTGGACAGTCCGGCAAATTGGTGCGCAATATAACTGAAACCGCGGTGGGAACGATTACAGATACAAGTGGACGAGTTCACAGGAAGCCATCAGAGAAAGATGAACCGCTAAAGAAGGAGGAAGGTGAACAGTTGAGGTTGCACTTAGAGTTGAACCTGGACCTGGAGGTTCAGCTGAAAGCGAAGATCTCTGGAGATCTGACGCTCACATTATTGTTAGTGTCTGCCCCTGCTCACAGGATATTCATTGCTGACGGAACGGAAGGAAATAAGGCAGTAATGGGACTGGGTTGGGATTCATGTCTAGAAAATCCTTGACTGCCAGTCAGCCGATGCGTAGCCATGAGCGAAAAGGTGAGGGGAAACAGGAAAAACTTAAAAAGGTCATCAAAGCGCAGTAGGATTGCCCTGATAAACCAGTCAGTTGAAGCACGATCACGTCTCTTGTATTCGGCTAGTTGGCGAGGATTCATCAGAGTCTGAAAACACCACATCACTCCGATGAATATGTAGCATACACTCAGCCGATAAACTGGTTGCCCTCGATGGTGAATATCCTTTACTTGCCTTCTATCTCTACATTCTTTTGCACATCAGCTACAACTGCATCACCTGTGTCCCTCGCACATTTGAATAAGCTTTCCACCGGTCGTCCTTCTCCAGTGCTGTTTGGTACTTTGGCTCCAGGTACTAGTAGATAGCTAATGGAAATGGAGCTTGACATATAGAAAGCACAGACCTGCATCTCCAAGTGCCACGAATCCTTCTGAAGGCCTGGCCGTGGTTGTGGCTGTGGCTATGTCCGTGGCTGTAGTTGCGGTGGACGATGGTTCCTCAGGTTACCCTTGATAGAGCGGGGAGGCCCAGAGCATTCCACTGACATCGGTTACTACAATCTCCAGTTTGTGATTGAGAGCCGTGGTGTCACCAAGTGGCAAAAGCGTCTATCCAGTGGTCCACCTGGCAGTACCGTATAAGTTTGGGTTTAGGTTCAAGGCGTTCAATGGGGGTTCCACATTCTTGTACATACGATTCCCCCAGAAACCTACCACAAAAGCGCAACGTGCATGTGCCACAAGCCCAAAACATATGCTCATTCAGTGTAATACGGTTAATTCCCATGGCTACAACAACCTAGAGAGTAGAAACTGGAATCTCCTGACGGGAGATCACGCAACACCCCTCCTTTTCTTAGAAAGTAATAATAGGGTATATATTTCGGACGTGACAGTCAATCTGGGCTTCAGAAATGTCTGGGAATCACGCTCTTAAGATGCAGATTCTACTGCGCGTCCAATCCCCTGTACCTTAAAGCATTGCCTTATATGTTTTCCATATATTTTAATCTATGGCGGCATATCGTTCTAGCCTGATAAACATCTGCCAGAGAAAGCTAGACGTCGAAATTTCCCGTTGCGACCACGATTTACGCCGTCTCGTTGGGCATACAAACATACTATATGCGCTGCTGGACTCTATATCGCAAGCGGAACAGAAGATTATTGCATCCTTCTCAGAAGAGGAGTTTGCAGATAAATCCAGTGAGACGCAACTGGGCTCGCCGTTGGAAGAGATTGGCCTGATGCATGAATCATTCATTCAGTCCATATTTTGGTATGTGGAGAGAGCACCAATTCCATATCATAATATTGAGGCTTACCGCTGGATTTTGGCACCTCAGACCCAATATTTCGAATACTCTATACAATGCATTTTGACTCTTACTTCCCACCTTTGGTTTTTATTGTAATCCAACGTACAGATGCGCAGTCTGACCGCCGTAAGAAATTGGCAATAATACTAGATGACACTATCTTTACAACTCTCTAAACAGAGTTCAAAGGAACAAAATATAGGGGTATAGGTGAGGTACTCATGAGCTTGTAATGACTGGCGGTCAGAACAACAGTGGCATGCCACATGACAAAAGACTGATCACCCTACCCTGCTGTTGAGGAAGAAACTGGAAGAGGATGCGTTACCATGGACTGGGAAGGTCTTCCTACCATGCTGGGCTGCTCAGAGCAGCCTGCTGAGACAGATGCTTATCTTTGCCACCTGATCAATCATTCCCAAGGCTGGCTCTGACCCAACCAGAACGTCAATGCACGGACGTTTGATCCTCATCGTTAGTGCAGATTGATTGGGAACACTAAAGCACATTAGGTTCCCGTCTGGCCGGTCCCATTCATTACGAATATCTGGTTCGTATTTAATAAGGTGCTGACTGCTGAGCAGTATTTGGCCTATCCTTATACTTCAGGCTTTTAGACTCGTGAAATTCGTAAAAGACAATAATTATTTAGAGAATCTATAAAGTGGTTAACTTCTCTGCTCTTTAGGTGGGTGAAATGCATTCCTAGTCGTTAGGGTCTATGCAGTCATTTAAGCTTTGCCGGCGTTACGGAGTCACATCTCACCTAAACCAACATGTAGGATAGGCTTGTTGTGTCTAGTTAAGAATGATAGTTTTGTCAAGTACAGCAATGTGTCAAAAGCACTGCTCCGGTTTCAAATGGGCGTAGCGATGCAGAGAACAAGGCAGTTTACCGGAGTTCACCGGAGTTTCGAGGTTCAAATTTCCTGGGGACTCGCACATTGCTCGTGCGTACGATTACAACCTTGGCAGAGGATCGCAATGGTCTCAAAGTCTAAAGTTATTTTTGTGGAAAAGGAAATACACGCGAATTTTTTGTTTTGCTCATATCCTAACTTCATCAACATTCCACGCACCTGCGCGATTCTAGACCATCAATATATTTAGGTTAAGTGATAAAACTTAAAAAGTGTTATACCAATGCAAACTGGAAAGGACTATGCGGCTAAGGCCTCTTGTACAGCCGTCCAAATTTCTTAGTGCCCAATCAACAAGTCAAGAATCGCCATTTGGGACGGTTTCACTCACGAGCCACATGGGAAGACAACCAGAGGAGAGTCCCAGATGGAGATCAAACTTTCACTTACATCCTGGAGAACAGTCAACATTCTCGCGGGTGAAATGGCACATCACCCGCTAGTTGCGCCTGTCAAGGCAATCAAATCAAGCTATCGAGAACGGAGAAGCTTGGTCTCATTTAGTTAGGGGGTAGTGATTCATCAATATCCTCTATGTGTGAATCCTTCACAAGCCGAGTTATACTTTCGACGCGTCAGATACCTTGAATCTTTGATGGTTCGCTGACTAGGGGTCACCTTACTCCTTAGATGGTTAGAGCCGCTCAAGCCACTAGGATCTGTAGAAGATCTGGCCCAATGGAAGGCAAAAGCTCACTAGCACTGTGTACACAAACGATATCCCGCATAACGTTCTTACATCAGTAAAGAAATGTTATTGGGCCCATGTTTAAGACAGATGTATGGTAATGAGACATTGTGTCCACCTTGCATCAAGCACGTTGGCACGGGGATAGCAGGCAGAGATGATTCAATTATAGTTTAACTTACACATGGCTGTGTAATACTAATGACACCGAGGATCTCACTCTAAGCCAATCCCCCTTTTCCTTTTTATTTCACTCTTTTTTCTTCTCCCTCGTATTTACCTACGTTTTCGGATATGCTAAACTGATCCGAAAACCTAATATGATGGGCTACCATTGGCTCGCCTTCCTTGGTCCTGTTCATGAGTAAGGTTTTGGGGCTGTAAGACACGCCCAATAAACCGCAAGCTGTATGGTGCTCAAACCATGTGGTATATCCTGATGGCGAGGGCTGAGGCAACGGCCACTTCTTTGAAGGATTCCAACTCCTCTCTTTTTATATATTTCGCCCTCGACACTGAGAGTGAAACCGGTCAATAGCTTTGTAAATGTGGGCAACAGCACTGAATCTGTAGCGCCGGAAGACAACAAGACAAATCCTCACCGAAATTGCAGGAATGGAGTCCAGCACCACTCCCTGTTCCGAGCCGCCATGTCCGCTTCAACAATTGCCGAGACAGGCCACGATCGCCCCATCTACCCTTGACGTAAAAGGGCCTGGTTCAGATCATCTCGAGCAGGTACCGAGCGCCTACAAGACATCGCATGGTTTATACGATGCTTGGAGTTGCGATACGGGTAGTAACAATGGCCTGCTTTGGTCTAGCGCTCGGTCATCCGAGTCTGATCTTTTCTATGGTCTCTCTACTCTAATTCCCGGATTGCGCCAGCTGGATTCTGGAGCTCGGGCTGCAACAAAGGCCGAACGCAAAATCACGTTCTTGGAAGGTTGCCGGCTATACCCCAAGGCGATGGCGTGGTCGATGGTCGTTTCTTCGACCCTCATCATGGAAGGGTTCGACACTCTACTCATATTTTCTTTCTTCTCACTTCCTGCCTTCAAGCGACACTATGGCGTGCCAAGCAGGAACGGCGACTATGAAATTCCTGCTCGCTGGCAGTTTGCTCTGTCCACGGGGGCGGAGGCAGGGGAGATCGTTGGATTGCTTCTGAACGGCCTGCTGGCTGACCGCGTTGGATATCGCATTACTATATCTGCCGCTCTCGTCTTTCTATTCCTTTGCATACTGTTACCCTTCTTCGCAGTCAATCTGCAGACGTTGCTTGCAGCGCAGATCTTGTGTGGAATCCCCTGGGGCGTCTTTCAGACGCTGACGATCAACTACGCCGCCGAAGTGATGCCAGTGGCCTTGCGCGCATACCTTCTCAGCAGCATCAATCTATGCTGGGTACTCGGTCAGATCCTCGCCACGGGTGTGACTCGTTCATTGGCCAACAACGAGTCCACGCTGTCCTTTCGCCTTCCATTTGGGCTCCAGTGGGCGATCGGCCTGCCCATTTTGGTTGGCGTGATTTTGGCTCCAGAATCACCATGGTGGCTGATCCGGCACAACCGACCACAAGAGGCCAAAAGGGCATTGTCACGGCTGACACGGAGTGGCGTCAGCGTGAATGAGACGGCCGCCATGTTGACACATACCAACGAAGTCGAAAAGCATCTGACGGGTGGCGGCGCCATCTCATACTTGGACTGCTTCAAACGTGTCGACCTTCGACGAACAGAGATTACGTGCATCGTCTGGGTCACCCAGCAAGTTTGTGGCAGCAGCCTGATGGGCTGGTCCTCATACTACTACAAGCAGGCCGGATTCGACACCAGCCAGGCTTTCAGTTTAACAGTCGGGACCTTTGGCCTGGCAATCACTGGCGGGATAATCTCTTGGTTCCTACTGCCCCGCGTGGGTCGCCGCACACTTTACCTTTCAGGGCTTTTGGTCATGCTTCTCACTCTACTTGCTGCAGGGTGTGTCAGCGTAGCTTCGACAGCTCGATGGCACTTGTGGACTCTTGGCTCTCTTCTCGTCTTCCTGACATTCGTATACGACATGACCATCGGGCCAATATGCTACGTGCTGGTAGCTGAGATTCCCTCCACGCGGCTCCGTGTCAAGACCGCCGTTCTGGCCCGCGTGGCGTACAACTTGTCCGGCGTTCTCATCAACTGGATGACGCCGAAGATGTTGAGTCCCGACGAGTGGGACTGGAAGGGCAAGTCTTGTTTCTTTTTTGCCGGGACTACCTTTTTGTGCTTGGTTTGGTGCTACTGGAGGCTTCCGGAAACCTTTGGCTTGAGTTATCTTGAGATCGACATTCTGTTCGAGAAGAAAGCGAAAACCAGCAAGTTCCGCGAACTTCAGAACAACCTTCAAGATCGAGGCTATTTTGGCCTCAGTGGAGACGAGTGTCCTTTTCGCGGGTACTGAGACCGAAATAAAAATGCGGGCAGTACGACTATTCTTTCATGCTACATTGTAATTAGAGTAATCCACGGAGAAATTATTAAATATTGATGAAGAATCATAGATGACAATATTTAAATGGCAGGGAATAGGCATAAGGTAGCTACCAGACCGCCATTTGCCGCACAGTACATGGATGTAACATCAAATTACCCCGTATTCGGCTGAGCATAGCTGTGCGGGGCTAACAGACGGTTGCATTTAGCCATGGAGAAGTCGAAGTTTGTCGAGGGTCTAGACTGGAATATGGACGTCCCAATCCCATGGAATGACCAGATCTGGTTGATCTGATCTCTCCCCGCTGCCACCGTTACTAGGCTGTATGGTGGGTCATTGAAAGCTAAGGTATTACGTATTCTAAGTTTCTAACTCGAACCCATTATTATTTGTTCGCATTGTTTCAGGTTCAGGGCACTAATCCCTTTGCCTACGTGTACATTATGCTTTTTATTGAGGAGTTGCAACTTTGCATCTTTTGCACCTTCCGCACGCTTTGCTATTTGTTCTGATTTCCTCATAAATAGGTTATCCTCATGACTATGTATAAAAGTAGCTTTTTATCTCTATGTATGGGTCTGAAGTATCGTCCATCAACTTGCCTCCATCTGAGTATCGAAAAGAGTTTTTCAACAGCAAGGCCACCTTGAACGGTGCGTCCCGTAGATGGCTTGAGCATGAAATCTGTGCTCCTATTGGCCTCGCTGTTGGCAATTATAACTCCAGGCATTTACAGTTTTAGTTGCCAGATTCTGAGTTGAACACTAGTACACAGTCCCTGCTATCACACTGTCATCTGATGAAAAGTTAATATGGTCACTCAAGCATAAATTTATACAATTCCCCCACAGTGTTCCCCCAGATTATCATAACTAGGATCACACTTATAGGCGAGGGGAGCATACTACAATTCTTCAATTTTTCTTATTTTTTTAAGATCACACGATAATCTGTTAGCAAAATAATGCGTACTCGACAGTTTTGATTAGAATAGATAGTGGTTGCTGAGTTATTGAGGGATTAATTGGATCTTTCATGAGTGGCGAGAGTGGTCTGAATCTATATATGTGTAGCTAACCTTCAACAACAACCACACACTTAAACCCCTAGATATTGACTATTCTAGATACAGGTTGGACGATGATTATAATATATTTCATATAAAATACAAGAATTCTATGAGATATGCTCAAGATAAAAGGATAGGAATAAAATCTATAGTGGCTCTTCGTTCCAGAGTAACAATCCCCTCATCCGCCTCTCCGAAAGGTTATAGCAAAGTGTTGTGTTATTCTGAATCCAGAAACTGCCACGACATGCCATGCGGTAGCGAAAATGTCGCATCTCTTATTGAATTCCTCCTCGTAGCATTTGTATTGATGTCATAAGATTCGACGTTGGCAAGTCTTTCTTCGTGAAGCTCCTTAAATGTACGCACTCGTGCTATGAGTTGATACAGTATTTCCTCCGCGCAGAGTGATGATTCTTCGTCATTCAGAAACCGCACTGCCTCTTTAGCCTTTCCAACGAACATGTTAACGGCTGTTGGAACATCAATGGTAGTAGGTGCGTTGATCTGATCGCGTTCCTTCCATGCCAAAAGCAGAAGTTTCGATAATGAATCGACGGCATGGTAGTATTGCTGGTAGACCGAGTATGGGAGATAGAGGAAATATTGAGGCGTAAGAGAAGAGAACGTTGAGAAGAAGTCTTTCGCTGAGATCAAGGATGAGTGAAGGATATCACAATGCACCCCGGTGCTATTCCCGTCGTTCTTTGAGAAGTCATCTTCCAGAGCGGACTCGTATAAGAGGAGCTCTAGATTGTAATACTGTAATGCCAGGATGGCTAGGTACAAGCTTAGCAAGTGTTGTCATATAGGACGTAGTAAGAAAATTCAATGCCACTCACAGTCCTGAATGCAATCCTGCGCGCTAGATGGTTTCAGACGCTTTAATTCCGCTTCGAGAGCCTCGACACACCTTTGGACTGAATCCGACGAAGCTATGTGCGGTGGATTGTACGCATCAAAGGGAAGTATCTGAACGATCCTGTGGGCCATACGATTGAGTCGTGCCAGCTGGACCAGATACATGTCTGTAGGATATTCCCGCAGCTCCTCAAGTACGCGACAGCATTCATCAGTATAGCTCGTATATCGAAGAGGATCTATATCTTTGACGCATGTTGCAGCTCTAGATGGGTCAGACATATTGCTGGAGCGATGTATGGGCGCCGATCTACATACACACAGGCGGTATAAAAGCACCCGAGGTAGGCTCTCCGTTCGTCCGTGGTAGGAGCATTGTCATGCTCGCAAGGTTGCGGTAGTTTTTCACTAGATGGATTAGGCCTTCGATGGAGGCCAAGACTACGTAGCATGGCCAGACCCAGGTGCAAGACGATAGACAGTTGTCCTTCGGATTCGGGCAGCAAGTGATACCTGTTATGGTGTGAGCTCTGAGTTCTACAAGCAAGGCTGAAACGGAAAGGTCATAGGTACCATGATATGCAGACCAAGAGAGCCTGCAGGATATCAAGTCTGCTGTGCTGTTTCTTAATAATGGAACGGCTGACATGCTCTAGGAACTGATCTGTCATGCGTTTCTTCCGATTTGCGTCGTCGAGACAAGTCACCATTAGAATCGCACCCAAGAGAAGTGGATTTTTTTGCTGCAACTCTTGAACAGTCATGTCAAGTGGGATGACAACACTAGGACAGTAACAGGCCATCTCCGTTCGGTATTTTGTCAAAATTACTGATGCACTTTGATGAGTAAAATTGAAACTTTCATTCCACGGAAGAACCAATTGCGAGGTCTTGTGCGCTTGGCGTCTGTTTCCCTGCTCAGTCTTGGATGCAGCATCAGACGTTGTCTGAGATGATACGCCGACAAGACAAGCCATAGTGTCAAGCTTCTTCTCGAGTCTCGCAACATCCCTTTGACCAAAGTCAGTAGCCAACCCTGCTGCCGATCTCGTGGGTACCTACAACGGCGAGGTAGCCTTTCGCTTGTGGGCCCCAGGGGCCTGAGCGATGCACTCTCTCTTTAAACGAGAACATCTAGTCTTGATTCAACATGGCTCAGCAGACTTTAACTGAGAAAGCACCGTACCGCTTGCACCCACCCGTCTCTTGTTGGTCGCATTTCACTTTTGCGTACGCGCATTGCTGGCATGCCTTTGGCTCTCGGATTCTTACTGGACGCCTCCTGACCATCGGCACAAATTGAGGATCAACAATCTCCGACGAAGTAGCACTGCGGGTATATGGTTGGTTGTATGTTTCTGGTCAGAGTGCTGGGTTGTCATGGCTGAGGGCCAGAGGCCGTGATCGCTGGGCACGGGATTCCGTGTCCCGTTTCAGCCAATCATTTCCAGTCATCACTGGGTAAGGGGCAAGAATGAGTCAGCAACGGCCACAGAGAGCGCCGATTCGGGTAAAATGATTACCTATCTTATATAGAGACGATCGCCCACCATCCATGTCAGATGAATCAATCATCGAAACATTATCGGAGAGAAACACAGTATCGCCTTTATCGGTCGTCAAAGTCCTGCCAACAGCGTCATGTATTTAATCACCACAAGCATTGAAATCAATGCCCCTCCAGCAACGGTCAGAGAGAAGGTATTGGCTTCCATTGGATATTGGGAAGCAATGATATCAATCATAAATAAACCCGTTTTTCTGACACTTCACAACAGTTTCTCGACTTTTCATCCATCTCGAAATACTCACCCAATGGATTTATCCGCTCGATATCCCCAGTTGACCCAACTAAATCATCTATCGATCTTCAACCTGGCGACAAATTGAATGTCTGTGCAGGCTACGGAAAGATGAAGTTCTCGCCCGTCGTGTCATCAAACACGGAGGCTATGTTTAGCTGGATCGGTTCTATCCCAGGAATCTTCACTGGGGAGCATATATTTCGATTCGAGGAAATTCCCGCAACGGGACAGGAACAGAGTCACACAAGGTTCATCCATGAAGAGACGTTTACTGGTCTCCTTTCATTTCTTATGGGGGAGGGCTTCCTCGCCGGCTATGTTGGTCTAGCGGAGGATTCAAGGAAGGGGTACGACGGGTTCAACCACGATCTCAAGGCTTGGAGCGAACAAAACCGCACGGAATAGCGAGCTGCGCCTGGTATAATTCGCCATCTGCTGTCTAACACTTCATTTATTCTGTCTGTTTGATATCCCATGTTGCGTTCAAGGGAATCGTCTCTTCCCGAGTCATTCCTTGCATTCCATCTTTCTGTTCTATGATACACCCCCGGTGTTTTTGTCTTCATTTATTGAGAATCACGGTTTATTGATTCGCAATTTTGTATCAAAGATTCACCAGTAATGTGCGTTCAATCATCTAACAACTATAGAGGATCTAGAGACACACCTAATAATGCTTCAGTTGGGGACTTGCGTCCATAATTTAGATTATAAATCAAGACACAACTCTTGTAGAATCAATGAAATAAATACTATGTGTATATGATACTTAACAATATAATCCTTCAATTAATAGTGAATGAGGTGCTATTAGCAGAATAACATAAAGTGCTTATATCTAGTGGCCCTTATCTCATTATGGGTGACCACTGATTCAAGGTCATTCATTAAAGGAATGCAATGCAAGTAAAACATCCACATGTTTCTATAAGAGGTCTGAGTTCATTATTTTATTCTATGTTGACTTGGTGACTCTACTTAGTGCAGCCTTCTACTCTGAGATTCCTGCGTTGTTACTGACGACAGTTATATATCTGGTATGGTAGCCTCGACTGGGATTCGCTGACCTCGTAAAGCACTTACAACTAAACAAGCTGAGACTCTGACCCTCTACTTCTTAAATAATTATTAGCTGCATCTTCCATCAGGTGGAGACATGAGAGGAACTGTAGGCTGACGGATACCCCGGATCGATGATGTCACTGATCACCACACCTGCAAACGACATGCCAAACAAAATCAGAATCACCATCAATTCACTATCCATACGCTGTAAATTCAACGACTGATATTCATATTCACCGGACAAATCAACTGAGGATGGAAGGAACTTCATCACCGTACACTAGCATAGAAGACTATGGCCTCGTGGGGGACATGCACACCTGCGCCCTAATTAGCAAAAGTGGCAGTCTTGACTATATGTGCTGGCCCGTCTTCGATTCGCCCACCGTCTTCTGTCGCATCCTTGACTCTACACAGGGAGGACACTTCTCCATATGCCCAATACCGGATATCCAACCAATCAGCAAGCAGAGATATCGACCGTACACTAATATGCTGGAGACCCGATGGATTGACGAACAGGGGGTGGTCAGTCTACTCGACTACCTGCCTGTATCAAGTCACAAGTCGAGCTCTGAGTGGTGTATTTGTGATGACCCCATTGCTCGAAATGACCCGCAGAAACTGTGTCATTCAGGCGTTGTTCGGAGGATCGAATGTGTGAGGGGTGAAATGGAGATGGATTTTGAGATCTTTCCTGCGTTCAACTATGCAAGAGACCGACACAGCGGCCATTGGATCACTCCCCAGAACTCCAGCGGCTCGCTCAAGAAATATTCTTTCGAGAGCCAGACGCAAAGCTTGCACTTAACTATCCATTCTGGTGTCGACACTTCACTTGAGCCAGCTGATGCCATTTTCCCGGCGGATCTAAAGCTCCAGGAGAATCAAGGCCCAAAAGGGCCAGGACTCCATGCCAGGGTGAAGTTGAAAGAAGGGCAATCGATCTCATTTGTGCTGCACGACCCAGAAACAAGTCTTCCTGAGGGGAACTTCCTACAACAGTACCTGGAGAGACTGGAAAAAGAGACGCTGAACTTCTGGGTTAGCTGGATCGCCCGTTGTACGTTTCGCGGTCACTACCGCGAACAGGTTGAGCGCAGCCTCTTGGTACTTAAGCTTCTCACCTACAAACCTACCGGAGCAATCGTTGCAGCTCCGACGTTCTCCCTCCCCGAGTACGTCGGAGGGTCCCGGAACTGGGACTATCGGTACTCCTGGCTCCGTGATGCCGCTTTTGTCGTGTACGTGTTTCTCAAGAACGGCTACCCCACGGAAGCCGAAGCGTACATCAACTTCATCTTTGACCGCGTCTTCCCTCCAGTGAGGGATAACGAATGCGTAGCGGATGCCCCATTCTTACCCATAATGGTGACGATTCATGGTGAGAGCGAAATTCCGGAAAGTGAACTGGATCATCTAGAGGGATATAAGGGCAGTAAGCCGGTGCGTATCGGAAACGCAGCTGCGCACCATATACAGTTGGATATATATGGTGAGCTTATGGACAGTGTCTATCTCTACAACAAGCACGGACGACCTATCTCCTATGAGCAGTGGGTCGCCATTCGACGCATGATAGCGCATGTAATTAGAGTCCGAAATGAGCCCGACCGATCGCTCTGGGAGGTCCGAGGGAAGATGCAGAATTTTGTCTACAGCAAGATCATGCTCTGGGTTGCGCTGGACAGAGCAATACGTCTATCGGAGAAGCGATCCAATCTACCGTGTCCTGATGTGGAGGAGTGGAGGCGGGCGCGTGATGAGCTTTACGATGAGATCATGACGAAAGGCTACAACCTCAAGGGCAAGTATTTTTGCATGAGCTATGAGTATCAGGATGTGCTGGATGCAGCTGTTTTGATTGCACCACTGGTATTCTTCATCGCTCCAAATGATCCCAGGTTCCTGCACACTCTAAAGAAGATCATGTGTTCCCCGGCCAAAGGGGGGTTATCAGTTGCCAACATGGTATCCCGGTATGATCACACAAAGGTGGATGATGGTATGTTAGACTACTACGAGGCTAGTTTTCCTACTGACTCCAAACCAGGAGTTGGTGGCGGCGAGGGCGCATTCGTCATGGTGACTTTCTGGCTAGTCGAAGCAATGATGCGTGTACGTCTTCGTACCCCCCCCGAGAAACAAGCATTGACGCGGTACACAGGCCTCAAAAGCAATGCCCTATCAGGTGGAGGATCCGTTCTACCCTCAACTGCGTAAGACGGCGGTTGCGCACTTCGACAACATGCTCTCTTTTGCAAATCATTTGGGCATGTTTTCAGAAGAAGTGGCCATATCAGGGGAGCAGATTGGCAACACCCCACAAGCCTTCAGCCATCTGGCGTGTGTTAGTGCTGCGATGAATCTTGGGGAGCAAGGCGAACGATGAACAGCCCAGTCCCTATGGATGCACACTGCTGATATTCAACTGAAGTCTCCAGCACTCTCTAATAGTCCAGGTATATCCCCTCATGTACCTAGTCATTCGGCTCACGAATCTCAATTCGTGAATCTATCAGCTGTCCACGCGGTAGACACCTTCATAGTATTATTTTAATAATTAACGGGCCTAAAATAACTGGTCATATTATAGCCGGGCACTCGACCACGAGTCTACGGTGCAGCCTTGAACCCACGTGGTACTCCAGAAGTTCCATCGCTCGCTCCTCTACATGAAACCTGCCATGTGCAGAATTCCGTGGACAAGCATATGCAGTGCAGCCGTACCTTCTAGGCCATAAAGGACAGACATTGAAATCGTCAATATTCTATCTTCGTATCCCCCATTTTTATAAAGATTGGAGATATTCTACTATACAAAGTCGTAACCAAGAGTGGAAAGAACCGCAGGCATTTTCAAACGCCGCCCGTTTATACATGCGCTCCAAAGTATACCTTAAGACCATCGTAACACCCAAGAAACAAACCACCTCCCAGCCCAGCCGCGAGGCACGTCAGGGCCCCGCCCCTGAAGAGACCTCGTATTCCCTCCTTCACTAATATACCCCTTGCAATAGCCATTGCATTAGCAGACGATACCCGCTCTGCCTTCACTGCTGGAGGTATAGCGCGGATATCCGCCTTCAAGGGCAGTCGAGCATAGGTGGGAGTACCAACCGCAAGCCTCATGCGCGTTTTCACTACATCAACCGGTACGAAGAGCAGAGAAACCACCGCGCTAGCCAGTGCGCCGCTGTAAAGTCCTCCCCTAAAATGAGTAGTAACCTCACTGCAATCCCGCGGGACCTCAAACCAACCAGTCTTGAGATACTCATACAACAAGAACGTCAGACTCGTCCCGGGGAGATGGCTAGCAGCCAGCATCGTATACCCGGCCCAGAGCTTAGTCGGATGCCTGGAAAAATGCCTGACCGTCGACAGCAGTGGCGAACGACTATGCCTGGATTGAGCATGCACGACCTGGGCATTCTGCGTCAGGACTTCAGCGGGGTTAGTGATGGCGCAGGCGACCAAATCCGCTACTGCACTGCTAATCGCGTACGTGGCAAGCTCGCGGGCTTTTGGCGATTGAGTGCCTTCGGTAGGTTGAAGCGTTGATTTCATAGTCTCGTAGATTGCGAAAAAGGCGACTGATGCGGGGATGGTCGTGATGAGTGTTGGGCCGAAGCCTTGATATAACCCTCGGTAGAGAGCTGGGTTGATACCGCCATTTACACGCTGATATGTCGACGCGTAGGTGGGTGATTGTAATCGAGTAATGAGCGTGTCGAGTGGATGAGTGAGGAGCTCGACTCCTATCGCAGCTATGCCTGCTGCCTAAATGGGATTAGACGCAGTGTAAGGCCATCATTATCAGATACGTACAATTGAGACGTCCTTGTTACTGGCATCAGCAGACATGGTACTGATGATTGGCGCTCATTGCCTGGTGAACACCCGTTGTTATATTTGAGAGGCTAGCTGAAGGAAGTCATGGCGTCGTCCAGGTCAGAAATATGCTCTTGGCATGGAATTTGATCGGCATCGGATGGCACGAGAATGGAATCCGCGGATCCCGTATACAGAAAAGTACGAAGCTCCAACTCGAGTGAGGTACCACTTCAAGTTATGTACGACAAAAGTGCATAAAGTCAAATTCCATAATCTCAAATTCGTATATCATCATGCCCAGCATGTATCCACACTATCGAGCTACCATCACTGCTTCACCCCACGAGGGAAAAGCTGCCCTGCCCCAATCAGGACGGCATGCCATTGCGCAGGTTGTCATACTGCGAGACCGGATAGCTCAGTTCATTCTGATTCTGTTCAAAGGCTCCCGAGCCTCCAAGTGCATTTACTACCTGATAGGTTATCAGCATTGGACCAGCAGACCGCTCGAATGTGTACTTACCGTGGTAACCAAACTATCGCTTCCGGTCTTATCGCTGCTGCTGTCCCACCACATGGCACCTCCCAATCCCAAGGACTTGATATAGCTAGACTTCATAGTCGCCACCTGAGGATTGTCATAGCTGATCAAGAACTTGTTCGTCGCGTCATAACTGTAGCTCGCCATGATATTGGAAATGACATGCTCTGTGGCGCCAGCTTGAGGGAGCGCCTTGTAGTCCCACACTCCGGCCTCCCAGCTGCCCTGGCCAACGCCGTTGTAAGGCTTGCCGAGTCCGTCGGTATTGGCGAAGGAGCGGCCGTAGAGAGGCATGCCCAGGACGATTTTGTTTGCGGGGACTCCGCCGGCACGGTACAGATCGATTGCGGTCTGAGTGTTGAACGGTGTGGAGAGCGGGTTGGAGGTGTCGTTGTAGACGTTGGCCTGATGTCCGGTGACAGAAGAGAAACTTCCAGCGTAGTCGTAGGCCATGAGGTTCCAGAAGTCCAGTTGCTGATCCATGTCTTTGAGGTGAAGGACATTGATCTTATCGGGACCTAATCAAATCAGATGGGTTCAAGTGATAATATCAGAGCAGCAGTGTGTACTAACCAGCTGGAGAAGCTACAGTGAGAAGAAAGTGCTGTCCGCCCGCATTTGCAGCACTGTAACTGTCGAGTGCCTAGTGACGTTAGTGATATGTCCATCATGAGTCACATTCATCAGCACATACAGCCCTCACTTCCTTGAGCAACAGCACAAAATCGTTCGCTTGCTGGTCGTTTGCCGGGTACTATGCCTGTTAGCCAGCGTCGACGTTGAAGCCATGCATCTACTCACCTCCCAATCAATATCGAGCCCATCAAATCCCAAGTCCTGCAGCAGCTTCACGGCAGTCTTCGCGAAGTTCTTCCGTCCAGCATCTGTGCTAGCCGCCGGAGCAAAGTTGGGAGAATAGGTCCAGCCGCCAATAGACAAGAGAACCTTGAGGTTACGGTTCTGCTTCTTCAAGAGATACAGCTGCTTGATGCATCCGTAGACATTGTTGCCCGTATCAGACCAGGAATCCCCAGGGTAATGCTTCTCAATGTCGGCCCAAGAGTCTGTCATGTAGACTTCCCCTGTTTCAGGACGCACATTGGCAAAGGCGTAGAGGACGTGCGTCAGCCTCTGGACAGGGAGGTCCTGAGGATTATGGTTGCGCGCGTAAATTGCCTAGGTAGTTAGTGCCAATCGGGTGCTCAGTATGATGTAAACACAATACTAACCCAGTTCACAAAGTAAATGACGGATCTGTAACCGGAGCTAGCGCGCGCCTCGAGATCAGTATTGCCAGCATCGCGATTCCACATCACTGCTGCATCGACACAGAGACTGCCGAACAGAAGGGCGATCTTGACGATGGTGGAAGTTGCAAAGCGCATAGTTGTTGTTCAATCGAGCTTACCGATTTGTGAGCTTGTCAAATGCAGTCGTCCTGTTCTCCGTAAATACCATGAGACACACTTCCTATTTATCTCTGAAGTTCCTCGTCAGGCTCCTCTTCTTCGCTACTTTTATTCACGACATCTACAACACTCCACCGATACAGCGTCGCTTTCTAGTCAAGTCCCATCGTCGCGTTGTAGGTATAGATAACCATCGACGCCATTATCAGTAACCCTGATGGCAACGTGTCACAAGGTCAGGGATGCAAATCAGATGGAGAGATAAGGCAGTAATTCAGTGAAGAATCAAGTTCCGGTGATCCGACGGCCATAGATTGTGCAGTAATCTCGAGTCACAGGCCATGTTTCACGTACCTGACCATCCTGCATGCGACGTCGGCAGATGCAAGTAGACTGGGCTTATCTGCCCAATGAGAGCTTCACTTTGTGCAGAAAAGGCAATGTGACTCCCCGCGTGGAGGGCCGCCAAGGCGCTTAGTCGCGTGAGGGGTCGCCTTAATCTCGAGGTCGATGTAACGACAGGAGGACGTGTATATTAAAGTACATGCCCTCCTTGGTTATCATTCCCCTGTTTAAGAGTCAAAAAGGGTTTGCAGCAGCTGGAAAGGGAGCATGCTGCTATGCGACGTGACCGGGGCCGCCGAGCCTAAGGAGATGTCACTCTCACTTTCACTTTGAACTTCAAGCAACTGCGCAGTCGGACTTGCGACAGCAGAGATTGTAACTAGTCAAATCTTGAGTAATGTAACACACCAATGTTCTTAATATCCTCCTATCAGGGCCTTGCAGATACACTGGGGTTTAACTCCTTGATTCCCCGCGTGATCGAGCGCAGTTTGGGGTTATGCTGCTTAACCGTATCTTCTGGTGCAGTCATACATTTCACTGTCTGAATATTGACGGACAGCATGCCCATCTACCTTTATCTTGTGTGTCTTTTCCGTACAGCAGCAGCCAATAATGTTTGTGATGGTGCTATATGGAGATTAATCTAGAGTGGCACGCACTTGCCATGTTCTTAAGGTTGGGCACATCTCTAGCGAACCAATCTGTTACCGTGATATTTCTTCCATCATTAATACACACAGAGTACATCTCACCTCCTGTACATCAGCGCAGATTGGCCGGCAACTATTTCTGAGCGATGTGTGTTGAGTCAGGAACGGTAGTAGTCCTCCTCTGCTGAGAGCACCTGCTGACGTGAGAACCTCTTCCGCCCCCTGACAAACCAGTAAGCAGTAGAGGTGATGAGAACGACGCCAATGACCCAATGACCACGACACCGTAATCTGGAAAACCATTAGCCATTTAGCAACAATCTCTATGAAAGACGACATGCCCTCATGCTTCGGCCCGTTACCGGAAGAGAAGGTGGGATTAGGAACAGACCTGTGGCGAGGAGAGTATAGCCGATTGCTACCTGTAAGAAGGTCAGTCGATCGTGACAGACGCCAGTCACTGAGCTGTGAGGTGTGTGTACGAGGTCAACTGTCCAGCCGATGATCGGGCTGAGGGTCCACGGGCTCTTGGGAAGCTGGTTGCAACCGCCCAGGCAGTGGATTATGATTGGGAGGCCATAGGAAATATAGAAGCAAAGCACGGTGGCGGAACTCAATGCGTTGAAAGCACCTGAAGAAAGTCAATGATCCATAGGTTTGATCTGCGAGCCAGTAATGGGGGGCTCACGCTGAAGAGCCGAGGCAGATGCAACCGCAGCCAGAAAGTCAAGAACGCAGTGAGGCGGAGAGCACTCAAGGGCGTTCCCAGAGTAGGGTGCACCTTCCTCCAGAACGGTGAGAAAGGCATTCCGAAATCTCTGGCGTGAGAGGTAAGGTACGGATAATCGACTGGTTCTGTGCATAAATGATTATGGTTCTCTCACCTGCCAAGAGCGAATATCATTCGGCTGGAGGTGGTCATGCCACGACACCCATCAACAGGCAGACAATAGGGAATCTGAGCCCGTTGGGAAGGCACGCAATACCAAGCAGATTGATCCGGCCTTGCTCTTCGTGGCATCAAGGAGAACCTGAAGCAGGGGCCATGATTGGAGGTGATTATAGTATTGATGTCGTCTGACACGAACAGAAGGACGATAATGAATGCAAAGCTAGTGAGGGCACCGATTGCTACGCACGCAACCATGACTCTAGCCTTGCATAGACGACTTCGGGATTTCTTTCGGCATGATTTCGTCAGTATTTGATTCATGGATGAGGAAGGGCAAAGACACCAGAGGCTTACCTCCGATCATATGGGCAACAGCGTCCTGATTCGGTCAGTAAGATGATCCGTATCACAAAGGGTATGTACACCTACAAATCCGATATGTGACAGACTGCCTTGGAGTAGCTGGGGCTGTTTGTTAGCTTGTCCATTTGTTATGTGTGAGCTGGATACGTCCTACTCCACCTTGCCCCTTTTTAGAACCAAGTCAGCTAGCATATCAGGGTACAGGGATCCAAATGAGCCACACACATCCGGTCTCATTAATGAATTGGGTAAACACGAAGCTGGATTATTGTCCGATGTGATTAGTTACTTCTGCTTTTGGTGAAGGGACGTAGGTGGCCGAGTCGTAGTCAGGTACCGCACATGCGAGAGCTGTAATAGAAATAATGAGAAATCCGCAAAGGGGCCAGATCACTCGTCCATAATTAGAGAACGACGCACAAAGACCTCCAGTGCAGTATTGCTAACTCCATGCGGTTTTGCTGAGGGCTGCGAGGATCGAGTCCCAGAAGGCGTTGATTAAAACCCCGGTGACGCAAAAGCCCATATAGACGAGGAATACCTCTTCATGTCACTTCTCGAGTGTGGAGGAGTGAGTGAGATTGGAGGAAAGGATAAATACTGGATTGGCAAGGACAGCAATGTTCATGATCAATCAACTACCGAATAATGAGACAGTCGCAGGGAGGCATATCTGAAGTCACGGCCTCCTATTAGTAATGGAAGGTTACTCGGAATATTTGGGCTGTACATACCCAGGCTGCAACATTAAACCAGGCCGTAAACCAAGGGAGGACGTTCTTTTATTCATCCCAGGATACTAACACAATAATGAGCCTTAGACCATT